AAAACGGGAGATCGAAGGAATGAACGGCGGCGGCAGCGAAAGTCGAGGGCCGATGCAACATGGTCAGTACAATCGAAGATCATTCTTGCCTTCGCAGCCCCGGAGCCAGGATGCTTCAGGTCCAAGCCCTGTGACGATCCCAGAACGGTCTTATGAGAAGATTTGATGTGGTTCACGCTGAAATGTGTATGTGCTGTGATATAATGTGTACTATCTTAGTTATTGCTGTCTGTCCTTCAGCGGGAGGGTTATGTGTGTACGTGTCTGCCTCAATATAGTCGGAAATCTAATGAACAAATGCAGTCTGCCTTTTACTAACGCGGGCACGCACTGCTTTGGATGTGTTTTAATATGAGAAATGATCTCGCCTTGCAAGCAACCGCTTTATTCATGCCATAGGCTCCAGCAAGCTACCTCCCAGTTGGCCATCAAGTGGAGGTAGCCTTAACCTCCGTCTTCGAGAAACTAGAGAAGATCCCAGACCAGACACCTGACCTACATGTCTCTACCCAGCAAACAGAATAACTATGCCAGAGATTTCCGAGCCCTAAGAAGCATACCTACTCCAAAAACTTCAATACTAACCTCACACTAACACCCCTAGTCCATCCGACACAAACTAAACCAGGAATAGCATTAAGAAAATCCTTTAATACCAACTATATTAACCCATCTTGGCATCGACCATAAACAACACCACCAAAACCCACCTTACACTTCCAATTCACCTCCCCATCACAACCAAAACAGCCAAAAGACAAAAAAAAAAAAGAGAAAGAGAAGATATATAAAAAAAGAAAATGCCCCTAGAACTCCACTACGCAACACCCCCAGACACACCAACCCTAGCAACCCTTTTCTTCACAACCTTCTCCGACGACTTCAACACGAAACTCTTCCCGCGCACACCGGACGTGCATACCTGGTGGACACGCGCCCTAGCCAAGGACATCCGGAACCCACGCAAACGCCTCCTGAAAGTAATCGACACGGACGCCGACACGGCTAAAAACGAGCCTTCGATTGTGGGATTCGCGCTTTGGTCACTTCCTGCCCCGGTGTCCAATGCCTCAACAACGGAGAATAAGACCGGGTCTGAGGGGGTAGAGATAGAAGAGCTTGAGGATGGGTTCAGTCCGCCTTGGCCGGAGAGCTGTGACGGGGCGTTGTGCGAGAGGTTCTTTGGTCGGAATTATGAGCAGCAGGTCGAGGTTATGGGGAATAAGAGGTATTATTGTATGTTTTACCCCTCTTCTTCTTCTCCTTTTCTTCAGGGTGTTTTGGGTATCGTGCTAACTTGAATGCGACGATAGATGTGGATATTGTAGGGACGCATCCTACGGCGAGGAGACGGGGCGTTGCGACGATGCTTGTTAATTGGGGATTGGAGAGAGCGAAGGAGGAAGGACTGGAGGTGTATTTGTCTTCTACGTGGGAGGGGAGATTGGTTTATGAGAGATTGGGATTTGAGGTTCGGTCCACGGTGGAGGTGGATGGGTATGTGCAGGATTCGATGGTTTGGGTTCCTTGATATTTCCCCCCCCCCCCCCCCTTCTATTTACCCTATATCTATATATGGGAAGGGGTGTATTTATATTCTGAGGTCCATGAGATGTATTAATTAGCCCAGCTGTACTATATATACTGTACATATTATGGAAATAGTATACATTATCGTCCATATCAACACCAACCCAAACCCAACTAAAAAGGGATACTAAAAACCCTAATTCAACCCTGAAACAAAGAAACAAAGGCTCGAAAGTTCTAAATGCAAGTTCAACCTCGGCGAAAGTCAGGCTTAGAAATCAATTTACTAGAGTCTAAGTTCCAGTACGATAAGGAAATCAACCCATTAATCCAAAACCCCACTTTCCCCCAAAAGAACCGCGTGCGATTCCCTCTCAATTGCGACATAGGCTACACTTTTTTATATCATACACACATTTCCTCCAAGTATATTTTAAAGTGCAGTGCAGTGCAAGTACTAATGTGTACAAGCAATTAACAGAAAGTACCAGTACCAGACAAATAGAGACAGAACAACAATGGGCGACGCAGCACTAGCATTAACATCTAAGGAACATCTACTGATAGCCTTCATGCGCGACTTAGCGCCAGATCAACTGGACGAGATCAAGGCCAAATTCCCTCAGTTGGAAGTATTGAGTGTGACGTTGAAGAGGGGGGAGGATATCCCTAGTGGTGAGTTTTCCTTATGCTATCTTATCCTATCCTGTCTAAGCACATATATATATAAAACTAACATCAATTGTTGTATCTAATGTAAACATGCAGAACTAGCCAGAAATGCAACTTACATTGTTACATTTACTAATCTCCCGAAACCCGAGGATGCCGAGAAGTACGTACATAAAACTATTTATCCCCTTTGCATATATATATATATATATATATGAATCCAGAGTTGATTGTTGAGAGAGGTTGACGAGATGATATTAACATACTATATATCTATAGTATTAAATTCATCCACTTCCTCTCCGCCGGTCTGGACCATGCTATCCAGCACCCCATCTTCAAGGAAACTGCTATCCCCTTGACAAGCAGCTCTGGGGTGCATGCGCCCCCGATCGCCGAATGGACGGTTATGAACTGGCTCGTTCACTCACGCAAATATGCATACATGTACGAGGGGCAGAGGAAACACGAATGGCGCGATAGCAACAGTGGGTACTTCCAGGGGGTGCATGACCAAGTCGGGAAACGGGTTGGGATATTGGGATATGGGAGTATTGGGCGACAGAGTAAAGTTCTCTCTCTTTCTTTTTTTTCCTTTTTTTTTTTTTCTATATACGCCCACACATTTACTCCTATCAATACATACGCAGACGCAGACAAAGACCTAGCTGATAAGAGATAACACCCAGTCGGCCGAGTATCCCAAGCCCTAGGCATGACAGTCTACGCCTACACAGCCTCTCCACGACTAACCCCGTCCTCACGATACGACAACGGGTTTATAGTCCCCGGCACAGGGGACAAAGAAGGCACAATACCCGATTCCTGGCATCATGGAACTGATAGGGCATCTATCCGTGAATTTCTCAAACTCGGTCTGGATCATATAGTCATCTCGCTTCCGCTGACGCCGCAAACGACGCATCTTCTCGGCGCAGAGGAATTTGCGCTCTTGGCTGCTAGTCAGGGGTCGAAAGGGGTGAAGCCGTATTTGACGAATATCTCCCGTGGGAAAGTACTCGATCAGGAGGCGTTGATTGCGGCGTTGAAGTCTGGGGATTTGAGCGGTGCGGCGTTGGATGTGACGGATCCTGAGCCTCTGCCTGCTGGGCATCCGTTGTGGGAGGTTCCTAATGTGCAGATTAGTCCGCATGTGAGTTCTTTGGGGGTGGAATATTTTCCGAGGTCGTTGGATATTGTTAAGGAGAATGTGGGGAGGATATGGAGGGGGGAGGATTTGTTGAATGTGTATAAGAGGGGGAAGGGGTATTGATTTCTCTTTTAATTCTTTTCTTTGCTTTCTTTCTTTGCTTTTTTTCTTTTTTTTTCTTCTTTTTTTTCCCCCCTTGGTTTTGTGTATGTTAGTAAGTTGTTTATGGTGCGGCTTTGATGTTGTTTCTTGATTTAAGTCATGAGCGTTTTTCAGGTCAAGCATGGAAACTGTATGTTTGGAATGAATTCGTAACGGTATACATTATAATATATACTGCAATATCAGATACTTGTACACTGACATTATTGCAGGACCCATCCCCGAATAGCTTCTTCTAAAACAACACCAACCAATCCACTGCCGACAGCAGCCCAGGTCCACGGGTTCGCCAATTCAGAGAGGCTAGGCCAGAAGCTGTTCTTCTCGCGACGCCATGCCTGCAGCTGCTGATATTTATGCGGATCTTGCTCCTTGTATCGGGCCTCTTGGCTAGCTTCGTTTTGCTTGTCGCCGCCGACGAAGCGGAGGTAGACGTAGTTTGCGACAGGACCCAGGAGCACAAGGGGATTGAAGGTGTTGGCAGCGTTGAGGACGACGAAGGAGATGTGCACCAAAGCGTCACCCAAGTAGCTATGGTCCCATTAAAACCTGATCCTTCACTTTACGGCAGGAATGGAGCTTGTAGAGATTTACTTACTTTGGATGACGAACGATACTCCAGACACCGTGACGGCACAGATCAGTCCGTTCCTGGCGGTGCAGTTCTAGCTGGCAATCGGCCATAGCTTCCATAGCGAAACCAGCGCTGAAGAGTGCTACACCGAGACCGCGAATGGTGGCGACAGTGTCAGTGTCCAAGTCCAAAGACGAACCAGTCAACCGGAAAGGTAGAGTGAATGGAAGGGTGACAAGAGTTAAGAAAACGGCCTCGGGAAGGAATTGCTTCAAGAAAGCGGATTTCCAGAATCCAGGATCCTTCGACTTCATCTCATCGTATCTTGGATCGTCTTTGCCACGGGTGATGGTTCTCTTCGAGATGCGGTAGAACAGTCGGGTACCCCAGATCGTCACGCAGCTAAGTAGTACTTTCTCGGTCCAGGGGATGGCTTTCCAGGCGGTTGAAAAGGAAACATTCTCGTAGAAAATCTGACGGCCAACGGCGCTCCACCAGGCGTTGATCACTTGACTTGATGGCCAGCACCAATCCTTGATCTCGCCCTTGTCGGTAGTTTTCGCTGCGATAAAAGAGGCAATTGAAAGTCCGGTGTGCAAGGTGAATGAGGGGAGGATAGTCGATTTGAAGATGCCGACATCGCCTGTGGTTAAGCCCGGCCTGGGCTTTTGCGCGGCTAGTTGGTCAAATGTTCGGTCGATGTCGACCATCGGCTTTTTGGAGCCGTAGATATCCATATTTGTGAATTGGATGCAATTGAGTCTGAGGAGTAGAATGGTGCATGGTCGGTTTTATAGCTGCTATGTAGGGGTTGATGTCATGGTTTTGTAACTATTTAAGTGACGTTCGGATTGCCGAATATGGCAAATATCCCCACCGGCCCGGGGCGCCGATGGTCTTGCATACTAGTAGTGTTCAGAGTTTGAGACCAGATCGTATTCTTGGTTTAATGTCACCCACTTTCTTGGAATATCCGAGAACTCGCGCCAAAGTAAACAGGAAGATAAACACATGTATGCATCACCGCCTCGCTTTGAAGTCGCCTTGACAAGAGGTTAAAAAGTTGTCAAGTTGTGCTGCTTCGATGTACAAACACATGAATAAGATGCATTAATTATGACCATCACTAGTCTCGGTCAAGGAAGAAAAGTCAAATTGAGGAGTAGGATCACTAGATCCCTCTTTGGCCTTGTACTTGCTTTTGAGCAAGGCGGACAATCTAGACGTCCATAGCGTAAGGAGATCAGATTGTAGGTCACAAGCAGAAAATGCTTCAAACTGCTCTCCACATTGGGTATATAAATCGCTCTTAAATAATTCTCCTGATAATGTTGAAAGTACTGGGAGCGTAGCAGATAGATTGATTCCTATATTGTGCAATTCATAGCCTTCTGGTATTTTTTCGAATGGTAATTTGTTCGTGTTAATACGCCGAACCTTGTTATCCCTCGGTACTTCATCCTGTGGGCTTGCGTCCTGATGTCGTATGAGGTATGATCGTGGGTCATGAGGGTTTAAGATTGGTCTTGTCGTAACCTCTGCGGAAGTTAGTGAATTCAAGTTATGAGTTGAGTCGTTGGATTCGGGACGGAGAGCAGCACGCGCAGCAAGGTACCTGCTCAAATGCGGCGAGTTAGTCGAAGCAGGCGGTTTTGAGCGACCCTTGATAATCTCCCGTCGTTGCTGGATGGCTTGTTTCTTTCGATGCTCGAAATCAAGAGCGGTCTCCAAATCTGATTTTGGGCCGTCCTTAGCAAGGCTATGCAGTCTGGAAGACCACTGTTCAAGAACAGGAAATTCTTGACGCCGTTCTCTTATTTCTGAAGCTGGGCGCTGTGGCGATACCCTAGAGATATGATTTGGGGGTTGAGTACTCGAGAAAGCCGAGCTCTCGAGGGCGTTGGTAGCGGAGCCTCGCCTAATGGGCATTGTGCGGCTTGCGATTTCGGATGACTCGGGCGAAGATTGCTCTTGAGAACAAAAGCGTTCATGCGCTAGTTGACTCAAAGGAGGTTCTTCCTGATCGTCATCCGATGACCCCTCAGTAGCTATCCGGGTGATTGCTACTTGAGTAGTCTTCCCGAACCAGGTGTCCAGAGCTCCGTTACCATACTTTTCCCTGGCTCGTTGCCTTGAAGCCCTCGTGGCCTCATCGCAACCACGACTTGTGGGAGACGCCTGGCCCGTCTGAAAGCATCGCAAATCTGACGGAGAACTCGACGCTGACGGAGTTGATGTGGTTGGCCTGGGTAAAAAGGAGCCGGCCGAGCACCGTCGCGGCGTTTCTTGTGACCCCCTGCGTCCCTCTTTAGATACGTGCACGTGGTCATCTATGGGCGGCCGATGGTCTGTTGTATTTCTGGTCTGACTTTCACCGGCTTTGCGAAATGGAGGGTTGCACCTTGTTATAGACCAAGGGTTCAAGAACTCGCGGTCTGTAGACCCTCTGCGGCTGTCGATACCTGATACTTGACTTGTCTGAGAAGAGGCTGAGCACTGGCCATTCGTAACGTGCGAAGAAGGCGGAGGCCCCGCTGACTGAGCAAGAGAGTGAGCTGTAGCAAAGCGAGCCGTATAAGATCCCGAGTTCGTATCCGCAGATGGCGAGTCTTCAGATGGGCTTCTTCGAGTCAAAAGCAGGTCAAATGAATCTTTATCAGACAAAGTGCCCTTCCCTTTTGTAGAGGTCGGTCGCTTCTTGTGTTGAGGCTCATTTTCGCCGTACACACTCTGAAAGAGGTCCTCCACAAGTGAAAGTAGCCTTTGGGAATCTTCGAATAGAACATCATCTTTTGCCGGCTCTATATTGACGTCATAACTTCCTTGAGGGCATTGAACATGCAAACAGAGGAACGGATCAGTTATGGACGGACTGTCCTCACTGCGGGAAAGAGCCGAACGAAGATAATATTTGTATAACTTGGAAATATCTTGTCCTATGCCTCGAGAGCTGGATATGGGCCTGCCATCGACAGTGAGGTACTGGCCAGCGCTGCTCACCTTTGTGCAGTCTGCTATGGTTAGCCATTGTATCGAGGGATAGGAAGGAATACAACACGAAATACCGGTGTCGAGATTCAGTAGTAAGGCGAGGAGTACAAACCCGGAGGTATGCTCCTCTTGGGGCTGCTCGGAGTTTACATCGTCGTCAGAAGGCCATTTCTTCAAGACGCAACTGGAACTGACATCAGTGCCGGCAATCTTCAATGCCGCGTCTGTGATAGTTGCGTCCCGCCCAGGAGCGTAGATCCAATTATTGTTTTCGTTTTTAGCCTTTAGAACCTTTAATGAAAGTCGTTTCGAAGGTTGTGCCATAGCATATATCTGTATAAGCTTTTTGATTCGCGTTAAAGTCTTCATGGCACTCTTTGAAGCAGATTGTCTTCGAACAGGAATGTGCTTGAAAAGATTAGTTATACGGACTGTCGTGCCCACAGGATGCGATGCACGCTGAGAGCTTCATACATGAGAAATTAGCCATGGGACCAGAATTGCATGAAGGGCATAAGTACCTGATAAGTTCCCCATTCCTTCCATACTTGATGGAGGTGCCAACCATCTCTTCCTCAACCCGAGTTGTGATAGTCACGCTATCTGATACTTCGGCAGCGCTAGCAAGAGCTTCCCCTCTAAATCCTAAAGATTTCCCTCCAAGGGTCCAAAGATCTTCAACGGTTTGGATCTTGCTAGTAAAAGTGCGCTTGCAAACTAAAGCATGGTCACCGGAAGGGATTCCATGTCCGTTATCTTTTACTTGAATCACATCAATTGCGTTCGAAGATATCTCAATGCTTATAGATGTTGCAGAAGCATCTAAGGAATTGTCTAACAGCTCCTTCACAACCGAGCACGGGTCCGATATTACAGATGTTGAGCCAATCGCCCGGACGGTGGTCTGGGGAAGAGCCGTGATCGGCATCTTTAAAGGTTGTACTGATGCAAACGAGAGACCATTGCTCCTATAGAACTTGATGGAGACGCTATAACATGAAAATATGATAGGAATTATAGTATATAAGTGGAATAATTAATTAATCGGTATGTTGGTGAGGAGGATTGATTCTCATAGCAAGAAGGAAAGGGAAGCAAATGGATACTAACAGCCGAGTATTTCCACGCACATGATTGGCACACGCCACGTGAGCAGATATTAGTCAGCGAATTCTGGGCCATTCCTTCCCAACATTATTGTGGAAGACATAATCAACAATGTTGCAACTCCAAGGATACGCTGGATTTTACGCCAGATCATGACTTGAAAGCAGGATGCTTTGCTCTTCATTCCATATATCGCGACTCGCGATTCCATCGGTTTGTGCGTTGATCAGTTTCCTGGCATACACGTCGCAGTATTTCTTCAAGTATTTCGAGGCAGCACCACTCAGGGAGCACGAAATATGGCGCATTAACATCTTCGCTCTTTGTATCTGGATATGCTACTATCGAGCTTGCACTGTAGACCCAGGACGTGTCCCTAGAGACTGGAGGCCTCAAGATGTCAAGCAACTGGAGGCCGACCGTGCTAGTGGCCGACAGCGATGGTGCCGTAGATGTGAAGCCTTCAAACCACCACGAGCACACCATTGCAAGACATGCCAGAGGTAGGCGACACACGAAATATAATCTGGGATACTATAGCGAACTGATCTCGTTCAATAGATGTATTCCCAAAATGGACCACCACTGTCCGTGGACGGCAAACTGTGTTTCGCATTTCACATTCCCTCACTTCGTGCGTTTCCTTTTTTACGCAGTCGTGGGTATGAGTTATCTCGAAACCCTCTTATTCGAAAGAGCGTCGATTGTGTGGGCGTCTAGGAATCTTCCTAGCGTAAGAAGAGGATCATTCCGATTATCCGCCTTGCGCTGACAACCGTCTCTCTTAGTACCTGGGTCCAAGCGTAGTGCAGCTAGGTCATTTGTTTATTCTCTCTGTTGTAAACAGCCTGACTGTTTTTATGCTGTTTATACTTCTTGTGCGGACTCTCTGGTCGCTTGGTGCCAATACTACTACCATCGAGTCATGGGAGATTGAGAGACACGAAACACTGTTGCGACGAGCCCGCCATTATGGTGGGTATCTGGAGGGCCCTGGCGGTGTTCGTGTGCGCATAAAGAGACAAGAATTTCCGTACGACATTGGAATATGGTCAAATATTAGAGAAGGAATGGGTGGGAGTTCAAATGTTGGTCATCTTGGCTTGAGCTTCCTGCCGTTGCTGACAGGTTGATATTAGGTCTTAAGCTGGTTCTGGCCATTTGCAAGAACACCGGACCGTAACACAGGGCTAGAGTACGAGGTCAATGGGTTTGAAGGTTAGTAATCACCAAAGCCGGGTCACCCGTGACTCGAATTGGCCGATAAGTGAGGGCTAACAGGCATCAGATCCCCATGTCTCCTGGCCGCCACCGGATCCGGATCGTATACCTCTGCCGCCCAAAGACGTCGGCGATAGTGTTGCCTTCACTGCCGCTGAGACCTCCGGCTATGATGTCCAGGCATTTAATCAAAGAAAGGCAGAGGATCTTAGACGTCAAAGAGCGGGCTTAGAAATCGAGCGCCGTAAGCGTTTCCATAAACGGCTGGCAGAAGATTCAGAGGAAGACGAGTCGCAGCAATCTGACGGTCCCGATGATAAGGGGTCCGACTATGGTGAAGAAGGTTGGAGAAACTCAGAAGGTGAACGGCTACGTGATTTTGGCGTCGACGAAGATATTGAATTCTATGACGAAGAAGACCTCCCTCTGGGCGTATTAATCCAACGGAGAGCCCAGGCTGCCCTCAAGGAGCTGAAATGAGAGTCAAAATGCACCACATCCATCGGAACTTTTCTCATTTGTGACTCTAGGCGAAGCCAGTTGAGCGGGTGCATTACTTAGTACAGCGTAAGCAATAATAGCAACTATAAATTAGTATTGGTTACTCACTTAGATGGCTTCTCAGAGAGTGACGGCAGCAACTCTATATATAAAGACGCTGCCAAAACCGAGACACCCACCGAAATAATGTATGTAACAGGTATATCATGACTAACCCTCAGACTTCCTCAATCCGATCATCTATCTCAGGGGTTGGAAACAAAGTCAAAACCCCAGTCGAGCCACAACTTCCGCGACTAGTACCCATACGTACCAAACCAGGACGTGGGCTAGCCGCCAACTCAGGATCAGAGTAATAAGCACTATGAGCATGCTCCAAATGATGAGCCGAAGGTGCACAGCCCCTCGACCGACGTTGACTTTGCATCCAGCCCCGTCCCATAATAGCCACATCCGACATATGCAACGAAGAGTAGATCGCTGCCTGGGATTTCCTCCTCGAGTGCCCCGACCCGCCAGCCTGATCTGACCCAGCCTGTCCCTCACGCGAAGTAGAAGGCGACGACTGCGAGCCCTTCCCATGCGCTCGCTTTATCTGCACAATGGTAGTATAGATAACTGGCGCAGCGGCACAGACATGCGCCATGGCTGCCTCAACGCAGCTAAGCAGGAACGCAGGAGCTTGTGAGTAGGGTGGGTCGTGGTATGTTCCCATTTTGCCGAGCGCGGGCATGCGTGCGGATGCTATTCCGATTACTCTGTTTAGTTTTTCGCTTATGGTTAATATTCTTGTCTGTGCTTTATTAGGTGGGTTGGGAAGGTTGTACATTATACCGACACTGAAGACGGAGATAAGGGCGATCTTCTTTCTCCGGGGGACATGGAGAGTCCGGAGGACTGGGAGCGGGAGGATTAGGATTAGGACTTCGGTGATGATGTTTAGTGAGGCGTTGGCGTAGGCTACGGATGCGATCTTTAGACAGCGGGCGTTGTCGATGTCGTAGTCCCATGCGGCTCGGAGGGGCCTGCATTGCCAGATTGCCATGGGTGTGGTAACTAGGAAGGAGACGATTAGGAAACCGATGCAGAGGAAGTCGAATCTCCTGAAGAGGGCGATTGGAAAGATGCGGAGATAGAGGAGTAGGATGGACATTTTGACGAAGAACACGGTGAATGGCCAGAAGACTTGGCACATGTACCCTGAGGAACACAATTGTTTAGTGTATGCTATTTTTAGGAAGCTATGACACTTACACCAGAAGAAGAGGTCGGTTATCTGGGTGAGGGATTCGACTTTGATATCATAGAGGTGAAGTCCGAATCCTTGACTAACACCTTACATAGCCTGTCAGTTTGATTGACACGAATGGAGAACATATGATGGAAGGAATCGCACTTACAGAAGTTTCCGAAAATGCTTAGGGGTATTGCGAATACCTTGGGTTAGAACAATTAGAGGATTTCACTGCTGGAGGCGCTTTGGAGATGAAGGTCCACAGACATCGAACGTACCCCTGCGAGTATATGCATCCAGTCATCCCACCATAACTTACGGACTGTCCACAGCCTGGACAAGATACGTAGGATTATCACTGTATATGTGATTGTTGGTGTAGTGATAGCTAGCGCGATCATCAGTCTGTGATGGTTTTTATCGGACCGGTTGCATTGCGCAGCATCCCCTCGGACCAGCTCTATGAAGCCGCCAGGTTAGTATGGTAAGCTTGAATATTTTCAAGCAAGTTGGTATACGTACGCATCAGGTCCTCTAATTTACAGGTTTTCACCGCACAGGCTGAGGCGTGCTTGATGAACTCTTTATCTTCACACTGGCATTCAATGTCAGAAAGCTCGCAGTGGGAAAGAGGGATGGCGCCTTGTAGACATGCCAGCTATATAACTTGATCAGCCATGAAAAAAATAAGGAAAGAATCGTGAGGATACATACTGCACAAGGTGATATGTCTTCTGGGTGATAACTTCCATTTATACGCTGCGCAGCCACGATACTATTAAGGCCTAGTAACGACCACAAGCTGAAGACAAGAACGGCAACAGTAGAGGGTCTCATGTTATAATATCAAACCAAACAATGACTCTGCATAATAAACGGCATTATAGAATTACCTCAGCAAAAACCAGAAACATGCAAAGAAAACGAAGGAGGGAGAATTGAATGAATGAATACTAAGATTGCACTACTAAGAACGCAGATCAATCGCTGATATAGGGCAAGGTATGTACTACAGAAGAGTCCCCCTTGGGGAGCTATTTGGCAGTATCAACGTCATATTATCCCGAAGGAAGTCCGACCGAGAGTCAATTTTCCCCTTGACTCAGGGACTCATGCCTAGAACCTCGACTTGTATTATGTGGAAGCCGTATGAGATCATATCTATGCAAATGGTTTAGGATGATTCGATACCGTGTTGCCATAACAGGAAGCTGGAATATTTGATTTCCCGTTCACGCATTCATTTTCTGGCAAATAACAAGTATTATACACGGCCATAACCTCATTAGCGATTGACTATTGTTGACATGAGATGGAATATCATCCAATGGCTCTTGCAGGCTTCTGGAACCTATTACTATTAGAGTTGAGCCACACGGTCATTGCCGGCTGGCAGGGTGTGGCGGTCCCTTGACACGGTGCACTGTCCTGGTTATTGTATTAGCTATTTCCTATTAATGTCCTCTGGCTTGTGAACATCTAAATAGCTAACTTGTCGGGGCTACGTAGGAACAGCTCAGCGACAAGCTCCTACTTGCCCCATTGATGCTGATGTAATTCCAATGACCCTCGCCTGCCATAGTTAGCGGCGATGGCCCACGATACCATTCTGTGGCTCAGTAACCGTGCTTCGTGTCAAGAATCGATAACCAAGTTATGGACACATTATTGTGTTTTAGGATATTTGGAAGGTTTCCCAGTTCTGAGCACCGCCCAAAAATGAAGTTCCTTTTCCTGGAGATGTACACTTACACAATACCATCCGAGTCTAACATGCGATGGCGTGAAGCAAAGTCATAGAGGCTATCCCAGTCTCGACATTGGTGTGTATTGTTCCACCCATCGACAGCCCTGACGGAGGTTCCGTCTCCCCCTAGCACTCCTGAGCCCTCAAGCGTCGCATCACTCGCACACATTATGGACTGTTTAAACCATTGTTAGTGTATATGGCTTGGGGGTGAATAGCTTTTAAGGGAATCGAACCTGTCGAAGATAATCGATGCAGTGTTTGGTATGATCGCTATGATCATCCCTGTGATGATGGTCGGCGTGGTTCTTCGAGAATATGGCATTGTAAATGATGGCCTGGTGAGTTTGCATGAGCACAACGATCTATTGTATGTAAGGTAATATACAATATACGGCGGTCCACGACTTACCAGGCAATGCATCTGGTGGAAAGCTGAGATACAGTAGTATTCTCTGGATGAATCTGCGCCAAAGGATACCGAGGAGTGCTCTTCGAAGGCTAAAGCTCCCGACCTTGTCCGCTTTGCAGTAACAAAGCCTCTCCCAGCTGCTGATATGTGAGTAACGATATACCAACGAACTGTCCTTTATGTGATCGCCACGTACGAGGTATTAATTTATCCCATACTGAACCCGGTTCATCTGGAAGCTGATCCGTGTACTCGTTGTGTGGAAGAAAGGTCACTGCCCGATGAGGTACTTCTCGAAGTTAGGACCAGCTATGGCGCAAACGAAAGCATCGTTGAAGATGATGACTGACCCTTGATATGTGAAGATTCGGATACATAACTAACCCTACAGGCTGAATTTATCTGATAGTATAATGCCGCACCTAGACCGGCGCATAGAAGAAATAATGAGGTCGTAAGAGCTAGGATTCTCTTATTGGCATGTACTTGATTCTTCTGGGCCTGTATGGGTAAAGTATCGGAGGTCGTATTGTCATCCTCGGTACTGAGAGGCGTATATGGATTTTTATAATGGCTGTCCATAATCTCCTTATACCAAAAAGGACTTCAGTTGAAAGGATGATGAACTATCAGCAGAAAAGCGTCTGTGGAGAAACAAAACTTTTATGTCTTCAAAATTTTTGGCAGACAGTTCAGGCTTAGATCCCCGAAAATATGCAAGTACGCTTTGGATCTTGTTCTGTGCATCGCATTGGTGACTATAGTGTTGTTAAGGTTCGAGCTGGTAAAAGAAGTTTCTTTGTTTGCAGAGGCCAACTTCCATGGCTTCGAACTCTTGGCTTATTCCCCACAACAGTTTATTTCTGACAATAAGGGAATGAATAGGCTCTGATTTATTGATGACTCTCTTAGGTAATCTTAACGCTGTGTATCAAAACGAACACCGTGGTTCCATTTACTTACGAAGTAGTTAGGAACTATCCCTATCGCGCTTATTTGGAGACCCTAAGCTTGACCTTGGAAAAGGCATGTTGTACAGCACCAAGTCTTATAGCTATTACTTTAACTGAGACTTGGGACTTGCGAAGTAAAATGATTGGTTTGACTCTCGGAGTGGCTACAAGTTAGTCGTACAATAACCTCCTTGTGCGAACCTATGCTGACCACTATCCCCGCCAAGACGAATATGCATATCCCATTCCAGGTTCCTGGGGACCATATATAAGTGTATATTGGTGGTAATTTATGATTGTTCTGCTATCGGAGTGATAGATAAATCAACACTAAGACGCTTCTTTCATCTATTGGACGAATATCACACAACGAGCAGCCAACCTCGTATTTCCCCTCCCGCGTCAGACCAAGAATGTAACCATGCCCAGGTTGACTCATCTTCTAAGCAGCACATCACATAGATAAAATCTTCTTATTCCATATCACACGGCATTCTCTCCTACTTAGATAATCGTTTACTCGAGCGGAAGACTTCTTTACAATGTCTCCATCCTCAGACCCCGCGACACCCCAAAATAGTAACGTCGTACTTATTCCCAAAAAATACGCCCACCAGAAAGACCTAGAAGCCATAATCACACGATATCGAACACTTCGTTTAAGAGGCCTGAAAGAGAATCCAGATGCCTTCTCTTCTAAGTACGAGGACGAAGTTGAGTTCCCATACGAGAAATGGCTAGCTCGAGTTACCAACCCGCAAGCGCGTTCCTTTATCGCTTATGACGATCAAACAGACAACAGCTTGGACCCTTTAGCACTTCTTTTGAGTCGAGAATGGCTGGGTACTGTCACAATAGTAGGGCCTAGATTGCTACCTGAAGATAACAAAACTCTGTCAAAAGCACCATGGGATGTGTTTTTTCTGACAGACGAGCGAATTCCGTCGGAGGAGACTCATCATACGACTTTAGTGTATATGCTTGGTGGCATGTTTGTTCTTGAGGCGGGGAGACGGAAGGGGAACGGTCGTCGGCTGATTGAACGGGCTGTCAGTGAAGTACGGACGGAAGCTACTGAGGCGGGGGCAAGTCGTGTTTTAGTGGTGTCTATCGTGGAAAGAAATAATGACGCTGCACGACGGTTGTATGAGACTTGTTCGTTTGACGTGTGGGATGATGAGCTTGTGTTGCAGATCCCACAGCACCAGGAGTGTGTTGGCATGGTTTTGGATCTTAGGCTAGAGGGAGGATTGTCTGATGCTTTAGAGCGATGAATGGACAAGAATGTGTTGTATGATACGCATTCATGGGGTATATATCTGCTGTCGTATATTCTTAACGGGAAAATCTATGTGAAAATAAGTAGCACTACCATAGCGATAGGTATGGCAACGAGTATAACAGTAACAATCGACGCTCCGACAACATCGCTCGTTGTAACTTTTTTGGTTGTAGAAGAGCTACCTTCATCATCACCTTCTCCAGCCGTAGGATCGCTCGTACTATTTCCTCCAGTCGTCGACGTGACCGGAGCCCCTGACGTATTCAGCCCGATCATATTCGCTGCCAAGACACTGGTGACGCTCATCTGTTCTTCTAGCCCATTCCAACCATCCCAGGTCGAGTTATACCATACGACACCGCAACTATTGTTGTTGTGTCCAGTGCAGGTTTCAGCAGCCGCCACACCCGAACCTTGGAGTTTGGGAATAATCGTGCTATATGTGGAAGGTACTAGTAGAGCCGTAAAAGCCAACCACATAGACAGGAGCCCTTTGAAAATGATCTCGTTGTTGTTGCAGACCTCGGTTGTTTCGCAAGTGTAGTCGGACATGATGTTGCCGCCGTACTTGGTCGGGAAGAATCCGTCAATAGTTGCGTTGAGTAGGCCATTCACGGCAGTAAGCCATGTGGTGCTGCCGTTCGTCTAGATATTGATGCGCTGTCAGTACCACCTGTGACCGATTCACGAACTGCAAGCTACTTTCACCAAGGAGAAGGACATAAAACTCACGTAGTTATACATGTATGCGGCACCGCCAATATAAGCACCATAGTTATAAGTCCACTGTGTGTTACCTTGCGATGTACAATTATCATCCACATCCGTTGAATCGGCAACATTCCAAGTGTTGGTATTCAGTAAAGGAGTAGAAGCCGACCAGTTCCATATCTTCTCGGCCCAATCGGCGTACGTCTGGTTATTTGTATAGCGAGCGAGGCGCGCAGCCAGTTGAAATAGACCACCGTTCGAGATAGAATTCTTCATACGATACCCGGCTTCGTAGGTGTAAATCTGCCACCGCATTCCTCCAGCGCATGATGATGTATCCCACCGTTTGACCTGTGTGTTGAACACTCCTTGAGCAAGAGAGAGCCATGAGTATCCATCGCTCACTTCGGGGAACTGTAGCTCGGCAGCCGTCATCGCGGCCAAGCCCCAGAACATTTGATCATCGTTTCCCTACCACTGATTAGGGCCTTGCGAAATAGAGATTCAACGCAGACTAATATTCTCACAAGATAGGAGCTCCAATTCGCAGGCATATAGTCTCCATCTCCTGCTTGCCACTGCATTCCCACACTAATTTCGTCATTGTATGTCGAGTCGCCCGTAAAGTGCCAATACTCGATTAGGGTCATAAACATGGCGCCACCTTCCCACCATGTGTCGGGTAGTTTTCCAGGAATATTACCGGACTCGTTTCCGTGATAGTAGTGCATCATTCCATATGCCGCTGTGCTGGCCGCATCTTTGATGGACTCTATAGGTACAGCCACCTCAGGTAAGCACAACTATACAGGTATATAAGGAAAAGGGTGTATGAACGTACGCTCAGAGCTGACATCCACGGAAAAGGCATTGACTGCTCGCAGTAACTGAATCCCCAGATATGTTAATGCCCCTCCATTTAACCATCCCATTCCGTGAACCATTGTGTCCAGATTCTGTTGCCATATACTATTTGTTGTAGTAATCCTGAACTGCTCATCTATGGCTTGAGCACCAGATCAAGAATCTGAAAAGTTCTCGAAACAAAACAAAGTCCAAGAATTGGAGATAATATCATATATGGAATCCATCTTCTTTTCATTGAATTGGGAATTTAGTCGCCTGGAGGGAAATGAGATGGTGGAGTACCTTCCTTCTACCAATAACTCAGCTGTTTGATGGCTTCTGTGGTCTACGTCAGCAGTCAAGCAACCTGAAGCTTTAGCGGAAGCGTCTTGGCTTCTTCTACTGCCCGGCATTTGGCGGGCGGCTATGAGTGGAGTGGCATTCATACGTCCTTCGAGAAGGTGGATCACCGGCTCTTCTTGGCACACCTTTATGTACTTATGTAACGACGCATTATCAATTGTCTGACGTAGGCTTCTGAGGTTGGTGCTCGATCCTATCCGTGGGATAATCTGTTGACACCACGCAGTCATTAAAATCTAAAAGACCATAAACGTGGTGGATTGAGTTCGTGGGGGCTGGAGGACATTTGAATTGTATTTCCCTTTTCATTTCTATTTTTCTTTTAATATCTGAAGACATGGCGCCATACTATTATTGAAAAACGCCGCCAAAACCCCCATGCTGTATGTGGGTGAAGAAGTGCAGAGTACAGTACATATTGTCCATCTATCAATCATATGAAAGAGCTGCAGGGCATGAAGGGGAATGACTTTGGGCCTTGACGCTGGATGGTCACTTCTGCCGAATCTCATGACTCTCGGATTTAAGATATAGGGTTGAACCGGGATTTTTAAAGGGGGAGGCACTGCATGGAAGCTCCTCGGTTCATGAGCCCTACGGCGAAGCCCTAAAATAGCTTCTGGCTAGGTCATGGCTAGTCTCAGCTATTTTCAATCAACGTTGATATTGCCATATTTACGAAATAAAACAGTTTTATTTTTGATTATTGTTCTAATCACTAGCCACCTTCTTTTTTATATTCCTCTCCCATGGACCACGCTAAAATGGATGCTTTAAAGTGCTGGCGTACACACATTGACTGGGCTTAATTAGCGCTGCCAAAAATACTCCAAAAGTCCGAGTAAATCCAAGTAAGTGGGGGTCGAGTTCCCAATTCGTCTACCAAGTCAAATAAATCCGAGAACACTGGGAGGTTCGGACTACAGGGAAAATACTTTTTTTCGAGGAAAATGCTTGTTTCAGAGGGCATTCTGAAACAGACTCGCAAATAAGTATTCACCAATGAATATTGTTGTCAATAGGATGTGGACTTTGACGTGTATAACAGATGTGGTCTCGTTAGGGCAAAGGGCGGGAGAAAACTCAAGCGAGGCATACGTATGCTCCGATATCAGATTTCGGCAACCACGCAATCTGCAGTGTCAACCACGAAAGACAAGCTTTAAACGGGATCCACTTCTCATAGGCTACAACAATACTTTTAGCGATTGTTTTTTGCTCTCCCCACTGCTCATGACCAATCGACAAACCTCTGTCTCAGTGCCATGGCTATGGCCGAGGATGTCTTTGCATCGCATAACTGGAAGCGGGCCGGCAAAGACAAGATGTTATGACTCGATGCATCCAATGACCAAAGTTCTTGCTTTGTATATCCATGGTTTATAGCCCGACAAACCTGGGAAGAACTTAGAACCAGCAGATGTCTTACCAAGTTGCCACTTCCGACTGGGTACGAGGCTTGTAAAGGTCCAATATTTGTCTTACTCTTATCTCCGATCAGTCAAAATTCTTATCCATCTCCCAGCCATATGCTTTATGTTCCCCGGCCTATACTTATATAGTTTGTCCTTGTTCTTCTAGCACATCCATAGCTGCATAGGTTGATCCCCTCTTCAATCCACTCACAGTGACCTCCAACCCTATCCCTCTGCATAAACGTCTAATATGACTCTTCCATCTTATTTGAAGTGGTCTGCGACAGCAGTTGCACTCGTGGCACAGCTGTGCACTGCGCAAACCTATACTACCTGTAACCCTCTAGAGAGTATGGCATTAACTGTATTCCCTTCGCAGGCTTTGGTGCGAGTGACTAATGAGATTTCTGTGCAGAGACCTGTTCCGCAGATGCTGGCCTGGCAAACTCTACCTTATATACTGACTTCACCTCGGGTCTGTCAGCGTTCAAGTACTGGAACACTACGGCGGGCACAGTGAGCAGCACGTCACTGGGTGCTGAGTTTTCTATCAAGGAGCAGGGCGATGCTCCCACCATACAGAGCGATTTCTACATCTTCTTCGGCTATGTAGAAATGAAGATGAGGGCCGCCAATGGCACCGGCATTGTCAGCACACTAGTGGTAGAATCTGACGACCTGGACGAGATTGATTGGGTATGTCTTAATCTTTGATCCCTGTCAATGAAGGGGCTAACAATAGCAACAGGAACAAGTTAGTACCTTTGATAGCCAAATTCAAACCAACTACTTCGGCAAGGGCAATACCACTTCGTACGATCGCGCTACCACAGTGACAGTCTCTACGCCTGAAGAGACGTTCCACACCTACGCGATCAATTGGACCTCAAGCAAAATCGAATGGCTCGTCGATGGAAGCGTTGTCCGAACCCTTAAATACGCCGATGCTCTCGACGGCGAAAACTTCCCCCAGACCCCTTCCCGGATCAAGATCGGTATCTGGGCTGGCGGTGACCCCGACAACGAGGAGGGTACCATTGAATGGGCCGGTGGGGAGACTGACTACGATGACAGTCCCTTTACCATGTATGTGGAGTCTATCAAAGTTATCAACTACAACCCTGCCAAGTCCTATACCTACACCGACAAGACTGGCTCCTACACCAGCATCAAGGCATCGAACGTGTCGACTGCTTCGAACTCGACAACATCTACGACCTCTCTGTTCCATACGAACACCATGTCGTCAAGCAATAGCTCGTCCTCGTCCTCTGGTGCAAGTGCCGCCGCATCTAGCACTGCATTCAGTGGTGCTTCCACGTTCTCAATATCTTACATCGGCTCTGTATTCGTGGTTGCGCTTGCAACTATGGCTACTGGCATGCTCCGTATTTAAGCGATGTATAATAGGAGGGGCCTTTTGTGTCCCTATCTAATCATTATGAAGCCAACTCCTTTACTCTCCTTTTCATTTTTCTTTGTCACTCCTGGACCTTCTTTTCTCACTAAGAGAAGTATACCACATTCAATCTAGTCGAATGTCAGGTATCACTCTGATTCCAGCATAAGTTAGCGGAGGATGAGCTTGTATGCAGTAGGGTAGTGTCAACTTGTCGACAAGTTTAGACTTCCAGATCGTCTTCTAATTCGTAGACATACGTCTATTTCAGAGATGTTGTAAGATATCTCACTCTATAAGAGATCCGGATCTCGATTCCAATATTAGATAGCATGAGTTCTGGTGCATCAGAAGATGACTGACTATATTGGAGACGCCAGGAGGCCACCGCTTGGCACCGCTGAGTCAGCGGAATACTTGGTGTCGGAATCGGAAGAATAAGATGTTCCGTATCCACCGGATTGCGATCACCGCCCAAGCATCCACGTTCTTCGCTAGCATATCCGCCTCCTATTTCACAGACACAATGACATCCTCGGCGGAGAACTCTCCTTCCCCGGTTCCGGAGTCCTCCAATGAGTCCACGTCGCAATTAAACATTCCTCCCGATATCCTTCGTCTTCGCGCGGAGATCTTCGCACTAGAGTCCCCAATCACAGTTTCCGTGACCGAATTTAACAATGCTTGGAAATACATAGACAACATTTACGTCCGGAACCAAGCCAGACACGGACAAAAGAAAACAACCACATACTATTGGTGTCGATTATGGCGTACCAAAGCCTATGAGCCGAGCGTCTCGGATGAACAGCGCAAACGCAAGCGGACCGTTCGCGAACCAATTGGCTGTCCATGTCGGATCAGGATTGTTAGTGACGGCTACTATATGACTATCACCCGAGGCAAGGAAGAACACAATCATGATATCTCCGCGCTCGACTATAAACTCACCACCGCTGCTCGGGAGCTTGCTGCACAAGCGGTCGCAAAGGGCAGTAGACCTAGTTTGGTCGCGCGAGAACTGAAGAATAGCGGGATTGGCGGCCGTATAACTTCTAAAGATGCCTGGAACGCCGGTAATGTCTGGGTTAGTCGGAAAGAGGGACGGCCTGCATGGCAGAAGCATTATCCTAAAAATGTAGGTTTCTTTTTTAATAGAATGAAATACCTTTGTTTTGAGAAACACTGCTGTCCGAACGACGCTTTTCCCTTTGCCTGTTTTTCCTTTCCATTATGTCTTTGGCTTGGTCCTGGCAACTAAATGATTAACCCTACCAGTCCGTTATGGAAGCAATCGTGGTCAATGAACCAGGGCCTCCTGAGGTGCTGCACGTGGAGAGTTACCCCAGGCCTCCTCCAAAAAGCGGAGAAATCCTAATTGAAGTCAAAGCATTTGGTCTTAGTCGCTCTGAAATCCTTGCCCGGCAAGGCCATTCAGCCAATGCTAGGTTCCCACAAATAATGGGTAGGGAGGCCGTTGGCATTGTCACAGCGGGTGACGGTACAGTCGCATCAGGAACCAGAGTCGTTGCTATGATAAGCGACTTACTTCCTGAATATCCGGGCAGCTATGCACAGTACACTCGTGTCCCTGTCACCCACGTTCGAAGGATACACCCACTATGTAAGCTTTCGTGGGAACACCTCGCGGTATTTTCAGAAATGATCCCGACTGCATGGAATGCCCTATTTCGCGCTCTACGTCTCCATCCGGATGACCGCCTTTTGATCCGGGGTGGCACAACAGCCATCGGTCTTGCAGCGACGTGTATCGCTAAACGGCATTGCTCTTTCATAGCTTGCACCACCCGCCAGGAGTCCCGGAAGCAGCTTCTTGAAGGTGTGGGGGCTAACAAGATCTTGATTGATGATGGATACTTATCACAAAAGATCAAGTCAGAGGGACTGGAGTTCACAAAGGTCCTAGATCTGATTGGTGCCAAAACTATAACTGATTCCTTGCAATGTGTAAGACCGTACGGAATTGTTTGTCTAGCCGGAACGATAGGCGGCGACTCAACAATTCCGGACTTCAATCCGATGGATGCTGTTCCGTCCACTGTATCCTTTACAACATATAAGAGTTCTGTGGAAGACTTCAGGAACTTTCCACTGGACGTGCTCTGCCATGAGGTCGAAACTGGCCACTTGAAACTGCCAAATATACGGATTTACTTTTCTAACCAGATTGTCGAAGCACATCGAAGCATGGAAGAGAATCGTGCGGAAGGCAAAGTCGTGGTGCTCTGGTAAGTGGATTAGGCATCATCGCTTTACGCGCGATAATGTACAATATTATTCTCTGGACATATTATTAGAACAACGTATAATTCACTGAATTACGGAGACATTTTGCCATTCAAGATCTTCGATGCTGCTTAGTTGTCTGCCGCAGAGTCGGGGCTCTCCAGTTTCCCTGCCTACGGAGAGAACCGCAAATGCGCCAGGTGAAGAAGTTCAAAGTCAGAATTTGACACTTAATCGTCATTTAGGACTCTGTTCAATGATACAAAAGAAGGCAGGAGAATCGCAGATAGCTTCACAGAATCTATATGAAGCTAATGCTTGAATAATGTCAAACGCGCAACAGTTTTTCGATACCAGGAAGCTAAAAGAGGGATCAGGTCAACTACTAGCTATTCTTCAAGACAAGAGAAGTATTTGCAACCAAGACGTGTTATCCTACCCTGAAACACAGTGCCGTAATCCTTCTCTCTCTAGCATTGTCAAGCGTCCAATCAATAATAGTAGACAACATGTCTTTACACATGGAATGGACAGCCAGTAGGGAGATCTTTCTTCCTGAACTTCTCGAAGATGGCTTCGACTTCTGCTTGGCCCTTGTTCTCCATGATCTGAGGACCGATTGCTTTGATATCATACCCTTCGTCGCGGAAAGGGCCATTCTTGGTGGGCACATTTCCTGTTCCAAAGAGTCGCACCGACCAGGATTTGAGGCCCCATCGGTTTAGAAATGTCGGCTTTACATACCATGGATTAGCTAACCACTCTTTGACAGCGTAGCGTCCGGTATATGCATCTGGAGCTGCATCCAGAACCTTAACGGCCATGAAGTCCGGCCGGGGGAGGCTGAGGTAGCGCAATATGAACTTGCGCATTGCCACTAAACTAGCAACAAGGGAAGAAAGAGCAATTCCCGGTTTGCGATAACTAAGCCTTGTGTCAACAAGAAAACGTTCGAGAGAAATTGAGCGCCTTACCCCATGCTGACTCGGATGTGTTCATCAAGTCTTGTGGCAATGATACTTTCAACAGCAGGCCTGAGAATCGAAGGGTAATTGGCCGTCTCTAGGCCCATTAAGCGCCTGCTAATGAACAACGTCGACTGTGTTGGCTTTACTGCAGTCATCTCGTATTCCACCGTGAAGTCGCACAACTCCTGTGCAAAATGGATTCCGTCGGTGAAGCCAGCTTTACCAGACGGGAGTAGGTTGAACGGAATTTCCATCGCCTCCCCCATACTTCTATAAAACACACCAACGGCGCACTTCTCGACATCTGACAACTGACGCCATTCATACTTTTCTATCGATCGGAACAGATCAACCACTGCAGAGCCAAGGGTATGCAGCATATCTTCATCAAGGATCTTGCCAGCCGTCCTGTACCTAGAATGTATATAATTCATCCGGGCGAAGGCCATCATGTGAGCGTCGGAGCCAGCCTCGCGATCATGGATCTCATTCATTAACACCTCCGTATCAGCTCCGCGTTTGGTGTTGTTCTTCTCACTCCGCTGACCGGTAGCTACAAAGAGATCGGCCACGGTAGGAACAGAGGCGGTCTAGTATGGATTAATCGTTTAACGCCCGATTTGAAGCTTCTTAATGTGTACAACACATACCTTGAGTGTCGTCATCCTCGTCGAGCTGCGCAAAGCAAACGGAAACTCAAGCTCTCGCAACTGTCGCATAATGTCATGGGCCTCCTTGACAGTCATGCTGGATAGAGGACGGCCGGCCCGTTTGAACTTCGACTCAATTCGATCACATCTTTGGAAACGGAGATATTGCACGGCCAGGACATAGAGCCCTATCAATGACGCGGCAGCAATGAGCGCTTCGGATGTGTTTAACATATACATTTTAGTATTGACACATTGAAATACAGAAAGGATATATGTCGAAAGCCACGAAGGTAGGCCTAAAACATGGTTTCTTATACTATTTAGTTTCTGCTGGGCGCCACTTAACCATGTTGCCACCCTACCAGGGTTGTGCCAACAACAAGGGCACATCTGCGCGTATCCTTCCGATGCAATACAATGACTTATAGCAGGCGATAGGGTTCCTTGCCATATATTCCTTCTTAGGGCAACAGGGAAGGATATGACATCATTATTGGCGCTTTCCCAGGCCATGTCCTTAACAGGAAAGAGAGCAAAGCATGTTATAAGCCTGTATCCGAGCGCGGTTGATATCATAGCTGGACTTCGCCAGTACGGCCTAGATCTCTGCAATTTGAGAAGGGTGGTACGCTATGCATGACAGCTCATGTCGATACTGTATGATCTCGGTGTATTCTCAATCTAAAGTGGCAAGACTGTCACAAGGAGGATATCGAATGAGCAGATCCCACGCCCGACTTTGCGTGGTGTCAAATACTGGAATCATATATCGTTAAACTAGCTCTCTGCTGCTGCTGCTGCTGCTGCTGCTGCTCCTCACGCATGTTCCTGAACCCCACAGGCATATCGCATTAATGTGAACACTGCTCATCCATATTCTTACAACAAAGCCCCCTGAATTCTCATTTAGGGGAGGCGAGCCTTTATACGTCTACGCCTTGCCTTCACGTCTCGGTATGGCGCCAAGGGACACTCGCCAGAGAAAATAAATGTACCACCTCCGTGACTCGGAAGGGGTGAGTGAAAACAAGAGAGATTTTTCTGAATTGATACAATTTAATTTATCCCATTGGATTTCCCTCACATATGCAGTTAGTAGTTCTGGATCACTCAGCAATACCTAATAGTGGTTCTTACAAATCCATGCCCTAGACACAGGACCGGAGGTATGAGGGTTTTATTCTATATGTGGGCCTAATTCAAAACTGCTGCTTCCTATCCCGCGTTGTTCTCTAGCGTCCTCTTTAACTCGCACCATTAGCACCCGATAAACCTTGCTTCTATAGTTTGCTTTTTACATTCAATAAAAGGAAGATGACATGCATACATTCAGACATCGTTCGCATACAACTAGTAGGGTTAGGGCAATGAACAGAAAATATAAATTAGGCCGTATATAAAACCATCACTATTACAAAAGTCCACTTAATATGGTTTCCTATTTCATATGTAACGACTAACCCCATAATCTAACACTCCGGAGATTGTCCCCGAAGGATAATCCGTTGATGATTGTGGGGTAAATGTCCCAAAGGTCGAGGGACAGGTGGTCGGGATGGTCCTCCGATGGTTGCTTATCGTGACAGTAGTAGACACAACACGATGACATGAGAGTCGGACGATCGACGGAGAAGGACCCATTGCACTGTACATGACTGTAACTGTATACACTTAGCGGGTGTCTAAAACTCGATGTGTTTAATCATGACGGAGGATTAGTCCGATTGATTACTGGTGAGCAAGAAGCCTGTATGACACATGTGCTAGTATAGAATGATGATAGCTATGTGGGACGCCTACAAAATACATGTATCAATTAGCTTTTCTCCTCATTTAACACGCAGGATTAGTATCCGTGAATCGGTCTCCCTATCCGACAATCCTATGATCCCCAAACCAATACTTAAAGAAACAAAGTATCCACTGTTCCTGACATATCCAATCCATATATTGAGAGTCATATTAATCAAGATGACCATCTACCGACCCATCCCCAAAACATGGCAACGCGGCACTCGCCTGCTCAACCGTCCTACTGTCTTCATTGCGGGAGGTCACCTTACGAGGTCATTCTCATCCACACGGCGTCTCTCAGCAGCGGGGACAATCACAACACATCACGGCCAGAACTGCAGTCCTCGTGAGATATTTCATCCTACCCTTTTGTATAGGTAGCTGTGATACTAACATGGCTTGCTTTCTTCTAGCGCGTGCTGGTGTTCCTTACGTATGTTCTGTCACCCATTATTTGTCTTAACGTTTTTAATATAACTTGACAAATTGACACAACCGCAGTCTCCGGCAGCTAAAGCAAACGGCCTCGTCTGGGTTTCAGGCCAGGTTGCCGCCGATGCTACCGGGAAATATCTAGACAATGACCTCTCAGTAACTGAGAAATCACATAGGATGATGCAAAATGTAAAGGCCGTTCTTGAAGGGGCAGGGTCGTCGTTGGATAAAGTCGTCAAGGCTAATGTAGGTTCATTTCTATTATTGAATTCGAGGAATCAAAGATGAAGAGAGCACTAAATAAGGTCCTCAGATTATCTTCACCAAGATTGATGATGACTATGAAGAGTTCAATGAGGTGTACAAGCAATATATCACGCATAACCCTGCAAGAACTAGTGTTGAGGTTTCGGGACTTCCGAAGCCGGCGGATATTGAGATTGAGGTGGTTGCTTTAGCTTAGTTATATTTTCATTTAGATAAAGGGGGTAATTATGAGGTAACTGAAGTTATAACATCTTGTGAGTTCAGTTTAGTAGTTCTTTAAGAGTGTCTTGTATAGCCTAACTACTTGCTTCTGGTTCCGGTATTGGTGTTCCATTTAGCTACCCGAAGTGCAAGTTCCTACTGGGAATAGATATCTTTCTATTTTGCTTATTATGCATATGCTTAATGATATTATCTTGTAGATATACCAGATTGATGAGTCGAAATATACTATACTATATTCTGAATGAGGGCTACATCACCGGAGAGTGCCTCCGATACTAGCTATAGAGGTTTGTGGTAAAGCACCCGTCGGGATGGCCCTCCGACTTGTCCAGGGTATCATGGAGAAACCCCGACGGTCAGGTGGAACGGGGGAGATCAACATAGGGCACATAGTTCAACTCTGGAGGTGTAATGTCAAGATTGACCCTTGGTGCGGGTGGTTCTCGCTTCCCCTACAGAGATAGACTTTCTTGCATTGAACGTATTCCTCAAGGAATGGATATTCTCCTACCTGCTCGGCCTACTAGACTAGTACCACTTGAACCCTAATATGAGTACTTCATTTTGCATTGAAATGATGCTTTAGCTTGACCTTTTGCTATTCCAATTACACACCATATCCATTAAGCCGGCTAGATGCGCAGTTTAGAAATACTGGTTTCGCACTCAGATGGTGAGGTTTAAGTGTGTCATTTTAAACCACCTCATACGTGTACAGAGCTTCCTTGTATACAAAACATGCTCTTAACCATTATAGTATGACCCCCCAAGTATGCGATACTCTCCTATAAAGTCTGCTTGCTGTTTTATTTGCCATCCCCCATGGAGAAATGGGTGATTAATTATAACAAAAACATCAATTGGGTTGGCCGGTCGATACGTTTTATCCTTGGAACACATCCTATGAATGACAGAGACGTGATACGCGGCACCATTCGGAATAATACGCCGAAGTTTGTCGGGAATAGGTCTCTTTGGGAACGAGTACCGCATTTGGAAGTAAAGAAATTCTTCAACCCAATCCTGACCAAGGTGTGAGCTTGGCTTTGATTCTTGTAAAACAAGGCCTGGATTATATAAAGGATTCTTTGTGCTGCCCCATAATCTGTTCGCGAAGAATTGCTCCTTTAGAATGGTTATCCTTGCACAAAAGATCTTTATTCTTATGTCGAAGGGAGGAATGTCCTCTAGCACGCTTGTCGTGAGTATTGACCGCGGTGTCGATTGACCGCTGAACTCCCAGTAATTGTGCATATGACCTAGTTTGGCTGCACGATATAGTCCATCCCTCATTTGGTCGCTGGAAAAGATGCTTTCTAGAACGTCTTCGTCATTCGAAGGAGGTTGTGCCGGCTTCAACTCCTCAAGGCCACAGTATTGCCGTAGCTTATATGGATTGATGCCTAAGCCAGCTCTAGTGGCTTCACGGATCATCCAGACCAGAGGTATATGGCCTAGTTTCCAATTCTCATTGGGGTTTGGATCAGTTACTCCGCCAATATCCTATAAGGGTTAGAAGCTCATCGGGTGTTCAAATGAGAGGGATACCCACCGCATGTCCACCCGGAAACCAAAGCTCTTGAAAGTCATGCATACACTCCGCTGATTCGTTGCCTAGATTCGGTCGTAATGTGGGGTCTTGTTCGTCGATGGCCACAGCGTGGCGGACTACAAGACCTGGGTGTGTAACAACCGATGGTAGGTTTTCATCTTTCCGACGACCACTCGTCCCCCTTGCCGCATTACAGCCAGGTGCTATATTAACCGAGTCAAACAGACCCAAGAAGGTAACTGTGCATTCAAGGTTCCAGCTCCATATTGAACTCATCTGAGAAAATTCGCCTCTCGCTGAATTGGGGTTGCCGCGCGACACTGCGCGATACCAGGCCTGGTAAGAACCCCATATGTCATGCTGAACGCGAAGATGTGGTGTGTACAGCCCTATGAATTCCAGAATCTGAGCCAGTACCTGCGCCACGAAACCACCTCCTGAAAAGCCAAAAATGTACCATTTGCTCCTACGAACATAGTTGTCCAAGCACCACTGTTCACCAATTCTGACTTCAGTGTTCACAGCACACAAGCATCCTAGGGGCAGGCGGGAGGGACTATACCTTGTACGCGCGCATTACACGCCTTTCAACGCTGTCATCCGAAGTAGGTTGGTCGTAGTAGCAAACCTGCGAATTGCCTGCATCGCTGATTATATCGTGTATCACTCGAATTGCGGATTTGGTCCCCTTGCTAGAATATCCACCATCAAAAAATAGGATCATATTACGTTGAGGTTGGGCAAAGCTCATGCCTGGATCGGCAAACTTCCTGGCGGACTCTATAACAGCCTCCTCGAAGCCCCCGTAGATCTTTCTTGCATAAATCTTGGAAGGCTCTACAAACCGGAGATGAGCCCATGCCAGGTGTCTGTGCAGGCTGGGGCTGATTCGAATAAATTGGGAGTCACTCTTAGCTAGTTGGCCCAGCACTACAGCGACAGGTTTAGCAGGATGATCGGCTGACACCTCCTGACATTCCAAAAGGAGCGCCTTTCTTTGGGTGATCACTTCAAGTCCAAAGCTCCTCCCGACTACACCACCTTTGATACCAACGAGGGGTAACTGCAATCGAATTCCCTTGTTAGTCACCGAGTAAGGGGAACTATTTTTCAGAGATCGGACGGGAACGATATTCCTAGAGTTCTTGAAAAAGGCTGGTGTTAGTGCAAGCAATCCGGTGGCATTGAAGCCTTGAAAGTCAGAGGCGTCCCAGGCAAAAAGACTCTGATCATCAGATTCTTTCATGATCTCCTCCTGCAGTCTGATAAAAGCCTTCCTGCCTTCTCCATAGAGTAAGGGCATATTCACATTAAAGATACCCATGAGACAATACGCAGTATCTTCAGTTCTAGTTGTTACCCTCGTGGAAGCCCACGACATCCTCTTCGCGATGCTGCAATCGCCAAGTCGGGTCTTTCCTCGCAGAACAACCTCATCTATCAGTGTAATTTCGGATATCAGTTGGCTCAGGTCATTTTTATCTCCTATATCAGTCCAGTCTCTGGAAAGAAAAATCAAGTTTGGCGGAGCAATAAGTTCCTGCAGCGTCCAGCCGCGTTGAAACCATTCACTCTTCTGAAGCTGGGTCTTGATATCCGCTGGCTCTTCGCTAGGATGTACGTCCTCGAGGTATGCGTAGCAGATACCCGCCAATTGGTACCATCGAAACATAGAGTTGATGGCCTCGGATAGTTCGGCGCTGCTTTCCTTATTGATACAGCAAGTGTCGATCCAGGCATAGTCGTATCCATCCTTAGCCGCTCGTTCGAGGAAGCACTGTATCTTCTTGTATCCATTTGTGCCCTTGAGCCTATTTTCCTCCAGGCGGACTAGATTCTGGAAGCTTGTTTCGTCGTCGCCCCATCGGTGCGAAAGTATTGCATATGTAATTTTGCGCGTGTTAATCTTGTCTTCACCGAATTCCTCCAGCTGCAGCGATACGGAGTTGGTGCGGAGTAAGCGCATTACTCGTGATTCGCGTCACAAGCGATGGTTTGTCATGTAGCAAAGAAATGAAACTGGGTTATGTAGCACGATATTAGAGTGCAGCGACTAGATTTACGTTACGCCGAGTTGAACGGGTTCATTTGAAATTAGCTGTCAGCTTCGCGGGGTCTCGGCGTGTTCATTAAATAAATAACCAGCCACTAGACCCTTTTGGACGTAGATACCCTGCCTAATCGGGAAAAGGATTGAACCAGGCCCTAAATGGTATCATGACCGTTATAGGCTTGCCCTAATCTGACTACCTCATGCTTAAAATATTACATGTCCCAGATCCCTGGGTTGTCTAGGGTTAATGTAGAAGTCCAAATACTATTATTTTTCACTCTATGCGAATATTCTCCGCGAGATGGAGCTTGATGTCTAATATTATACAGCCCTAGGAACATAAACCCAAGGCCAACATGACAGAACACAACGCCAAATCTATGATTTTTCCGACACCCCAGTCTCGCTATCCGTCGAATCACCAGGAGATATCTTCCTGTCTTCTCTGTAACTCCGGAACGTATACAACGCACTAAGCGCCATACCAAGACTACCCAGTCCAATGGCCAGATACATACAACCACGGTAACCCTTCAACACATCACTAGGCGTCTGCCCTCCATTAATAACGTGTACTTCAACTGTTCCAGCAAAGCCCAGACTGAGCGAGATACTATAATTCACGACCGTGGTGACAAGCGACGCAGCAACACCCTGGTGCTCTCTGCTCGACGCGTTAGAGAGCATCAACGTGGCCGCTGGAAATGACATATCCATTCCCCACGGGATAACCAAGAGACAAACAAAGGTGAGAGCCCAGTAGGTTTGGTGCACGGGCGCAATGGCCAAGAAAATATTTCCCACTGTGAAACAGGTCATAGATGCGAGCATGATCCATCCGGGGCGGACTCGACTCATCAGATACCCTGTGGTGAAACAGGCTAGGCATCCCACAATGCCAGGAGGAGTGAACTCTGCCGATCCAAGTAGGGGGGATACACCGCGGAACTGTGCTTGGAATCTCCAGAAGTAGTAGACCCATATACCAAAAGAACCCCAGCCGCAGGCGATGCAGCCCAGGACGTATAAGACATCTGACGTGAACGCTCTCATGGGGACGAGTGGGTTCTCTGAGTAGTGAAGCTCCGCGACGAAGAAGGCGGCGAGAAGCAGAATTCCGATGATGAGAAGTACGTACACGTACGGCGTGCTCCAGCCAACAATGGGGGCTTGGTTCCAGGCAACATTGATCAAGACCAGTCCCGCGATTCCCAGGGATGATGCGAACACGTCTAAGGTCTTGAGGAGTTGGAGGAAGGTGTACTGCTTGAAATCCGAATGCTGGACGGGTGCGATTACTATGCTGCCCAAAAGCGCACACACCACGGAGACAATCGCCATGGTCCAGTATGTCCATGGCCACCAGGCTAGCTGGGAAAAGAGTGACGAGAATACTGCGCCCAGGATTGCACCATTGGGGGCAGTTGCGCCGAAGATAGCGAAGATCATGTTCTTTTTCTTTCCGGGTGCGTAGGTTGCCCCCAGCACAGCCAGACCGTTGGGGAGCAGCATGGCTGGGCCCAGGCCCTGCAGGACTCGGGCAAAAATGAATAGTACATGGTTGCAATAAACGCTGAGACCTGCAACTAGGGACCAGATTGCAAGCCAGATGTAACCAACCAGGAACATTCGGTGGTAGCCGAAGACATCGCCAAAGCGGCCAAAAACCAAGATGAAAGTACCCACGGTCAACGAATAGCCAGCAATAAACCAGGACAGAACACCTGGTTCAGTGATTTGGAAGCTGTCCCCAACTATATCGAGTGTCGCCACGCACACACCTATGTTTGCCTGCGTGATGAACTGCGACATGCAAACAATGATGATGAAGGCAACCTCGCGGAGCGGAGAGAAACCATCTGCGATAGAGTGGGCCGAAGGTACAGGCCTCAGCTCGTCCGACATTATGTATGATATAGGAGGCGTTATGTCATAAGAGTCAAATATCAAAGTAGTATACTAAGCCGTTCTGGTGATAGCTATGATATTAATATGACGAAATATCTTATGTCTTTGGGGACAATCTAGGATTTTTCTACAGATTACGGACTTCCCCCCTTTGCACTTGGCTAGCCCCGGAGGCAAAAAAAAAAAAAAAAAAAGCAACCGTTAAATGTCAAAGTGGGCCTGAAAGCCAGAATCTCCCCGATACCGCATCTCAGACGCTTAAACTGGATCCGCGTCGGCTTTTGAGCTGCTTCCGAAACGGCAATCGAGAAGGTGGATCTTCCGTGGGTCGGAAATGAGCCATTCTTGCCACTTGCTTTCGGATCAACTTTAATAAATTGATATAATTTCCCCAAAGCCCTCTATGAGGTGGCTTTTAACCTACTATGAAGTAGGAATACTGGACATATATGAGGGTATCTCAAAAACAACATATAGTGTGAAATCCAGCTCGGACGCGCCATTGCCACCGTGTATAACCTCATAAGACACTAATGCACGAGATACCAGTGGTCACAATGAGCACTCACTAGTTGAGAGTACTGCAGTTAACCTACCATCGCTTGGTACAGCCACTAATCCGTACTCCCCATAAAATAGACACTCCTTTATCATTGCGAATATCTTCACTGATTGAGACTTACCGCCCTTCCGAGTATGCCAAGATCAGAGACAATGCAATGTATCTGCACCACTAAGTCGTATCCAAGATTCACCTCTAATTAGTTTGAATCCTATGGCTAGAGCTTCATGTAATCATCTTAAGCCCTATGCGGCTTTCGCTCGGTCAAAGAGTTCAATATCCCTGAGTCGAGTGCATTTATTGAAATGGAGCATAACGGACACATCTATCACTGCCCACTCCGGCCACTTGCATAGCTATAGAAATGGAATACATGGTGTGGGGGTCAAATGTAAGCAAAACGAACTCGGAATGCCTACAAATAGGACGTAAGCGATTCAAAGTATGCTACGCTTCTGCTCGGCCGTTCCCCTAGATCCGTATTTCAGCTGGTGCACACTAGTCTCTCGTTCTTGGGATAAATCCGAACAGGCCTGCTTGTGAACGGTTTCCTTGTAGTCTGTAGAACTGACCACTGGCTTTTGCAGGAAACAGCAGTGATTTTATACTAGAGTGTAGACACTTTGTTTAGAACGGTGAATAGAGTAGATCTGCGTGCGGCTTAATATCCGCTTTCACTCTCGGATCGATAATGCCAAAAATGCAGGGTTTGAAGCACACTGCCTATGTGATAGTACTTGTGAACCATAAAAAAAAAAAAAAAAAAAGAAAAAGAAAAAGAAAAAGAAAAAGAAAAAGGGCAAAAGCACTATGGATCCGCAAGGACCGTGTAGACTCCTGTTGCTCACGGCTTGTAAAATCTAGGCTACATACCTATGAGTGAGCCTTGACGATCTCTCGTGGGTCGGATAGAATCGGATATGCCCGTTTGACAGTTGGGGTTCAGAGTCCAGAATTTGCCAGAATATCATTGAAGACTGCTCTAGCAACCAATCAGTCGAACTTTTAGGTTATTTCGAGCCGCAACCCTTGCGGCGTATGCCCACACTTAATTGGGTCTGCGCCTGGTTTCGATCAGCTGCCGAGGGGAACGCCGTTTGGCCCGAGGAACATCGGGCCAACTGCAAAAGAAGGATTTAAGATTCGTGACCGTGCAAAGCAACTATTTTTAAACAGATCCACGCCGACGGGATGTAGTACTCATCATACTATACTATCGATTCTGCGATTCTGCTATAACACAGAGTGCACCATGACACAGAGCCCCGCAACCCCGGCAGTGCCCCCGATTGGCATCTGGGAATTCTTCTTCGAGCGCCCTTCGCTTCCTTTCTCGCAAGATCACGGTATATCAATTCTCTGTTTTATTTTATTTACCTAGTTTACTTAGACAATGCCCCTGTTTTGACTTCGTGGATAGTCATCTTTCGCTCGGCCACCACTGACTCCCAATATACATATCGGCAAGTCCAACACCGGGCGGGGCAGTTTGGGAGGGCCCTGCAGGCACAGTGGGGCTGGTGCAAGGGCGATATCCTCATGGTAATGGCTCCAAATGACATCGACACGCCGCCTGTGATCTGGGGATGCCATTCTCGAGGTGGAATAGTGGCCCCAGTGAACCCAGAATTGTCGGCGCGAGAGCTTCGCCACCAGTTAGAGGGTAGTCGCGTACGAGGTCTTATTGTCCATCCACAGTGTGCGGCAACTGCCGTTGAGGCTGCTCATCTGGCAAAATTCCCTATTGATCGAATCCTGCTTCTACGGTTTGATACGTCTCTCCGAACATATCAGAGCATCCCGACCGTGGAACAGTTCGTCGCCGAGGTAGAACGAGCCTCCAACGTGGAGCTTCAGCGGGTGAAAATCGAACAAGACAAAGACATTGCGTTTCTGATATACTCATCAGGGACCACGGGCCGACCTAAGGGTGTGATGGTCTCTCACCGTAATGTTCTAGCCGCAGTCATGTTTCAAGCGGCCGTCGATGGACCACATGTAAATTGGCGTCGTGATCGCACCTTAGCTGTACTTCCTACTTATCACATCTTTGGTAAGGGGTCCCCAAAATATCGAAGAGGACTGATGTAGCCGTACCTTAAGGGCAGTGGGCAGTGAGCTAATAAAATAGGTCTTATCTGTCTGGTGCATCTTCCTATTTACCTGGGCACGACGACATTTTATATGGATAAGTTCGACCTTGCCACTTTCTGCAATCTGATCCAGGAGCATCGCATCTCTCACGCTTATGTAGCTCCACCAATAGTGCTCCATCTAGCCAAGAATAACCTCGTCAGCGATTATGACCTTCGTTCAATCCGTATGATCACTTCAGGTGGTGCACCTCTCGCTGCGAACCTCATCACTGAGTTGCATCAGCAACGACAAATACCGGTCCGGCAGGCGTACGGATTATCCGAAACTACATCCATTTCTCACGTACAGGTACGATACATTCTATTCATCGATAGTAGCTCTGATAGAAAGGCATACTAAAGTCACCTCCAGCCCTGGGACAAATGGATGGATGGTATGGGTTCGAACGGTCCTCCAATATCGGGGGTTGAAGCCAAATTCATCACACCCGATGGCCATGCAGTGACACGCGGCCACGAAGGGGAGCTTTGTGTGCGTGGACCGACGGTATTTAAGGGCTACCGCGATGAGCCTGACTTGACTGCGGCCTGCATGACACCAGATGGATGGTTCAAAACCGGTTTGTTCTCTCAGACCTACTGATACACATTCCCTCCCTCCTTTCTTGAATCTCCTATCATGAATGCAAATACTCAGTATCTCCTGCAGGTGATCTAGGTTACGAAGATGAGCGAGGTAATATGTTTATTACTGATCGCCTGAAGGACTTGATCAAGTTCAAGGGGTACCAGGTGGCGCCCGCCGAGCTGGAAGACCTTCTTCTGGAACATAACGCCGTGAGGGATGCGGCTGTTATTGGAGTTATGAACCATGATCTTGCAAGCGAGGTGCCGCTGGCTTACATTGTGGTCAAGGCTGGTCAACCGGAAAATGAAGCTACAGCGCAACTGATCCTCGATCATATTAAAGACCGGACGGTTTCATATAAACACATCCGCGGTGGTATCGTGTTCAGCAAAGAAATCCCGAAAAGCCCATCAGGCAAGATTCTGAAGCGGAAGCTTCTTGAAGACGCAGTGTCCAAGGGAGTACGGCCAATCGGAGCTGTGAAATATTCCAAGTACAGCCGCACAGCCAAGATATAAAATAGAAGAGAAATCTGTCCCCAGAAGAAAAATCAGGTCCATCGCCTAGAGGAAAATATAGTACGTGCATATCGCGGATGATAAGGGGCGAGCGTACAGATTCAACCAATTAACCAGCCGGTTATACATGATGGATAACAGGGAGAAAGATTAGAAGGCCAAATATAGGCATTATGCTTCATTGGGCCTTAGGTGCGGCTTAACATCACATCTATTATAATGCTGCGTCTCACGATTGGGCGCTCAGTGCATATCCAGTGAAAGCCCGCAGTAAATAGTTATGGATTGTGAAACTACAGACATCGCCAAATAAATTATTCATCCCAGATCAGACAGTTTGACTCTCCTCTAATCGTAATGTTTGCAAGAATCTTGCCGAATGGTCCGGTTGAGATTATCTCTTTCGAACATAACTACCCGGTGATGCGACTGCAAAGCCACAGTAACACGGTCTTCCAGCCTGGAGTAGCTCTGGATGAGAGGTAGTCCTCGGCAATGGCCTTGATGATGCCTGTGCCACCTATGGTCTAATTACTATCGAGATCTTTGGTGATGTTTTTGAGTGCAATGCACCCGGTCATGTCTGCCTTACCAGCGCCGCCGTTCCTGATTGAAGAAGTTAGAGTTAATAAGTATAAGATATAAGGCCTGGTCAAGAGGTGTCCTGCAAGGCATGGTTATATATATAAATCCCGAAGCATATTATTTCTACATATAAGTAAGTTTATGTTTTGAGGAACAACACTATATTATATTTTATTATAGGCTTAGGAATCTTCTTGTTACAACTGCGGTACTTTCACCAGGCGGAAAACCCTGGCAGAATCATTGGTTGAAAAGTCACAAGAAATCAGGCACTAACCGAACGGAAGGATTGTGAGGTTACAGTACTCCGTAGATAGAAATTATCTAGTGCAGGTGGGAGCCAAAGTCGCGCAATAAGGTGTTTTTTTAAAGTGAGTGGGTGGGTGGGTCTTTCCAAGGCAGACCCCAGACTCCCCACCCACTTCTGGAAGGTTTCCATACATAACTATTGCATGATGATCTCATTTACATACTTAACTCTGCCAGTAGCCTCCGCTTTCTATAGGTACAGGTGCTGCCTTCCTTTTCGAAAATCCCTCTCTCAAAGCTCCTTCTCCAAACTTTTGTTTCTTCTCCTTTCCCCTCTTTATAAAGATAACCTAATCAATAGTGCTTTATTAACCTCTACTTTTTCATCATGTCTTGGTTATCATCTTGCTCCGATTTGCCGAGACCAATAGTCTCTGTTGATTCTGTCACAAAGGCCGAGTATGAACTTCGAAGCTTTTTTGAAGACGAGAAACAAACTATGATCTCCGTCTGCGGATATCTGAGGCAATTCTTGACAGCAAACCTGTGACCTCGATTTTGAGATCAGCACAAAAAAGGAAACGTTTATTCATCTATGATCGCGAGGCAAATGTCCTGAGAGCCTACCCTGCAATGCCCCGTCCTATCCATGGCACCGTCACGGATCTAGTGTCCCAATTCCTGATGAAAGCTGTGAGAACTAATTTCATAACAGAGGATGAGCAAGGATGTATAAGCTCCAGTACAGAAGGCATTCTACTTTCTAGGACGCAAACCCACACCCCAGGGAAGAAGCATCAAGGTTGGATAAAATATCCAGAGATTACAATACTGTTCAGAGAACTTGATGGCAGATCGCTTCCACGTGTTGTATTTGAAGTTGGGTTCAACGAAAGCTACGACGACTTGCAGAATGACGCACGACAATGGCTTATACGGTCTCGCGGTCTCGTAAGGCTGGTGTTACTTGTCAGGATTGATGAAGATGTTCGCCAGCTTCAGGTCTACAGAAATACCAGTTGTTTCAGATCAAGAGTCAATGAACTTGTTGCCAAGTACGGAAACGATTTGGGAAAGATCAGGGCAGGCATCGAGTGTGAAGGTTCTGAAGACTCTGATGCAGAAATGTACGAAGATATCGGTTCTAAAATCAGGGCGACTGACTGGGTTGGCCGGATTACTGTGTCACTGGAAGTATGGGAGATGCACAATCACATACCTACCCTAAGAGAACCGCCTATTGTAAGTCTATATGTCTGATATTATTGTTGTCTAAGTTCTCTTGGCTGACATCTTCAGGCTGTCTTTCCAGCACCAGCCAGTCCCCAAAACCCGAAAATCCATATTACAGATCTCATCCCGACAGAAAGTAGAAAAAGATTCAAGAACTTTGATAACTCGCGGACGGCAGAGCTGGATATGGGGCTCTTTCGCCAGATCCTTGCCTCGGCAACTGAACGTCTTGCACACCAGCGCGCGATCACCAAGATTCGACCAAGACCCAAGGAACATAATGACCCAGACTATAGTCCGCCATCCCATCCCGACTCTTGCTCAGACTGTAGCTGATGCTCAACTTTGAGTCTTTCTGAATCCTGGTTCAATATCATTATCGATCACATGCCCTCTCATGAGCAGCTAAAATAAAGAAACACTGTAGGAAGGGCGAAGCTTAAGGTTATATCATTAGTCTGAAAGTCTGCCCAGCTGTTGGTATTCAGATCGGAGGTGACAAGTGTGGACAGTTTCGAAAGGAGATCAAAATCGCCACCCCCTCTAGTTTTATATTTAGTTATAATGAGAAAATCAAAATTAAGAATTTGACAAGCTTTAACGCTGAATAATTTTTGAGGAATTTGTAAGCTTGATGGTTGTAATAACTTTGAGCTTGCCTCAGACGAGTCACTTGTATCTTACCTCCAGTGAATGTCCCCAAGCTAAACATCGGAACCCCACCTCAGCTGTCTTTCTTTTATGTCTTTCTCTCACATCCTCTAACACATTTTACTCTCGTGTCCCTCCTCATGACAGTTTAAGGCAGCTACCTTCCTTCATCTGAGCTTCCTTCTGATTCATGGGGATAGCTAGCCGTAAGGCGAAGGAGAACCATGAGGTATGCCTCACTAATACTGACTATGACTTCAACTGGGGACTATATACTGATTTTCTGTCGCAAAAGTAAGAACGCTCTCGTCCCCTTTTGAGCCCCTCAGTCAGAACAGGCCGACCGCTCATTGTTGCTGGAAAGACATTTTCGACCCCACAAGCACTAAATAATGCCTTGCGACACTGAGCTGGAGAACTGCCTCAAGGATCTTACATCAGAAGGCTTAATGAGGCTGTTGCTCAAGTCTCGGAGATCATTAAGGGGGTATGACAATGCTGAGGATCGCGTCTTAATTGGTATGTACAGTGTGGGGTCATAAAAATCTACCCCTTAATCACTGCGTGTCCTCAATACCTGTCTGTCCTCAATACTCAATTGTCATGACTTTTGTCGTCCATGCTATTGTCAATCGCCTGAAAGACATGCGATCTGGTCCGTCCCATCTCCAGAACCCGGAGTCACAGACCTACAGAATGCAATTAATATTGCAAAACAATCTCCACCTCCATTACCAGTGTCAGACAATAAACTCCATGCTCTTGGTGTGCAGTGTGATGACCGGCGCCTTTAAAAAGCTCTCTTCCCCCAAGTTCTCAATAAAACTACTGAATCAGGACTACAAGACGGGGTATTTGAATGGGAAGCTGAGGCCAATATCCCTGAGCTTCCCACCGCAAACATCGAGGAGCTAAGTGACAGCGAGACATCAGCTAGCCCTGACATGAGGAGCCTGCCGTTAGAGGAACAAGGGATAACAATTTTTCTACAACAACAGCAAGGCCCTCAAACTCAACGGAGGACAGACAACGGCCATGTTTCCGGAAGCCACAACGTCCATCTAGTACGCTGAGGTTCAAATCTGTGGCATCTGGCAAGACTCGGCCTGTAGGATTGAAGGAAGCTCTCGTATGGACACGTCAGCAATAAAATTGGAATGGTGGGGTACTGGGTGAGGTTTATTTGGCTTCTGGCAGATTTCAGGGTGAAGGAGTGAAGACAAACGGCGAGGAACGAATCAAGAAAAGCGGGTGAACACGGACATACAACAGGATGGGTTTGTTGGTGGTCAGCCACCCAATCACTATGGTATTCTCTTTCAATGGGTCATTTAGGGGCGAGGTCGAGGCTTGGGCCTCCGTATGATTGAGGAGACCAAGACCCTTGCCTACAGTACGGCCAAGATGAAACTATAGAAGCTACCCGATGACAACTCCCGAGGTGGAAAGCAAACACGGGGATATGCAATGATTTAAAGCGTCTTGCGAATCAGGGCACCGCTAATGTACACCAAATCCCGCGTGCAGGTGTGCCTGACTCGTAAAACGTGAACAGCACAGCGTCGCTGTCGAATCAGTCTCTGGAGTTTGGCCCACCTCCGGAGCGAATCTGCAGCCTTGCCTGCAAGAAGGCAAACTCTCCGGCTTCATTCGGATACACTGCAGTATCGGTGCATTGAACGAGTTCTACGCCACAATAGTTGGTGCTTACGCTTTGGGACTTTCATTACTATGGTGTCAGAGTGAACTCCCTGAACGTCCCGGTTCTCTATTCCTCAGCTCTATCATCGCGTGTAGATACAGAATGGATTAAGCAAAGTTGCAGAAAAGATGTCGCGGCGCGGTTTTAGGTGTCCCAAATGACACGAGTACACATCTACCACTCCGAGTCGTCAGCATCTTATCCGGCTCCATGTGAGGGCCAACGCGCTTTAGTTGCCAGCTGAAATGGGAAAATTAGGAATCTCACCTTGGACCCGAGTCGGCGCAGCCTCAGGGTAGGAACCGGTAACCCGCGGTTAGGCTAGGCTAGAGGGTCCAAACACAGGGGTTCGTAATAGGGAACCTAAGGGCTAGGTTTAAGTTAGGTGCATTCAGGAGGGCGAGCGGCGAGTCAACCACCCTGCATTGCCCGAGGTTGTGCGAGTTCAGCGCCTCACCTCCCATGGTAATCTCAAAGCCTTACTCGGAATGCAAGTAGTAGGACTGTATTATACCATGGCAGTATGTGCTCTACTACCCTGTTAATAGAGACGTATATTAAGGAAACCGAGGTGTTCTGCAGCTCTGTGCTTGGAATCCTGGGGCTTGATTGGGATAGGCCCGCCCAATGCCCTAGGGACAGTGTCTACTAGCTGATTTACTAAATCTTCTTTTTGGCAATATATGGAGTACTACACTCCTCTACATTCCTCCGTCATAGCTTTTCTTGCTCTCGGAGCATCTCTCTGCATGCCGGTTACCGGATTAGCGCAAATCCAAGCCGCCCAAGCCTAATGAATAGTCTGGCATCCCCGTAGCTGCACTTCACCACCCTTGTATGGTATCTACAGAGGCAAATTGAGGGACTGACTTACAATTCGTCTCAAGTAGGATACCTGGGTGTGTGATAGGTGGTCCGACCAGGCAAACTGACCGAATCAAGATAAATCGTCCCCTCTTTTCCACGAGATCGGAGCAATGCGGAGATGGGCTTGTTATCAAAATAAGCAATTACAATCCTGTTTGGAGTCTATCCCATCTGGACACTGTTCACTTGTATTTCAGGGTAGTCTCGCATAGCTAACGATACTTGACTTGTGTTCTGCCCCGCGGTATTCTCGTAGCTCTATGGCCTAGTTCGCGGGGTCTCTTTACCCTTCCCAGGAATATAGCTTCCTCCATGACTATCACGCTGGATGGGAAAGCTCCTAGGTTGTCCAGAAACGGCGGAATGCTCAGACGACTCGTTCGAATTGCCGGTGTTTTCACCTGTACGGGACTGATATCGAGGCTGATATTTGGCGCCCGCTGGGACGTATCCCCCTCCGTGTCGCTTAGGCTGAGGATCCTTCATGAAGTCTTTTAGATAGGGAATTGTGAGAGAATAGGCGGAAGACGGGCTTACCTGGTGTGAAGCCATTATAGTGAACCGGATGGATTGTTGTGGGGATCGGTTGTAATAATCCACGAACTGAGGAAGGAGGACGTAACTTAGAATAGGCAGAGCAAGAAAAAGAGCAGGAAGGCAAGAACTTAAAGCACCAGGAGGCAGAGCATGGCGGTTGCCTTGTTGAAAGTGGCAATCTTGGGAAGATCAGCCTCACGCTAACGCCGGGCTAGACATTCATGATTTAGCAATGCCAGCCTTGGTGGTGATTATTGGCCCCTCTCCAGGTCCCAGCCGAGACGAAAGTGAAATGCTTCGTCATTTGGGAAGTCGAATGTGGACCTTCCCTGAGGTCCTCCTGAGCCCATCGAGCCAACCGATCTCCATATACAAGCGTGATTGTCCCCTAGATTCCTTCCGGGTTCTGTCGAAGCGGAACTTCACATTTGAAGCCTGGGGAGACGCCACTGTCTCAAGACAACTTATTGATCATTATGAAGGTTCGATTATACTCAGTCCTCTCGAGCTGGTCTCCATCGCCTTGCAATGCTTTCCGAATCGTGACACCACGATGTACTATCAAGGAGACCTTTCATACGCCCTGATGGGCTTGTTACGACGTCGTCCAAATGTTAACCCGAATGACTCGGCCTTTGAAGCCTTTTGTCGATTGTCTTTGGCCAACGACAGCGATCGGCTGCTCGAGAGGCTCCTTGGTATGAGATCAACGACTTCTGGGATAGTCATCTTTGGGACATTGAACCTCTTTGCCAAGTTGTCGGCATCGGTGGCGAAGACACTGTGATTATGAGTGGTGCTTTTGGTGCTCCGATTCGTTGGACATCCTTTAAGCCGGTCAACATGTTGATGCGTAACATGGCAAAACGTTCGGTAGCCAGAGTCGTTCTTCGCAGTACTCCTGCTTGGATCGTTACAGGCGTGATAGCGCTAGCAGTCAGCCAGTCCAGAAAAGGAGCCTACCTTGCAGCCACTCTGATCGGGTGGATATTGACAGTTCTGTACATTTTGGTCATCTTGGCGTCTCCGTACCTCATATCCTCTCTTTATGTTGGTAAGACATGGGCGGCACAGCCATGGCTGTTCGGGTTTGAGGGCTACATGGAGATTGGTGAGATCGAGAAGCTGGTCTTCGGTATCAATCTTGGCCGCTTGAAGTGGAGTCCCTATTCCAGCGACCTCTCGCTGCATGTATCCCAGAACGGTGAGTGCGTGGGAAAAGATCCCACTTGTAGAGAATCCACCGCACAGTTTGTGCCCGCTGCCCAGAACTCGCGGTATGGAGAGCTCAAGCTCTTCACCTTGATTGATACCAATACCTTGACCGTCACCTTATTCCGGGCTCGCCGCCCGCCGGTGGCAATGCTACTTTGCGGCAGCGAGGGTGGCATGCAGCGAGCGCTGCTTTGTTCTTACGATTGGAAGTCCCAGACCCTCTATCGCGAGAATGTCCTGCGGGTGGACACGCTCGTCTTGGACAAGATGTCACGGGTGGATAGATTCCGGCTTGGTCTGAAAAGGCCTATGGTGGAGACGGTAAGGATCGCTTGCTGAACGTGAAGTGATGCTACACGCGCGAGTCACGAGTAATATACATGTTCGAACGAAGCAACTTTCGGTCATAAAAGGGGCATCAGGATAAAATGTAAGAAAAAAAAGAGAAAAGAAAATGGCACAGGATATCCAATGTGATTCCGTAGTCCAGCTAACAAATGCTCTATCCTATGCGGTCCTGCAGCAATTCATTAAAAAGCTCATCAATCACTACGCCCGCTACTCCATGGTCCATGCTTCGCTCATGCGGTCCACTTCTTGTACTTCCTCACCTCCCGCTTGAAGACCTTGGTCGATCCCGCAAGCTTCTTTGACTCCGGCGTAAGAACCTGGCCCTTGTTCAGGGGTCCGTTGAAATCGCCGCTCCTGCCTCCGTGCGTACTTGCTTTGGGGAAATGTGCCCAAGCAAGGTAGCACAATCTAAACCAGGCGAAGCTGGCTTTTGAGACGGCAAAACAACTTACACGCATGCCAGCAAACCTTTGGGGCTTACCAGCAAGGGAAAGAAAGGATCAAGGAGTTGGTACGTCCTGACTGGTAGCGGTGGATTACTTACCACTTCTTCGTAGGGGAATTTTAAACCGCCAAATTGCTTCTCAACTACTTCAGTTATGCGGAGTCTGGTAGTGACCTTATCTATTGAATTATAATAGTGTATAACCTTCTCTTATTTATTAATCCAGAGCAATAAAAAATATTCCCCTTTATAATTGATTATATTATAGAAAAAAAACTAGATTACTATATAGAACTAGACTATATATATATATATATAAAATATCAAGTCTAAATATATAGAATTGATAGAGATATAGAGCTTTAAAAATTCCTATACTAGGCCTATTTAGATAAGATCTGTAATTAATAAGTAACACATTACCTAGTTAGGTTTAGTCTAGTATTGGCAGGGAACCCGCGGGTCGGGGAGGCCTAAACCTAGCGGGTTTTGGGTCGGGTGCGGGGAGACCTATCAAAAACCCGACCCGTGTGACAGTGCAACTCTACTTATACTCTATAATATAATCTTTTTCTTTTTTTTTGGCATTAAGATAAAAATATATAGAGAAATATATAGGATACAGTCCTTGTCTGTTATATCACTACTAATGACTGATTCCTTGTCCCTATCAACGATAATTATGAACTAGCTAATCATCACATCCAAAGGAGATATCAGCTAAGATGGAGTAAGTTTACTGCACCTGCTGTCGGTAAGGGAATAACCTTCGGGCCGATGACGGGGTGCTTTGCTTCCGAGTCGGGTTCGCGGTGGGTCAACACACGCTTACATGTGTCACTCGCTTATGTACGGGTTACGTTACTGAATAGTGCTTTCCCTCACATACCTGTGGCACTTGCGAAGGAGGTATGCAATATGGCATCGTGCTGGCGTTGCCCTAAAAGACCCTGAGCGAGAACGCCCTGAGAAGATCTGGAAGCTCCAGTATGTAGTGGCTTCGTGTGACAGTGCCGCCTCGGCAAGTCGGGAGCAGTGGAGAAGCTTTTGCCGTCGCTTTAGATGCCGAGGCTGTGAGTACTTATAAGCGAATCCCTGCGTCGTGAATAAATGCGAATCTGAACAAGGTTTATACTAGGTGCGGAGAGAACGCAGGACAGCGGGCCTGGCCGCCATAAACTTGAAATGAAGAAGGTGGTCTAAAAGACTAAGTATATACCCTTTCCATAATTTTGCTCATCCCGTTCTCGGAAACAAAAACTCATTCTTCGCTGCCCTGGCTGGCCTCACCCAAGATGCGTCCACTCACACGCTTCATCTTTCTCAGCAGTCTCTTGAGTCTTGGCGCCATCGCTACGCAAGTGGCCAATTTCAACGTCTCCCATGAAGCTGCCGAGGCACACGACTGCGGTGCCGCATGCCAGAAACGCCTCACTCTCACCATCCCTGCTGACGTCGCCGCTGTGGGCCGCGACTTTGACGTTAACTTCTATGCCACTGCGGGTAACTTCTCCCGGGCGTCTTCAAAGCCCGGAGACGCGCTCAAACTCGAAGCGGTTAACCCCGAAACACTCTCCATTGACGGCGGCGCGACCGTGTATCGCTTCCAGTACGTCTCTCTCGACTCCGACGGCTCCGTCGTGCCCGTCACGGGCTTCATCGCATTTCCATTTACGCCCCACCTATCAGCCTCCAACAACGGCGCGGGGTCGAAAAGGTATAGACTGGCCGCTTTTGCGCACGGCACGGTTGGTATTTTTCCAGGCTGCGTGCCGTCGAATGGCCCCGCACTCTACGACTACGGCACCTGGCAGCCCGTGCTGCAGCGCGGCTATGCAATTATCGCGACCGACTATGCGGGCCTGGGCAACGATGAGACGGCGCACAAGTACGCATACCTGCCTGTTCACGCAAGCGACGTGTACTATTCAGTTGTGGCGGCGCGGAAGCTCTTTGGTGAGTTCTTGACGGAGGAGTGGGTGAGTTTTGGGCACTCGCAGGGCGGGGGCGCGGTGTGGAAGCTCGCGGAGAGTGAATACGTACGCAACGATACTTCGTATCTTGGCACGGTGGCCGTTGCTCCAGCTACATATGTTGCGAGCCAAATTTTTGACTCATTTCTCGACACCGTCACTGGTGGAATCAACGGCAGTAGCAGTAGCACGGCCGCTGGCGTGGGCTTCCTCCCACTACTTCCCACGGCCGTGCAGCGCATCATCCCCTCCTACAACGCGAGCATCCTTGCGCCAACCCTGCGCAAACGTGTATCCATGGTCGAGAATGCACAGCTCTGTCTCGAAGCCGTGCTCGGTTTAACCCTCGACCTCAACACATCGCAAATTGCCTCAATCGAGGGTGCGCTACGCGACCGTCCCACGTTGATGAAATGGCAGAACATGTCCGCCCCGGCACAGGGCGATGCCTCCCCGGCGCCAATACTAGTGATTCAAGGACAGCAGGATACGGCAGTAAGATGGAAGACGACAGTGGACGCGTGGGAGCACGCGTGCGCGGCGGGCAACGAGGTCCATCTGCGGTTGTTCCCGACGCAGGGCCACAGACCGAGTTTGTCGGCAGGCGCGCCGGAGTGGTTGGCATGGCTGGACCAGCTATTCGACAAGAAAGCAGCGGCTACTGCTGCCTCAGGAGCGTACAAGGCACCGGTGAAGAAAAACTGCACCAAGTTTACACGAGAGCCGCTTAATATTGAGTACGTGCGGGCACCGACGGATGTAGATCTGAAGCCGTACTTGGGGCCCCTGAGCAATTTCATGTAATTGAACTATAACGTAACGTTGGTTAAAAAGACTAGGCTTATTAAGCCCAGTCTTCTCAATCAATGAACCTTTCACATAGAAGTTCCCACTTCTGGATCCCCCCCCCAACCCTTTTTTTTTTTTTTTCTTTCTTTTTTTTTTAATATGTAGAGCTTTCCATATCAGTAACCTCCCACTATCTATCAGCCAATTTCTTTTTTAAATAAATATTCTGATTCCCAATATTCTGTCCTATCGGTAAGCCTCTAGGCAGTAGTGCCTTTATAAAATTCTACTTTCTTGCTCAGCTAGTTCTCTTGAAGTCTGGCGTACTTTTAGTAGCATAGTTAGTAGTTAAAGTAGGTGAGGCTGTTGGTTACATCCAAAATAAGTAGACTGACTCACTCATTTGTGCAGCGCACTAGCTTGAGAAATATATTCCTTGGACTTTGAGGCCGCGCTGGTTGAGCAAATCTTGCTCTCGTGTTCTCCAAAAGATCGACAACCCGAATTGGGGTTCTGCGAGGCTGAGTCTGATCGACGAGGCTATGCTCGGACTTGCGCACCTCATCATCCTTAAGAACAGATTTTAGCAGAGAAAGACACATTTCTTTCATTCAATTTCCACTCTCAATCATTGTCAGCCAGTCGGACACCATGGTCAACGCCAAATATGCCCCCGTGGAACTCCACCCCCAACCATCTGCAGAACACTCGTTCTCTGACCGACCGACGATTGAAACCCCCGAAAATGACGCAGAAGAGGGGAATGAAAGGAAAGGAGTGGAAAAGTGGCGCAGAACGCTCTATATTGGATCCATTTCGAGTATAGTTGTGCTGCTGTTTAATATGTCATTCGTCTTGTGGGCTGTGACGCATCGTGCCCTTGTAAATGGTCGTGGGGTTTTATTTACTGGGGAATGTGACAAGGCACGAAATATAAACAGAAGCCTGCATTTACTTATAAACATCCTTTCAACTGTTCTTTTAAGTGCTAGTAATTACGGAATGGTAAGTATCGATATCAGCGCTCAGTAAAACTAATCCCTAAACATAATCCATTATTCCAGCAATGTCTGTCCTCCCCCACAAGAAAAGATATCGATCGCGCGCATCCAAAAAATAAGTGGCTTGATATTGGAGCCCCAGGCATGCGAAACCTGTCGAGTATCCCACGGAAGAAGGCTTTGCTATGGACATGTCTAGTTCTGTCTTCACTGCCACTGCACCTAATGTATGCCGATTTCGTACCCTCAACCATGGGTTTCTGCTAACTATAAAAAAGTTATAACTCGGCGATCTTTCTGACTATGTCTTCCTACGGATATTTGGCCTATATTAGCGACAAGCCTTTGCCGGACTTTGTGACGGGTAGTCCTAGGCTTTCTCATGTAAGCCAGCCTTCTACCGGAATTGACGAGTGGTATTCTACCTACCAAAGGCTTCAGAACAAGGCTGCCAAAGGACAAATCGACCTGCTCGACAATAAAGATTGCATCTCTGCCTATGCCACAAGTTTGCAATCCAAACACGGTAGTCTGCTGATACAGACAGATGACTTTAATTCCACCACGTTGGACATTGGCTTTTTAACTACAAACGACGTCAAAGCCTATGCTCCTCAGAAAGATCCATATAGCTGGATTTGCGACTACTATTTAAATACAAGAGACATAACCGACAGGGAGGCCGACACGCCGTTCTGTTCGTCTATGCTTTCTACAATCTTATCTGATCCCGGCTCGTGGAGTGTGACCAATACCAGTTCTTCGTATTCGGATCAAGTCGCACGTTACACGGTCAACAGCTGCTGGAGTGAACGATTGCCTGACGTATGCAAGGTCGAGTATAGTCTGGTTTGGGCGGTGGTCGTGATGGCCTGCAACGTTGCCAAGGCCGGGATTCTATGTGGACTTTCCCTGTCCCTAAAGGACATGCCAATCCTGACCACAGGAGATGCTGTTGTTTCGTTCCTGCAAAATCCGGACCCCACGACGAGAGGGGAGTGCCTGCTATCTGGAAAATCGGCGGATCGAGACATTGTCGAAACCACTTTCAGCAAGAGACCAAGGCGATGGGCATCTGCGGTATCAAAGTCTCGTTGGGTGCTATGCATGGCTCTGTTTCTGGCTTCGATCTGCGTGTGTGTCGGTCTGCTTATAGCCGGTCTCATGGGGATTCAGGATACAAATACGATCTGGAAAAGTGGTATTAGTACAGTCAATTCCCAGACTATGATCAGTCCAATTGGGTTTCCGACCACTCTGCTGCCCGTTACTATCATAGTCAACACTCCACAAGCAGTGTTCTCGATGATCTATTTCACTACCAACGCTATTTTCAGTACCATGGTTCTTTCAAAGGAATGGACCAGCTACGCCCTCCAAAGAAAAGGACTTCGTGTATCGACAGCTCCGAAAGGCAGCCAACGGAGCACCTACTTTCTTTCTCTGCCGTACCGCTATGCACTGCCTCTTCTGGCCCTATCGACACTCCTTCACTGGCTCATCTCGGAGAGTCTCTTCTTGGTCAGTGTGGAAATGTACGATGCAACTCTTGCGAGAGTTCCGAGTCAAGATCTTATCTCATGTGGATATTCACCGCCCGCTATCGTGATCTGTCTCTCCACCAGTTGTCTTCTAATAGCATATCTGGTAGGGATTGGTTGTCGACGATTCAAAACCGGTATGCCTGTTGCTGGAAGCTGCAGTCTTGCTATTTCTGCTGCGTGTCATTTTGATGTTCAAGAAATGAAAGATCATGGTCGGGAGAGTGGCTCTCATAACGAGGTCTTACTATACGAAGAGCAGCCAGTGGAGACCCTCCCCCTTAAATGGGGGGTTGTCCCTTTCTATGGTGAAGGGGTAGGTCACTGCGCATTTTCAAGTGTGGAGGTTGAGACCCCGAAGGATGGTGAGAGATATGATTGATTTTATGATATCTTGCTTAAATGACTGCTGTATATTATTACGATATGGTTTGATAGTGATTAGACTAAGCGATCGTTAGTTCGGAAGATAAACTGAGGAGTACTGAAAATGCTTCCAGTGTTACCTCTCTTGGTGGAAACTAGGAGTTATAGCAGTCTTCTCACCCTAGGCTACCACCGACAACCAAGAGAGCCATTCCGCGCAATCCGCTAAGCAGCCTCTTGTCGAACATTATTGACCAGATAAAAGTATCTTAATATTTCTTAGCAGACCTACTCGCCTCGTATATAAGATTTGTTACTTTTGCCTTCCAGCAAAATAGAGATCCAGATAAGTAGTAAATAGAGCAACGCTTAAGACGGCCACAGAAGTAGCCCTTCTCGGCTGCCTTCTAACCGTCACATCGTTAAATGAAGTGATCTTTGGCATAGCGTATACATTTCGAGTTATGAGTGACATGAGATAGCTAGAGTAGGTTTTTGACTTGCATCGGGTTATAAGAATTGTTGCAGATGCCCTTTTGATAGTCTATATCCGTAAATGATCTGAGCCCATCCCGATCAGCATCGGTCCGTCCGAAAGATTTCGGTGGGCTTCTTCCGACCCAATGGATCCTGAAAAGTCATCAGAGTCAGCATTCGGCGGGCTGGCATGTTAAACCCGTTATTTCTCCAGTGTCAGCCATCATCCCCCGCCCTTCCTCACCGGCCTTATAAGGAGTTGCTGCACCCGCTGCCGTTGCTTGGATCCTATTCTTATCGACGCACCTCGTTTCTCAGTTGCTTCTTCATACACCAAAATGTCTCAGACCGTTACAACTGTGGCTATTCCGGGCGTCGCCTGGGAGATTGCGACCAACATCCACTTACCGCTGCCTAACTTTGACAACAACAAGAAGTACAAGTGGATGAATTAATTACGTAGATATATCAGGAAAAGCCTACGTGAACCATGGTAAATTGATATAGTCAGACGATACGATGATTCTGTGGACTCTTTGTGGTTACACTCTCGTGCGTTAAATACACGAAATACACGAACTATGTCTGTCTTCTGCCGTCTTCGGCCCTAGAGCTTTTCAACCCAATGTAAAGTTTCCTTAGAATAGCAAAGCTACTATCCGCCGCCGCATTTGCCGTGCTTCATTGATAGTCGAAGGGAATCCCCTCTCGCCCTAAACTAAGCCAATAAGGTCCAGCCGCTATTTTGTAGAACAAAAGAAACACACTTTCATCGCAGCGGACTGGCAAAAAAAAAAAAGACTTACAATACAGGGGGCAGGCCACTGAAAATAATTAGTACTAAACGCCCCTCTAGAACCTAAGCTGACGGAGTCGAGATAGTTGGTCTCTGATGATGGTGGGTTTCTTCTCTTCGGCTGCCCGTCATTCTCTCGCTACAAAGCTCGGTCTCGAAGGCCTTGTCCACGTCTTCTTGATACTCTTCCACGTATGGGTTGTTGCTTACGCATTTGACCCCGGTGGTCCGCTAGTTAGACAACACTGAGAATTCTAATTTATCTAAATACATTGGTCCAGAACAAAAATAGGAATAGTACCTGAAGTTCCTTAGTGGAACAACTGTTGAAGTCTCTGGTAACGGCGAATTACTAGAAGCGGTATAGCGTGCGTATTTAGGGAAAGCGCGTGGTTGAAGCTTAGTATCGCGGTGCGTGGTTTATATAGCCTCCTCCTTACCCTCTCGAGAGTATGGCCAACTTTCGTCGCTGTTTTCCCATCTCTCGCGGTCTTTCCGGCTCATGACATTGAGGCATTTTTGCTACTGGGTTCTGAACCGCTTGCAGAGCAGATATGCTGCCGCAAAGGATCGTTGCCGATAGCGGATATCTAGTTGTTGTTCTCCGGGTTTGATGGGTAAGTTTAACTACTAAGCTGATTGTATAGAATATACCGATCAGTTCAGCAGCGTGGACCGACCACTGGTCCATGGGCCCGACTTAAATCTGCCGGAATTCAGTGATTTCTAGATTTTTATTCAATATTATAGCCGCGGTGCCTAGATAGCCCTGGTATCCAGAGATATCCAAGTAGACTGTGATATCGGAGATAGCTTGTACGGCAGACACTCTCTCCCTTACCGTCTCTCGGTCTTGCTTGATTTCGATCTCTTCAAATACTGGAGATCTCCAAGATAGAAGTTGTCTTGGGTCAATTATTTCTAGTCTATCTAGTCTTTCTAATTTTATTGTCTTTAAGACTTCTGTTAGAGGAATTCGAGCAGCTGTATAAGTATTATTTCTATATTTCTATACTTGTAATAGTGTACTCTATACAAGGTGATTCTGTAGAAGGGTATATAGTCTTACTATGGTATTTTTATACCCGGTAGCGGAGACAGAGATGGGTTAGTAGTATATTTACTTCTATCTCCAGTATTAAGATTGCTACTGTTTTAAAAGAGGACAGAATACGAATAAGTACAGCTTATTAGACTATTCTTAGTAGTCGCAAGTGTATTTTGTCTCGGAGAGAGTCACGCCAGATAGTCGATATATAGTCTAATACTGGGGCCACATATGCCTAGTATAACTGTCTTATCTATTCGGGACGAAGTTGTCTCAAGTCTACCAAGGGCAATGTTTACTTTGGTTGCCTGTTTAACTACTTGTTATATATACGTCTTCCAATACAGTTCTTGGTCAAAGTTACACAGGATGAACGCTTCAAAAAAAAACACTTCGAGGTCTATCGAGAGAGGTCGTTGTGTGCTCTCGCCTACTTGATAGAAGAAATAATTTGTCCACACTATTTAATCATAAAAGCAGAATAATAACCAACTCATTCTCCATCCTTCATCCTCCCTGAATCCAAAACCAAAACCCTCCTCACTCAAGCACAACCTCCCAATCCCCCTCCGCCCAAACAATCTTCAACTTCCAATGCCTTATCTTCCACAGCCCATCCCCCTCATCTCTGACAACATCCATCTCATACAAACTGCCCGCCAAGAAATACTTCGTCCCAGTCTGTATACCCTCCCCGGGTCGATAATGCTGCGCCAGGGCCGACGCAGTCAACAACCCCTTCTCTTCACCTTCTTTAACATTTACCCGTACATTACTCATGTAGTGAATGGTATCCAGCTTCGAGATCTTATCGTAGCAGTCTTTGTGGATTGAGTCGAGGCCTTCGAGGAGTCGGCCGTTGAGGTCGAACGTGGCGTCTTTGGTGAAGGCTGAGTCGAAGAGAGCTGTGTCGGCGGTGTCGAAGCCTCCGACACAACGGTAGAGGGTGTCGGTTATGGCTTCGCGGGTGGTGAGGGTTGGAAGGGTTGTGGGGTAGGACATTTTAGTTGGTTTATGTTTATGGGGATATGGAAGTGTTGCTTGGGGGTCTTTTTTGCTGTGTTTTTGTGTCGAATGTGAGTGAGTGAGTGTGTGAGTGTGAGTGAAATGTCATATAGATTGGACTGGGGTCTATGCATCGGTGGCATGATGGGAGTTGTTATATGACAACTTAATTCATGTATATTGGTGATTCATGCCTGAGGCGGACTTTGAGTGGATATAAATCTGGCTTTGCGTAAGTCCGGGGGGGGGTTAACTCCGGTTACATGAGAAATGGGCATAGATAGATCCTTGTTGTTGGGTGATGGGGCTAGTGTATAGCTAGGACATTAGAGGTCATTTCTGCCCCTTGATGCATGGGTTGACAAGGGTAGGCTTGGTGTATGGCTGTTAACATTGGAGGATTGGATTTCTTGGCTTTACAGAACTATATCGATAGTATTATAGGATCTGCATGCTATTATAACAAGGTACAAGGTACAGTTGTGAAGGGTAGTAGTTCCTAGATTCCTGGCCCGGAAATGCTATTCCTAAAAGAAACGGCATTTAAATACTAGATTGCACAGAAAGAAGTTCATAGAGGGGATGTAGAACCGTTTCCTGGAAGTTCTTTAGTGTTAATTAGACAAGACTCTAGTCCGATATTGTGGTCCATCGTTGCTGCCAAGAAAAACGAAACTGCACTTATAATCTGAACGGAGATAACATAGCCAACGGAGATAATTCCTCCCGCATCCGGGATAAAGATATTGACGGAGTATATGTGAAAAGTCCGTGATTTCATTCTGTGTAATGATGTATAATATACTAGTTTCCGACACTTTATCTGATTAATATCAACCCCACCCAGCGAACACAACTGGGTGGTACCATAACAACACAGGAAAAGAAGTCGAAACTTGATCAATGCCCTCAATATCTTGGCTGGTCTTCGGTACATCCAAAATTCCCGCTGCGGAGACTAGTCCCCATTCGGCGACGATCCCCATATAAATTCCTTTACCGAAGGCTAGTCAATGAATCATCTACTAATCAAAAGTCAATGTAAACGGACGATCGGTTGCATCAGGATGAAGGCGGGGTGATTATAAATCATGCCGTGGTGAGAGTCTGCCAGTTCACGACACCGTGCCACTAATTGGCTATACGATGAAGATAATTTGTAAGAAAGTTGGAGGAATTTCTAAGCCTCATGTGGATTTTTTGATTTGCTTAAAATATTGCTTACAGCTCCAACAATATAAAGCTCTCTCATCCCCCAACCTTGTCTGAACGCTTCATCCTCCCCACCTTGATTTTCCACACCTCGTATCCTAAGATGACTACCCAGAAAGCAATTGTCGTTACCTCCCCAAAGCAGGAGAGTCTGGTAACTGATCGACCCATTCCCGCTCTTCGCGATGATTACATCCTAGTCAAGACGGTCGCCGTCGCCTTAAACCCCACCGACTGGAAGCATATTGCTTACATTTCCCCACCCGGCGTGCTAGTCGGATGTGACTACGCCGGTATTGTCGAAGAGGTTGGGAAAGCTGTCAAAAGACCCTTCAAGAAGGGTGATCGCGTATGCGGTTTCGCGCACGGAGGAAACGCCGTGCAGCATGAAGACGGTGCCTTTGCCGAGTACATCGTCGCCAAGGGAGACATTCAGATCCGCATCCCCGATAACCTCAGCTTCCAGGAAGCGGCCACGCTGGGCGTGGGTATCTCGACCGTGGGGCAGGGTCTGTACCAGAGTTTGAAGCTTGCACTCCCGACTGAGCCGATCAAGGAGCCCGTTCCAATCCTGATCTACGGTGGCTCGACAGCGACGGGTACGCTGGCGATTCAGTTTGCCAAGCTGTCCGGCTATACCGTTTTGACTACGTGTTCGCCGCATAACTTCGATCTGGTGAAACGTCTCGGTGCGGATGCGGTCTTTGATTATAAAGATCCCAACTCGGCGGCTGAGATTCGCAAGTACACCAATAACAAACTGAAGCTGGTTTTTGATACGATCTCGCTGAAGGCTAGTGCCGAATACTGCGAGCAAGCTATTTCCACTGATGGTGGTAATTACGGTGTTCTCCTCCCGATGGCTATCGAGCGTGAGAATATCACTACTCGTCACACGCTCGCTTACACTATTATCGGCGAGGAGTTTACCTTTGGTGACAAGGTCTTCCCTGCCCGGAAAGAGGACAAGGAATATGCTGAAGAATTCTGGACTCTCGCGGAGAAGCTGTTGGCTGATGGCAAGATCAAGGTCCACCAGCCGAAGGTGAACCCCGGTGGTTTGCAGGGTGTCTTGGAGGGATTGAAGCTCTTGAAGGAGGACAAGGTTAGCGGGGAGAAATTGGTGTACAATGTGGCTGAAACGCCTTAAAATCATACTTGCTTAGTTTCCTTTTAGAAATAATCTCATATGCCGCTTAATGTACAGGATAGTTCACCAACTGGGCGGAATGCAATACTTATACCAATGCATCTCCGTATCGGCATCCTTAAACCTCTGGATCTTGTCAACCACTCCATCTTCTCCAATGTCCCACTCCCCTGCCTCCACCATTTGCGCCCAACGTATCAAATCCTGGGGTCCATCCTTGGGATAGAAAAGGGCCTATTTTAAGAACTCAATAAGAGAAGAGTCTAAGGTTTCTGCAATCTTCGGCAGTGGAGAAAAATACACCCACCAGGTAATATGTGGACCTGGGTGATATCCGCTCCATGAGAGACGATAAATCTCATTGTGCAATGCTGCGCATCGCTCATAATCCATACGGTCTACTTTCCGCACTGGATGGGAGGGGGTGATGCGTGGTCCCACTGACATCTTATTGATCTGATGATAGGTTGAATTGATTGAATGGGACGAATGACGATGGGCAGGGAGGCAGGCGACATAATTGATTGTACTCCACGCCCTGGCAAAGGTTGCGCTAATCCTTGTGATGTTACATTACTATATGTTTACGTTTTCTACCGATTGCATGAAAGACCCGTGCTTCTATCCGTAGAAAGTCATAGCTCAGCTATGCCAGTTCAGTACCGGCTATAGCAACTACCCTGCCAGGTCTGGGAATTTACAACGCACTAATTGTGGACTAGCTGAGTGTAGGTATGTCAATAGCTCTAAATCGAACATGTTCGATGCCGCTGTTGCTGGAGTATATAGGTGGAACAATATGATCGCAATCACAAGTTCTATATCAACATACCTACCGAGAATGGTTTAGTCTGCCTGGCTCTCAGGATTGCAGAGCTAAACTACATTTGGAATCGCCCCTTTTCTCGACACGTGACTGGCATGCACCATGAAGGTATCGTCCAGAGGTACGGAGTACTCCCTAGAGGACTCGAGATTCGTTAAAGAAAAAGGAGAAAAAGAAGTGTGGAGTTTAACCATGAGGCATGCCCTTGATATGAAAGTACAACACCTGAAAAGGAAGACAGTGTTGTTGCCGTGAGATACCTGTGCTGTAGGATATTCCTCCTACCATGGGTGCATCAACATTCGGGGAAGAATCAAGGAATCCTACCCTACTTAAAAACATCATGGATTGTCAGCCTTCTGTCAGGAGCCCCTTGAACGATGATTTGCCGGTGGTAGGGGGTTTTTGTGGGTGGGATGGATCTACCAGTCAAAAGTGTGGTTCTGCAGCTATTGCGCAATCGACGTGGGCGCCGAGGATGGCCCCTGATTGGCTGAGGCAGTGGATGAGGAGCTGTCAAGCGATTTAGGGTGGCACTAGAGATGTTTTGTATGTATAAGAGATCGAAGGGGTGTATATCAACTCTAGAAAGATATTGAGGAAAGAATTGATAATGATGGCAATGGTGTTTGCCATTCAAAAACCGGTTTTTCTCTCGGGGTGCGACGCAGCCAATGATACAGGTCAATTGCCTCGGCGATTGAAAGACTCCGGCGGGAGTCGCCGAGGAAAAAATGTCACCTTGAGCTCAGGAATGCCTCCACATCCACACTCCCTTACCTCGTCCCTTACCCCAAAGGACTGCCCCAGACTGCTTGATGGCCCCTTTCCTAGCAGAGAATGGAAGTCCGGTCCGACCATCACCACCATCGGGATGATGAGCCCGTCATTTCCGTCACGGGCCACGAACCCAGACCTCCATCGCCGACTGCCACGACTCATTCCCGTGGCCAAAATCGTGTCGAACGAGACGCGTTAGAACTCCACCAAATTGAGACACAGCTGGATAATGAATTCGGCTCCTCAACAGGATCGATCTCCTCTGGCGAGTATCGCATTACTACTCGTCGGACGGCATCCCGCACCAGTCAACGCACGGAACGAAGTCAAGCGCCACGTAAGGGGCTCTTAGGGAAAGTTCAGCGTTTTTGGACACGCAACGTGGTTTTGACTGTTCCGCAAAAAAGTAACCGCGATCACTTTGGTAAGCTTATTACCTTCGCCATACCCATGCCTCTTCTACCTTAGCACGGATTCGACTTCAATTGCGGCCGAGTCACGTTACTGAGCCTGTCTCGTTCTGTCTTCCTCAACCTTGCCCCTTGTTATTCACGATATAGAAGGGGAGCACTTGCTAACGATGTTAGCGCTGGAGCGGACATTCCTCGCCTATATCCGGACATCAGTGGTCATCGCAATGCAAGGCGTACTAATCGCTCAGCTCTTTCGCCTCCAACAACAACCTTCACCCGCTGATCAATTGACATACTATGAAGTAGCCATCCCCCTTTCTGTGACTTGTCATTGCATTGCCGCCGTTGTAGCAGTGATAGGGGCGTGTCGCTTTTGGAAACAACAGAATGCGGTCGCATTGGGAACCGTCTATGCCGGCGGTTGGGAGTTGAATTGTATCGGACTACTAATCGCATTGGTAAGTAATTCTGCTTTACCTAATTAGGTGACCGAAAGAAGAGATATGATGGTAGCTAATCCGGCATAGATAATCTTGGCGCTTTTTGTCTTATCAATTGTGGTCATGGTTGAACTTGAATAATAAGAATCAAAAGCTCGAGAAAAGTAATAGACTTGTACAGTACGGCTATTGGATGGCTATCACATTGTTGATCAATAACATGGCATCTAGTGTACAGGATAGGCAGAGGCAAAATAATTATGCTCTGAATCTAATGAAAGCAAGCTTTGACATCTACACCTGATGAGCAAGGGATATATCTTATGTAGGTATATGGAGACACATGTCCATGAATCTTATACATGACTGCGTTTACGATAGAATGTTCGATGTATCTTCAAGGGTGCATTGCAATCTAACCCTAACGAACACCTAACACTAGCTATGATTGAAAGAGAGACATCATACATGACTCATGACAAAAAACTTCGCAAAATCGCTCCAAATGCATGCAAATGAACAAAACAATGGTATAACAGAAAAGAAAGGAGAGAGAAACGTCATAGAATCCATTTCATCGCATCACCAAGCCAAGACCTCCTTCTGGGATCCACAGGCGAGACCCGAGCAGATCTCCTCATCCTTCGCGCTGACCTTAGCGTCATCGGGCAACTGCTGTCTCGCCGGCCAGATCTCCCGGCCCTCCTTCTTCTCCCGGTCAAAGTGCTCCGTGACGACCTCGCGACAGGTGCTCTGGAAGAAGAGGGGAGCCTTCTCGTACTTCGGGTGCAGCTGGCCATTGACAAAGACACCCCGGTTGAGATTCTTCTGCGCGTTGTTGCAGAGGACCTTGTCTTCTCCCATGACACGCGCATACATGTCATTGATCAGCCGGAAATCCTCTTCCGGCGCGTCCTTATGTCTCCAGATTTCATAGGCCATGGTCGAATGGTTAGGACCCTTCGGGAGGAATTTTTGAACCATCATCCAATGTTTCCTGTATACGTAGGTTAGAGACGTTGTCACATTTACGGTTGCAGATCAAAGATAGGGGAGCCAAACTTACGTGACAGTCATGGAGGAATTGGGGAAGTAATAGGTGCTCGCGGTGTTCAGACCTTTCGCGATCTGTTCGGGGGTCGACTTGCAGTGGTGCTGGATATGTCCGTCTTTGACATCGCTGTCGAACGAGTCCAGGTTCAGGAATGCCGGGATATCGGCGTGGGTGGTGGGGCAGTGGTAACACTCATTAAAGTTATCCGCCAGAATCTTCCAGTTGTAGTCACCCTCCATTTGATAGGTGTGGTCGAATTCGTATTCGTCGAAGTTGATGCCATTCTCCTGGTAGCGCGCCTGCTTATCGACGTCCTCAAAGTGCTCCTCCCAGGAAACTTCTGGGACTTCCTTCGAGTCCATGTTCACCCAGATGAAGCCGTTCACATCGACCTTGACGTGGATGCGGAAGAGACTGTTCTTTTCCTTGTCGAATCCATCCAGCTCCTGGTAGCCGGGCGCCTTGGCCAGCTTGCCGTTCAATCCGTAGGACCAGCCGTGGTAGCGGCATGCGATGATCTTCTTGTTTCCGTAACCCTCTTCCTCGATGACGGGGTACGCACGGTGGCGGCAGACATTGTGGAACGCATTGATGTTGCCCTGTCGGTCACGGTTGATAACGAAGTCGAATCCGGCGACCTCGTAGCGGAGCCAGTCACCAGCCTCCTTGAGACGCGAGCTGTGAGTGATGAACAACCATCTCTTGGAGAAGATCGCACGGCGCTCGAGCTCATACATCTCCGGCGCGGTATACCATGATGCCGGCAGAGCACGGACGGGGGTAGGCTTAACCTCCGCGCCCTTAGTCGTGGAGGCCTTGTTGCCAAAGTTGAAGTAGTGAAGCATTGAAGTCATGGCTGATGGTGTAGAGAGAGAAGGTCACAGTAGAGTGTCCAAGTGTTGCTTCTGTTCGTGATCTTGGTAGACAGACTTTCGCCAACAGTAGTGACCGGAGAGCCCTTTTTATGTCCATACTGAGACGCCTTCTGATATCAACTGATCGTAATCTCGTCTTATCAAACTCCACCATTGCCACTATGAACATGACACATGGCTAAACTGGATTTGGAATGCGTAATGAGAACATTGATAAGACATTTGTGGAATGTGCCCGGTGGTTATGGACTCAATAACCCCATGGGGTAAGAAGCCCACCTGAAATGGGTATGTTTTAACCAAAATCAGCCGTGGAGATCCATCCTGGAGACTCGCGGCACTGGGGGCCGAGATGCCATTGATAAGTCGGACCCATTGCCGCGGGACGCCCGAGAGAGGGTGGCAGGCGTCGGCTTTCCCGACGCCCCCTAATCGCCCACATTTCCAACTTCACCTTGGCTATTTTGAGACGATCTCGCGCTTTTCTCTCCACACATTTTCTGGCCTCTTATCTTCAGATATCCACTTCAATTTACTCCTTCTACTGATATGCACAGATTATACATTCAATTGATCTGATGCTTGATTCTATGTATCACTATCATTCTCCACTGTACATACAATTCACCAACAGCAGAATTGAAGACACAAAACATGTCATTATGATTCACTAAACAAAACATATCTGGTACCGAGGTCACACTCCAACTCTACAAGCTATACAACTTCCACAGTTGATCCTGCTATCCCCAGTGATCGAACAAGGGAAAAAGAAAGTGCACTCCTCGCCACTGCAACAACCCAAGATGTCATGTGAGGGAAACACTGGAAACTTTTTCCCAAAAGGAACAGGTACCAAACAAACGGTTAGTCAACAAGCGCAAAAGATCAACTACTGGGTGGTGGTCCGGTGACATCTAGACAACGCAATCAAAAACAAGCAGTAACCCATCGTCATTAGTCCGGGCGCAAACCCGACACTAATAACCCCTCCTTGTCGGTTCTCCCGTGCAGATAAACAAGTCCAAAGTGCTCCACTTCATTCATCGCCGAAATAGTGGGTCTGTTTCCAGCCGCCGTGCCTGGCTCTCTTCTGCCACTACGCAGATAAGATACTCACTAATGCTGCACGAAGTAAACTGGTTTGGGCATGAGGAATGAGAACATACTTTTACCCCTCAATAACTATAACTTAAACCAGGATGATCGTATAGGCGAATATGTATGTGCTTATGTGCGCTTTGCCATGTTAGGCTGTCATGGTGACATGAACGTCCCCACATATCAATGCCCAAGATCCGCCATCCCCGCGCTCCGATGCCGAATAGGTGTACGGGTGATAAGAAGGGTGGGCTGGAGAGCGATCCTTTCGGGTTCAAGCCGAGATTGAATGGTCTCGGCAGACCGCGGAGAAGAGGTAGATATGTCCGCGATGTTGCCGATGAGGCATGGATTGGAAAGAACAACAATATCTACGATATCAATGAATCTTCTAGAAGACTTTTTAGCCCGCAGATAGCCCAATGGAGAGGATAAGTATAATCAGTAAATGTAGTTCTAGCCTTGTAGGCATCATTTTGTGAAGTTGAATCAAAGAGTTATACATGCATAAGATCATCCAGCCTGGTGATGATGCTGATCTCCGTGGACCCGGTCTACGGCCATACCGGAAGGGGAACTTGTGCGGGTGATCAACAAGGTATACCTTTCGGGCGACACCATTGTCTTGCGGATTTCTCTTTGCGTATTCCTTAGCCTTTTCTGGGCGGCGGAGAAATGATCCTCTCGGCTATTGTTCATGTTAACCTTGCAACTGTTGTGTCGGAAAAGATGTGCACAAGTATTCTACTATGTGGTTCTCGTTACACTGGCATTGGGGTCAAGTCCTCATGGAAGGAAGTATGCGTATACATCTCTGTTTTAATCCGTCCCAAGTCTTTCGATTATTATCCTAATCACAATCCTTCCCTCAGTGAAACCCTTCCGCAGATGATAATATTCCAGATCAGCGCGACTCAGAGAAAGCACCGGCAGATCATACAAGCACGATGAACCATAGACTTCACAAGGCCAGTCTCTTACAAAGTAAACACCAACTAAGGATTAATCTGGAATCCCAGCACTACTCCTTCAAGCACCATATCCTCCCTAGCCACATCCACAGCGGAAGACACACTCGACGGCCTCGTCAATATGTCTCGAAACCATTTGACTTCAGCACAGATTTAGATACGCCAACGAATTCCCGATCCGGAGTAATTGTTACCACCATACTATTGGGGATTGATATCGCAACACTTCTTGCTCTAGCAATCTATGTCCATATGATTTCCCCACTGGGTAGGCTGGTTGGGGCTTCTTCACAATGGTCCTTAATAGATTTTACGATAGGTAATCGAGTGCCCTTGCTACTTGCGAAAGATATAGGCCGAATTATAACCCTTGACCAGATGCCACGATATTTAGGGGATGCTGTACCGGATGAGAAGCATGGATATGTCACACTAGGAAATGGAGGATCAATTCATCAGCGGAGAGAAAATATGATTGTTATCCTCAAAATCCTGGCAATCAAGGATCCTATACCTGAGCTAGGTCGACGTAGTCCTCGTGAGGATCAGGTGCATGCAAAACATTGATAAATTATCGTAACGGTCCCATTCTCGTAGAATCCAACATATGAGACGTCGGGTTTCTTGCATTCATCCATTCATTACCTTGGCCATTTTCTTGTCTTGTTTGGTTGACAGTCTATTCTGCGATAAGCAGCCGAAAGGAAACCACAAGGTAGTAACTCAGTAGGTAACGAGTAGCAGCGCCATAGGTATGAGAAAAGATCCTTACACTTCTTAATCAGAGTCCTGAAACCATTTCATGGAGAGAGGGATAAACGGCTACTTGCCATCCGGTAACCCGATATCTAACCCCAATCCATGTACGCCAAACCTTCCCCGGGTGGTAAGACATATGTGATGTGCTGCCATAGGACATAAATGGATGATATGATATGATATGCCCCGCACTCACTAGCTTACAGTTGCCATGCATCCGCTGCAGAAGACCCCTACCCCTTACCTTTTGGGATCTGGGAATTCAGGGGAACCGAGATACCCAACCACATTGATTTCTGACTCCAGGATATTGTCAATGAAAAACAAACAAATGAAGACAAGGGAAATTGGAATAAAATCATCTTCACCACGGAATCATAAATATATTAAATCTATGTCTATTAGACGCACTGGTATCTAGTACAAAACCGGTGCAATGAAAAAGCTTTCTCAAGCCGATCAAAAAATACAAAACATAGAATGGTATCTAAATTTTCCCCAAAATGTACAAGATCGAGGGTTCGTCGTCCGTCTGTCCGCGAAACATCGTTTCATAAACCGTTTGATGCTAGCGTAAACTGGGTCAAAGTTAGCTTGGTTAATTGGGTGACATAGTCAGAAGGGGGGAGAAGCAGTTCTTACATTTACACGCGGTTACCAACGATCGCAATGACGGTACCGACAGGCACGCCGACCTGGGGGAGACCAAGGCCAGAGACGAGACCGGTGACTTCAGGGGAGAGCTGGATGAGGAGGGCACCGCCATCCTTGCCGACAACGGTGACGACATTCTGGACGGCAGGGCCAAGGTCCTTGACGAGGACACCGACGCTGGAGGCAGCAGCGACAACACCACCGAGAGGAGCGGCGAGTTGAGGGAGACCGAGACCGGCGACGAGGGCGGTGACTTCAGGGGAGAGCTGGATGAGGAGGAGCTGGGCGTTGGGGCCGGTCACGACGAGGATGTTGTTGACCTCGGGGGCAAGGTCCTGGAGGAGCTTGCCTTTGCCGGCGCCGGTGGCGGGAGCTGCAGAGGGAGCTGCAGAGGGAACGGCTCCGGTGGAAGGAGTAGGAACGGCGGAGGGAAGTCCAGATGGGAGGCCAGATGGGAGGCCGGAGGGGACGACTCCAGTGGTCCCGGCAGGTGCCTGTCCAAGGAAGCCGATAATGGTACCCAGGGGCAAATCATTGCTGCCGCCGCCAAGGAGTCCACCGATAAGTCCACCGAGAAGTCCACCGAGAAGTCCGTTGAGGTCAAGGAGGTTGCCGACGACGGGTAAGCCGCTGGTCACGCCAGACAAGCCGGAGAAGCCGCCCAGGGCAGGGGCACCAATGGCAGTGGAAGCCAGAGCAGAGAGGATGTAAGCGAACTTCATTTTGGGAGGTATGTTAAGGAGAGAAATGAGAGACTGGGATGATGATGATGATTATTATTATTATTATTAAAGACTGGATAGGAATGAATGAATGAATGAATAAGAGAGTGAGTGATTGATGCTGAAGTAAAAGGGTGTAGTCTGGAGGGTTAGGAACAGGTTTATATACAGTTGAACAGGGTGATCGTCCTTCGCCGGAGACCCAGATGAGAGTCCTGATGCCTTCTCAGCAAGGGTGGGTGGAGACGTTCCAGAGATTCAGAATTGAGAGTGGAGTTAGGGCAATTATCTCGTGTTGGTGGAGATAGTACCCATGCTATTGATGGCATGAATCGCGTTATAGGATGATTGAACGGACGATCTTATTACCAGCCTTGTGCGGCTTTCAGTCCTATGCGTCAGTGTATTGTTTAGTATTCTCAATCACCTCCACCCGAAGTATCGAGATCTGATTCGTCTGCTGTAATTTGATATATCAGCAGACCCAGCCAATGGCCATATAGCTTTGTATTGGGATATGTCTATTACAAAAGATACTAGAGTACGACATCGGTATCTGTCCCTCAACATGCGTAATGAGAAACAAGTAGTTACAGAGTAAAGCCGCTTCAGTTTGTGTGATTCAGCTTTCATCTCCCAGTCCTCCTTCCCCCTCCAAAGTGAGGGGCCAGTACTAATTCATCGTTGCACTTTCCTATTTTGGCTCTTCATCTGTTCCACAGTGCGTAGATACTTCGCATATGAGATACCCAGGGCAGTCCTTAGAACGAAATGGGTCCTACACACCCTACTAACCTGAATGCCGACAGATCTCGGTTCTCCGGCTTTACCATCTTCATCTTTACCAGACCAGGATGATACCAAAATCAGGGGGATTCAGCTTCCAGCTGAATAGTTCCAGAAAAGTGAACCATACTACGAGCTATACCTGCGCTATGGCGTTGTACAGTGGTTCGATTTGTGTTATTGATTGGCTAGGGCCGCTTTGCAGATGGTAAATTATGCCGACCATTGGGCCCAGCCACTGGCTAGAGGCTTAAGGGTCAGGTCCCTGTCGATCGTTATATTAGCGTTCATCGACATATGTGGTAGATACGGAGTACATAGGGTAGTCTCCACTGTGGCTCTGGCTGCCTTCAATTATGGCTCCACTGACCATTACACTTCGCTTTAGCCTACCAGCCGTCTGTTAGCTAGTTTAGTAGATCAGTTGCTTATTTCGTTGATGTGTTGAGCCACGACCAAAGTTAGAAATACGGGTCAATCGGCAAACCTCCGCGGCAGGAAATCATGATCTTCTAGAAAGTGAGAGACAGGTAAGATGAATATGTACCGTCTTGCAAATCATAATAATTCGAATGGCGCGATTTTCCATGCGTCGGCAGTTAAGGTTTTTCTTTACTTTTCTTGCGCCGGTGTAAATCCGGTGAACTATCGAATACTCTAGCTTGACTGTAGATCATCTCCACACAGACAACTTAGTCCTGGAGAAGATTCGGTAGATGGAAAAGTCAGATCAGAGAAGTGCCGTTCAATCAACTCTGTTCATGAAGGTAATCTCTTCTTAATAATATAGAGAAACACTTGGCTATATTTCAATCCTAGCAACTCACTACAAAACGACCAGATACCTGTCTACAAGAATACCAAGCTTACTATTTTATTTAGGGGTTGCATAGTCCATCCTCGCTTAGAAAGTTTGCAGAATAGATTCCTTAAAAGAGACATCAAATGTGATATCAGGTCTACACGCGGCCAGCGAGCGTGTATTTCTAAGCCATGTTCACGCCACCTCCTGCATCTTTAGGTTACTCGGAGATGTAATCCGTGTATAATCTACTCCTTACTGGTAATCAACACTAAATGATCTACTATTACAGCTCAGAATGGCTTGCATCAAACCTGGAACTCGGTCCGTTCAGCCTCCCCTTGCGTCGTTCTATACGGATAGGCGGTGATTAAATGGTACTGCATGGTTGAGGTCACTTGGGGGGTTGGATAGGTCATTGGATTGCGTGCTTGGTCTACGCCAACTCGGATCACCTTTTCAGTACTCCGTAGACATGTCCGATTTTACCCAATCCAATTACAAATAGCAATATGGCGGGTACTTTTCATGACCCGGAAAATTATTCCTGCGGGCACGGAAAGCCATCATTCTGACTTTGCGCCACAAGCTAACCCGGTGTAATGAAAATTGTCACTTTACCGTATTAAACATGATTACACTAGCGTTGGGGGTAACTCAGTAGCTGGACCTGTATTATCGATACGGACGGGTGACTTGAGGCGCTCTTGGCATCTTTCGGTCCATGAAATCGTTCGTTGATGGTATCGAGATATGTAGTAAGTGAACATAATGGCTATGTGCTATGTCCAGTATAGATAAGCATTTTTATCGTTTATGATAGCTTACAAAGTTAACTAACTGCATGATCAATGTACATTTTGAAGTCTGTTGGTTGTGCTACGTACGTTAAGTAGTGCATGATATCTTGACGGGTGGATATATATATTTATGTCTTCAACGACGCTGAACAACCACTTTTGTTAACACATCTGATGGTTATGAAAACATTCGTATTTAATTGTACAGATATTCATCCAAAATACACGATCTTATTTGAAGAAAGTATAAGCCTGTTGTTTAATCCTTTTCATTCTGAGCAGATGTTCTTTTGGCTATGGCATTCGCAAACAGCTACTCCGTACTCTACCCACTAACTAGGCTTGATTCACGTGATATAGTCTCTTAAAGTACGTCTACACTACTGGCTGATGACTAAACAAATGCATCTCTAAAAACAGGCAGAGTCGGCCGATACATTGTAGCGTTATAATGGCAAAGCTCCAAGGATAGGAACCGGAGACATGGCCCGTTGTCCATCCTTATACAGACAAAGCATGATGGGATTCAACCACACGGGCGTCGTCCACAAGAGGAACAGCCCCACCCATACGTATCCTACCGCACGCCTAAAAAGAGGACTCATTCTCTCAATCTGAGCGTGAAACAGGGATTGGACGATACCCTCAAACATAACGCCAAGAGCTTGGAGACAAAAGAACCACACAGCACCGGTTTTGTCTCGGGGGACACCGAATGCCAAGTCCATTCCCATGTGGATAAATCCAGACACGGTAAAAGCGAAAAGCACACGTGGGTAGCAGGCCCACCGCGACTTAGGGGGTATCCGTAGAACAGAGAAGGAGATGAAGTCTGCGTTGGAGACGAGAAGCGTACGAAGGACTTGGTGCCATGCCGTTCTGATCCCTGTTAGTCGATTTCTCATTGGTGGTGACGAAAGGTTTACTTACCCCCATAGTCGTGTTAAAGACCAAGCTTCAGTCAGTGAATTGGCCACTGGTGGCCACTCCACGGGGTCGTAAATTCCTAACGCTACCAGCATGATGCCTCCAAGGCTATACATCCCCACGATGGCGGCCCTGCATACGATACCGAACGAGATCGTGATCATACCGTGAACCAGGATTGTATCTGACGATGTCCCGTGCAACCAAGGGGCGAGAATCATTTTGCTGTCCGATAGCTCCGCCATAGCGCCAGCCAGGCGAGGGTCGCTCGGGTCCATAGTACATAGATGTACCAATAAGAACGCGATACATACTTTCACACTGCCCTGCACCACAAACTTTAAACGGGAGGGTACATATTGCGGATTGGTGCTGTCGAACACGGGGAGTCTCGAAATCTGCCACGGCGTGTTGATGCGGCGATAATTGAACGCGATGTTTTGCGACCAGAGAAGCCGACGGAAGAGAGTCGACTTTAGGGAGTAGGAGCTCTCTTTCTTGGGAGCTTTATCGCCGGACCTTTTCGCCTCCCACTCAACCTGCGCCTCGTAGGAGACCCGACTCAACACCAGCATATCAATGGCGTTCAGTACGTTCACCCAACACATGGCCGCCAACGGCCCTCCTGCTCTCGTGTCGGCAAATGACTCAGCAACGCGAGATTGGAACGAGTATGCTAACGCTATTACGATCGCCGCGGCCATGGACCGGACGATAGACTGGGACGGCGTAAGAGCCACAGTCAACCCTGTTACCAGCTGGACGAGGCCCCATTGCGCCAGAGGGACACGCCAGGGCTCAAACGCGGCGGGGTCCATGGTTGAGAATGTTGAAGAGAGTTACGAAGGGATACAGAAATCGTGACGGCTTTCACTGCGATTGGGCTGAGTTAGGCTGGGAGACTAAAATTTTCAGTTTGCATTAGGGCCTACGATTTGGCTGGTGATCAGCATCTATTTACGGGAAAAAAACAATGTTATCGTGGCTTCTGACGATATTGATTGGTTGATTCGAAACTACGAGTCATCTTACTGTTGATGGAGCCTCGAAATAGCCCCATTTACTATTTTCTTTGTCCATTCTGGTTGGTTGAAATTGGTTCGTGCAGATCTCCTTACTGCTTCTGGTATGTGGGCCATCCGTATAGGCTCCGCTAGATGCTTTGTCATGTTATCCTCCCAAACAAGAGACTCAAACGAGAAGTCCCGTTGATTATAATTTCACATCTTCCAGGCAGATATGGCAGAGAACGTACTCAACGGGGGAAGATTTATCCATGACTATATTTGTTGTGCGATAATTAATACCATGTTCTTACATTGGCGCATCCCGCCTCGAAAACTCGCACACTGCAGTACCTGACGCAGCATATACTATCAATTGCCTACAATTTTGTATCCAACAAACGCTTCGAATTGACGCTGGAGCATGTGCAATATCACGAGCTCTAGTAAAATTTCATGCAACATGCTGCGTACATACACGGATGTGTTTCAACAATCAAGCCTTAGTGCGCTTTCCCCTGCATAATGAAAGGCTTACACAAACCCAGAAGTACCGGAATCATAGCTATGTGTTCATCATGCAAGGTATGTTGTAATACATATCAGGACCATGCAATGTAAGCTTCCTAACAAGAGGGGGCTTCTATGGCTGGTAATATGGCCTTCATAGACTATGAAGAACAAGGTGAAAGAAGTGGATCTGTCTAGCGCAAATTAGGGTCCACCAAAGCAGGTTGACCTTGGGCACCAAGCCTGGATACGATACACTGACATACCCACCATATATATTGGTAGTGGGGAGAAGTGCTGAGGGGAGAATCTCACAGCAGCTCCTGAGCGTACTGGAAAGCTCTCCCAGCCTATCCATTAGAAAGGGCCAATGTAGGGAACGTACCATGTATTCTTCAAAAACTCCTTTTTATAAAGTCAATGAAGTGCTCCAGCGTATGGGTCGTTAGTCTAGGGCTTTTCCACATGACACCAATCTGTTATCGCTTGCGACGAGTAGGATGAGGGTGTGTCTCGCTGTCACGAACCGACGGTGATTGCTGATAAGGCCAGACTCGAAGCGAAAAGACGTTATACCTGACCCTTCAGGATAATATTTAAAATCATCGTCTACTTTCAGTATATATTACGTGTATCTTGCTTAGGCATTTCGAGGGATCTATGATCTGTCCATGTGGTCGCAAACAATATTTCCAAACCAGTAGACCGTCAAGATTTCTCCGCCGAAAAATCTTCTGCTTACACAATACCGACCTATGGATACAGTGTCTGCGTCTAAATGTTGTTTTACTTGCGAAGCAGATGATAAAGATCCCGGGATATGGATTTTTGAGCAAGCGGGAATGCGGGGAAGGGCCGAGATGGCAATGACATTTAGCCAACCATGGAGAGTTATGTCAATAGCAAGCATGCTTTGATTGATAGCTTTGGAAATGACAAGGAATGACTGGTTCTCGGGATGTGATCCATGGTTCAGGTCGAGCATGAGGTCAAATATGACCTCACCAACCAACCCGCACGAATTAGACCAATAGATATTTGGTTAAAAAAGCTTCGGCTTGAAGCAAAGCTAACGCTTATCGAGAAAGCTATTTCCTGGAATCTAGATCGAACAACCGTCCATGGAAAGTTATAAAGTCTGCAGTCCGCTGCTTGGTTTTGAGTTGTAGAACACCCAACTTACTGCACTAGCTTTAAGAAAGACATATCATAACCCAAAACAAGATGGTCAAAGATCTCGTAAGATGCGACCATGGATTCTATATAAGTTCCTGTCGTTAACCAGCTTCCAGACATTTGATATCAGTTACGACAACGAGCTAGCTCACATATACTACGGAGACGGGAAAAAGCTTGCTGATCAGTACGAATGCTAGAGGTTCAATCCCATCCTCTCAGTCTAATGTCCATGAGCAGTTTACGGGAGATTTATCACGACAAGAATCTCCAGTTTCCTAATGAATTCGACTCTAATTTAACTACACCTCCGATCCATTATATGTCGTATGTGCCTTGTGATTGAGACTAGGCTCCCAACTAACTGTAGTAGGGTGGAAGCACCGGATGAAGCCGATGTTGACGATTTGAAGAATGTGAATGTTCCTCCTGGCTTGAATGTTGATATTCTGGATTGGCATTTGTAAACGTTGGGAAGGGTTGGGCTTCTGCGCTTGCTCCTCGAGGTGTTAATAAGGCGTAGGGTCTGTTCGTTAGGTAACATATAACTTGTTTTCACATCTAAAACGTAGACTCGTAAGAATGAATCTGGAGTACTCGTGTACATATGCAATAAATAATGTCCTCTATGCCATATCAGCTATGTAATACTGCATTCTTAAGCACAAGATCCAGTGCGACGTGAATGTTCCCATGGTTGGACACCAATGTATATGCCATCTCCCCTAGCAGCTTGCGATGTGCGACTTGATTAAATGTCATCGCTGTCTTGGTTGCAGTTAACAGTTACTGCTCTATTTCTGGAAGACCTCGTAGTCCAAATAGGATCGGACTAGGATCCCGACGACCGCTAGAATGTTCGTCTTAGTTCAAAAAGGAAGCATTTTGAGCATGTATTTGCAGCAGGGATAAAAGTCATGAAAATGTCGTATCTCTTTATCAGAGTATAGCACATCTTCGACACAGCGCTCCCTGTTAAGATAAACATGACTAGGCAGGTAGGAAGGTGCATGTCTCGCCGACCGTTTTGGAATATTGTTCAGGATTATCATCGCAGCCTTTGCCCTCCACCTCCGTGGCTGGGATCTCCCGCCGAGTGCTCGAAAGAGTGGATAACAAAGCTGTGAGAACACAAGGCAGAATGAAGCATAATAGCTTCCGGAATGTAACCGCCACTCTGGAGCTTTAGTTAAGTGTTAGAACCATTTTTCCATGTAAGCTGAGTGATATCAGACGTCCTTGAGACGACCAACGACAGGGCATCCATCTTTGAAGCTCCAGGCTTAGAAGACGGATAGGGCATTTCAGGATATCTGCCACGCTCAGCCTTTGCCTACTGTGATTCACTTGTCCGTTCGTTGACACTGCAGTTCATTGTTGTAGATCATTATGCTTTGTGGTGGATATAGCGCAACCACCTGACAGTCTGTGATTGTCAAGATAAATGAATGAACCTGGTATATCGTCATGATGCAGTGGTTGAGTTTGATAGAGAACGTTTCTTCGTGGGCTAAGTATAGAAATCGAATGTGCAATATATGTCTTTTGTCGACACGGCTGGGACTTCATCTTCCAGTAACCTTTCGAATGAGGCGAGAAAAACAAAATAAAAAGTAAAGAGCCAGTGGTCCAGCATCCCCGGCCACATTGATGATCTAGAATTTGATCTAAAACGATAGACCTTAATCTATCCCTTGTGAGAAATTCCTCGCCCGAACCCCGATTCTCCGTTCCATATCAACACACAAAGGAGACACCATGTTCAAAGAGCTAGAAAGCATGCAGAATGTCGTCAGGAGACTTGCTAGCCAGATCAGGTTCTACTATTTACTATTTCTCATGTTGGAAAAGAATTCCCGCAGCGTCACATCGATTGATGAGCCGAGGCCACCATGACGAGTGGTGAGGTCATCGTGTACGTAAACTCGAAGATCTCGTACAACCAAAAACGACGAGAGAAAAAAAAAAAAAAAAAAGGATTTATTCTCGTATACTCAAGCTTTCTGCTGATCCTTAGGAAAAATATAATCCATATAATCCGACCGTGCCGATCATCTCATCCCTTGCATAGATCCCGTCAGCGGTATTGACGATCACCACCACCATGGTCCACCTATCCAGAGTAAAAAGGGGCAAGCAGGCTCAAAAGCCTCAGCACGAGCAAGATCAAGGAGAAGGCGCGGCGACCCCGTACGTGTATGGAACACATTATGCCACTGAAGAGCTTCCGGAGCATGTCATGTCTGAACGGGAAATGCCCGCAGATGTTGCTCTCCGGTTGATTAAGGATGAATTGAGTTTGGATGGAAACCCTCTGCTCAAGTGCGCTTCCTTTTTCCTCCTCATGTTTGTATCTTGGTCTGATGGTGGTTTAGTCTCGCGAGTTTTGTTACCACGTATATGGTAAGTTGTTGTTGGCTGCGTGTGTCACTGTCCAGATGTGCTAATTCCAACAGGAAGATGAAGCGCAAAATCTCATGACCGAGGCGATGAGCAAGAACTTCATTGATTTCGAAGAATACCCACAAACCGCGCACATTCAGAACCGCTGCATTAACATGATCGCGAATTTGCTGAACGCGCCGACCACCGAAGGGAACGGTGACCAGGATTGCCTCGGGACGTCCACGATCGGATCATCGGAAGCGATTATGCTCGCGACACTGGCCATGAAGAAACGCTGGCAGAAAAAGCGCAAGGCAGAGGGGAAGGACTGGACGCGTCCGAATATCGTCATGAACAGTGCGGTGCAGGTGTGTTGGGAAAAGGCAGCGAGATACTTTGACGTCGAGGAGAAGTACGTCTATTGCACGGATACACGATATGTGATAGACCCGAAGACTGCAGTGGATATGGTGGACGAGAACACGATCGGCATTTGCGCTATTATGGGCACAACCTACACGGGACAGTATGAAGATGTCAAAGGGATCAATGACTTGCTCAAAGCGAAGAATATCGACTGCCCGATTCACGTCGACGCAGCTAGTGGCGGCTTTGTGGCGCCATTCGTAAGGCCAGAACTGGAGTGGGATTTCCGACTGGAAAAGGTAGTGTCGATTAATGTCTCTGGACATAAGTATGGATTGGTAGGTTCTGCATGATTTATACTATGCCTTTATCCTAAGTATATGCTAATTGCAAAGGTCTACCCTGGCGTCGGTTGGGTCTTCTGGCGCTCTCCTGAATATCTACCCGAAGAGCTCATCTTCAACGTTAATTATCTCGGCTCCAACCAGGCCACGTTTACATTGAACTTTTCAAAGGGTGCCTCCCATGTTATCGGCCAGTACTACCAACTGATCCGACTAGGCAAGCATGGATATCGATCTATCATGCAAAATCTTACGAAAGTATCGGATTACTTAGCAGATGAGCTAAAGAAACTTGGATTCTTGATCATGAGCGATGGCAACGGCCGCGGCTTACCACTCGTTGCTTTCAGAATGAAGCCTGATGACGATCGACTGTATGACGAATTTGCTTTGGCTCATGTTCTTCGCCAACGCGGATGGATCATTCCGGCATATACAATGGCTCCACATAGTAACCAGTTGAAGATGATGCGTGTTGTCCTTCGAGAGGACTTTACCATGCACCGGTGTAATATCCTCCTTGAGGACATCAAGGCCGCATTGAAATCACTAGAAGAGATGGATGCCGAGATGATCCAGAAATACACGCTGTATGTCCTCGACCCGACTAATGCGGAGTATAGGCTAACAGGTAAAATAGGCATCTTAGGGCGCACAGCGACAGGAAACTGCCGCAGCAACATGCACATTACAAGAATGAAAAACACTCATTGCAGGGTAGGACTGGGAAGACGCATAGTGTATGTTGATTTTACTTCGTGCTGTTGGACACTTTCCAAAAGTATCTCCTACTCGATAGCCCCCAATGTTATAATTTCCAGTAATTACATGCGGAATTAGTCATATTAGCCAATACAAGCACAAATACCTCGCAAGAGAGTGAAGAATCGTAAATGCAAGAGGCTATAGAATTAAACTCGTAACTTGATTAGAACTGACATGGGAGAAGTAGGAGGCGACATTCGAAAAGCACAGCATGACAGCTGGTCAAGTAATAATGAAGCAAGGCCTAAGGCTGGCATGTAGTACAAACACAGTCCAATTTGCAATGAGGCATAAGGTTGTCTGGAAAGTGTATGTTCCAGTGTTCATATTAATCCTAGGGTTTAGGGCATCATTTGCCAGTAAGTACGGAGCCAAGAGATCATGGAAATCCTCGTTCTTGAGAGAATTCATAATAGGAATACGGAGTAAGACAAATAGTTTCCTTTTTCGTAGTGCATATCCACATATAATGCTCGTCTCATTTTGCTCATCTAACTCAAACCTCCAAATTTAGTGGAGCCCGATTGACAAATTCGCAGCATAAATGTGACCAGTACATATGTCGAGACCAGTGTTCGCATGCTCAGCACGCATTGCTCCAATCAATGGACCCGTGCTTGTCCACGTCAATAGCTAAAGTGTAAAAACTCATGTCGCATGAACCTTAACCTATTTGGTGAAGTCAATTGACATCCCACAGCGCATTAGCATCCATGGTCATAGACCTCCATCAAATGTCGGTAAGCCGTAAGCATGGGGTTTTACTTGATGCCTAGAGAGCTCTATTGGTGGCGGTGCATTAATCATCACTAAGTCATTGTCGCTATCCCAGAACGATAGTTGTCGATGTGAACTGGTCGCGCGTTGCCAAGGGATTTCAGACCTCCGTTTATACCCGTTTATCGACATGGCTTGGTTTCGATTGAAAGTGGGGTTGGATTCTACGATGGTCTGTCTCTTGTTAATCGCTAAATTAATATATTTAGAGACATATTACATTCTTAAGAGTTACAGCGTTAGGTCACGGGCCACTAGTGATAGAATGGTTGCTTTTTCTCTCAATGCAAGAGAATTTTCGCAGAGCCGACGAACTACCGCAAGCATCCTATGCTCAACTTGGTGCGTATCGGTCTGCGGGATTCTCGGCTAGATAGCCGTGCCCTGTATAACAGTTGCAACTGGTTTTCCTTGTTTAGTGAACCCTAAAAGACATCATTATATGATGTATCAGATCCGTCTCGTATGGCGCCGGACTAGGAACAATAGTTTACTTCCCAGAACAGTAAGCATAAACTTTCATCATCAATAATGGCGGCCGTGCACGGGCGGCTGTCACCCTCCGGATCTTCGTAGCACATTCCATGGCGTACATGAACTCCCATTTCGACGACGATCACCGAGCTGCTGCGCAAACGCCTGCGTCAACGACCCCAGAAAACTTTCCTCTAGGGAATTTGGCTCGGATAGTTTTCGACGCTGCAGCTGATATACAATAGACCATGTGGAATATTGGTTCTTGACCGCTCCATCACACATTTCACTCTGTGAATACTCATAAACATCAGACTTTGATATTCGTATACAGCTATCCACACGCACGCTATTGATGTTTCGTGATTAGTTTGTGATATATCGGCGACAGATCATATCCCGTCAAAATGTATTTACCATTTAGAGAGTGTTATAAAGATGGGCGTAGGAGCGTGCTTTTCAAGTCATCCTTATGTCTTCATTGCCTTCCAGTTCAGGCATCTGCTTTCCTGACAGCATTTTGTATCCAGGAGGTAAATGAAAATGCAGCTTTTCTTCCTGGTAGTTTTGCTGGCCAGTGCCTGCCAGGTGCAGGCCAAGGCTGTATTTGCTCACTTTATGGTATGCTTCTCCTGTTCCTCTCAACCCCAGGCCATGGTTCTAATGTCATTCAGCTAGGGAATAGTGACAACTACACCAAGTCCAACTGGGAGCAAGACATTTCGGCGGCCAAGGAGGCACACATTGACGCATTTGCGATCAACACAGGTTTTGGCCTATCAATTCATCGAATGTTGACCGATGCATTCGCAGCTGCGGATGAACTGGACTTTAAATTATTTCTGTCCTTGGACTACTCGGGAGATGGACACTGGCCGCAGGACCAAGTAATAAAGTACCTCAAAGACTTCACCAAGCTGCCCGCTTACTTCAAAACCGACGACAACAAACCCCTTGTCTCGACATTCGAGGGGGACCAAGCTGTTGGTGATTGGAAGAACATCAAGGATAAGGTAGACTGCTTCTTTATTCCGGAATGGTCCGGGCTGCGCCCAGAGAAAGCCATCTCCTATGAGCAAGTCGACGGCCTGATGAGCTGGACTGCTTGGCCAAATGGTACCGACCCAATGACCACAGAAGCCGACAAAGAGTATCTGGACGCTCTCAAGGGGAAACCCTACATTATGCCTGTCTCGCCTTGGTTCTACACCAATCTGGTTAGGTACCATAAGAATTGGGTATGGCAGGGCGATGACCTCTGGTACACACGTTGGCAGCAGGTTCTCGAGATCGAACCAGACTATGTGGAAATTCTCACCTGGAATGACTATGGCGAGTCGCACTACATTGGTCCGATACATCAGAGCGGCCTTGCGGTCTTCGATTACGGGCAGGCGCCCTTCGACTATGCTAATGGCATGCCCCATGACGGGTGGCGGAACTTCCTGCCATACGTTATCGACCTTTACAAGAACGGAGGCAAGGATGCTAAGATCGAAGACGAGGGCCTTGTCAGTTGGTACCGAGTTAACCCCGCGTCCGCATGTTTGTCGGGTAAGACCACAGGCAATACCGTTACCCAAGCGCAGCAGACGATGGAGCCCCAGGAGGTGCTCCAGGATAAGGTTTTCTTTTCCGCCCTGCTGGAGTCCTCCGCTGACATCTCTGTCACTATCGACGGCAAAAGTCGGGCTGCGAGCTGGACAGATACGCCGGACGGAGGGAAGGGGATTTACCACGGCAGCATCCCGATCAACAACCAGACTGGAGCTGTCGTCGTGACCCTAACACGAGATAATGAGTTACTAGCTGAGATTGATGGCCATCCGATCACGTCAGACTGCGTCAAAAATATGACCAACTGGAACGCATGGGTAGGAAATGCCACCTCGACGGGTCCAAAACCTTCTTCGCCGTCGGGGTCGTCAGAGCAGGACTCCTCGTCTAATCAACTAGTCCTATCAGGACTTCTCCCCGTTGCGGTGATGTCGGCTCTTTTCTTTTTGTTCTGATATAATGCTGACCATGACGTGAAAGTAATGCATGTGATGGTGAGACAGGCGATGACGCTCGAGGAATGGGTTTTGGGAGAGAAAAATGTACTGGGATACCCATCGTATGGTCTAGACCTAATTTAAAAATATAATGGATAATATTTAGTTCGTACTCGAGTCATGCTCGCCAAGCTCGCTTGCAAGATGAATCTGTAGTCTAGACTATAATAAGCAGGAGGTAACGAGCCAGGATGCGGGCCGTCGACGGTGAACCCAGTTTGCCTCGGAGGCCCTAGATAAGCGAAGATTTTCTTCAAAATTTGGAGAACGGTTCGTCTTTTGTAGATAATGGGACATTCTTAATTCGGAAGTGAATGCCGTACCCACAAGGCCCCACTGATCCATCTTTTGATCTCCCGGGTCCCAATAGAATGCCACGGTCGTTCAAGGTCCAGAACCCGAACCAACTTGAGGAGAATAACGAATAACACCGTAGCACCCCACCACGTGACTTGGCTGATTAGATGCATTCTATATTGGAGAGTCCTGGTCTTTTCGATCAATGGTTGTCCCTTTATGATCGTTGTTCATGGCAACGCATATTTGGTACAGATAAGCAACTGTATGTTTTGTAGGTTGAACAGTATATGGACACTCCTGTTCTTTCATAGCTAGTTGTCGAATATCTTCATGCTAAGATTGAGTGGCAGGGTGGGGCTATTGGCGAGGAGGGAAGGTGATAAGCCTTCAGACAATGCGCTCTGTCACTCCAGAAACCTATTGTCATAAACGATTAAGGAAAAACCACGCTATCAAGGACCAGTAAAAGGGGATAGCCAAGAATATTTAGTCAATGGGCCCCATAACCATAGAGACATCGGGGAGAAGTCAAGATGCGATCGAATAATGCCAACATCGAAAAAAACCCACTGCTGGGGATTCTCCGAGGTTGTCTATTTCCCCAACAGGAAGCTGCCACCTGACACGGGTATGGAGAGATCTACATGTAGTCAAAGACGATAGAAGTATCCACTGGTTAACATGGGTGCTAACGGTGAGTGGATCAATAGGGCTAAGTCGATGACACCAGAAGCAACGTTCGTTCGCCACACCCAGCGGCAAACTCCATCGCACTGTAACCCAAGCCAATCTGGGGAAGTCAAGCCAACTGAGGAAGCTCGGAATTAAGTTTCGTGGCTCAAATCCAGCCCTTATCTCGGTTGGCGATTTCTCGGGGCCGAGAATTATTGGCGGCAATGGCCTGGAACGCTTCAGTGATGCCATGGATGCGGACGTGAAGTGCGAGTATGATATCAAACTTTATTCATTCATAGACTTTTTGCAAGTCGCATACTTCTATAAATCCCCTGGTTGTACCCCTGGACTTCAGGGGAAAACGGAAATACCATCCTTCATCACTCTCAAAGACACAAAGCAGAGATAGCCTCGTATATACTGTGCATACCGACGTGTCAGTATGTCTGGGTCTCTCGAAACCTTCACCAGGCCCTCCGCCTTCTTTGTGCGCCATGCCTCTCGCACAAGCACAAACACCCGCATTCCTCCTATCGCTCGTCGATCTGCCTCCCCCATCTCCTGTCGTATGGCCATGTTATCGCGTGACAAGCTTGAAAGAGAAACAGCAGCCAAGAACCCCAACCTGCGTCGTTGCTTAGGCCACCAGCGACTTCTCCGCCGTTCAATTGAAGCTGCCCAAGAGGATATGCGAAAGGCCATGGCATCATTCAAGTTAGAAGACAGCGACGATGAGGACGAAATCCTTGAGGATGATTATGAACCCTCTCCCAGCCCTGTGATTCGCGAGCAGATCACAAGGGCTGTCAAGGCAATGGTCAGGCGTCGTGCAACCAGCCAGGTCTACGAGTCCGACAATGCCAATACGGCGCCGCAAATGATGCGTGTGAGCTCCAAGAATGAGAGCAGCTATGACTTATCATTGAGACAACCCAATGCCTATTACAAGACTCCATCTGTCACGACCAAACGTCGCAAACCTGCCACAAACTTTACCTTTACACGATTGTTGTGGTCGTCATCCGGCCAATCCATGCAAGCAATGACCAGCTGATCCCCACTGGAGGCGTGCTGGATAGCAACAAACATTTCTCAATCTTACCTCAACTAAGACCTCCTCATAATATTCTCTCCGACGCTACCTCTGCATTTACAACAGCGACTGCAAACCATCCTTGAGAGCATTAAACGTCATGCTTATGTTGTTCTAAAAGTTTCTAGCGCTCGCATGTCTATCAACTAGACCTGAAAATAATCGATTTTGCTGATGCTTCAACTGTGATTACACACTACGACTTTACGAAGCTTCTTGTGACGCTGTCTTTCCTTTCCCTGTATATAATCAAGCATTTTTCTTTTGTTAATGATCATGTATAATTATCTTGGTTTTGAAACTGGCTTATAGCCTTGAATACATACTTTGTGCCTACACGTTTCTTTACAGTATTGAACCAAGCCCTGTAGCCTCCTTTAATGATTCGTAACCTTGTGGAGGATTGAGAAAGGAGAAGTAAAAAAGGGGAGAAAAAGAGAAAACACTTAGGCTTCAACCTGACCTGTAGCTACTAGCACTGGTTACTAACCATCTCCAGATATCCACTATCATCCCCACGCTATACCATATACAACATTTATGTCTCGGTACGCAATAGTAATCAATAATTCTTAAGGGCCTCGCGATACATGTGAGCGGTAACCTACTTCTATCAATCTCACAAGTACTTAATGTTTAATCCAAGGTGATGAGATCAAGAAACTAAGGCACTCGGTGCCTTTCTTCTGCTTTGAAACTATGGTAAGCTTCTATGTGTTTGACTTGTCTATGCTGATCTCACCGAAACTGAAAATACAGTCCATACCAATAAATGGGTGCATACGAAAGATGTCGCTTTACCGTACATGCGAAAGTCGAAAAGGAGGGCTTTTGCTACAAAGTTTAGTAGACTTATGATTATGACTGTGGTGTTCTGGAGAGAAATTGTAGAATCTTGAACCCTATCGAACTCGTTCCAGCCACTCCTTCGCCCCACTCCTCCCAACTTCCTAAACGGGATGTATGACTATCCATCATGGATCCTCCCAGGAACTTCTCGAAGCAGTAACAATCGCTAGAGATATTATGCCTAATACAGATTATCAATTCAACAAAAAGAGTTTTCCTGTTGTTTAAGATGCTTGGATGTGTTGTTCATATTATCAGAATGTCAATTCCTGCTCGTAATTGGCTCCGCGGACACAAATGAACAATATATTTTGGTCAATGGCATTATCCATCGATCGCTACCTCGACCTTCACATGGAGCGTGCAGGGCTAGAAGTTTGGTGTCAACATCGCATCATTTCTTCGACGATAATGTCTCTCAGTGACCCTTTAAACCCCGATCGTGCATATAACCTCGACTGTGCGGTGATCCCTTTATCTCTGACCTATCCAAACCTCTCCCCATTACCTTGCTCCTAGTGCCATATCAATGCACAGTATGGTTACTCCATCTGTACAGACGCGCGCTACCTCTACGTTGCGGTCCCTGGGGTGGGACTCTCGTCCAGATGTGCATATCGAGCTCGCCGGGGAAACGGAGCACTGCCCGAATTCCTATACAACTGGGGATATAATTGAAGGGGGTGTCTTCATTGGTGTTGGCTGCGAGACAATCGTTGATGAGTTGGATATTATATTCGAAGGTAACATTTCTCTGCTTCTCTCGTACATAATATTCCTTTCCTTCTTCTTTCAATTCTTTTCATCTTTTTCTCTTTTTTTTTTTTTTTTTTTCATTTTGTTGCTGCTTTTTCTTCTCTTTTCATCTTGCTTGTTCATTACCTTCAGTCTTAACAAACCGGAGACCATCCCTAAGCTCACGATGTTAACGAAGGAGTTGCAGGATTTTCGGAAACACAACAATCACAAGTAATAGCACTTCCGAGTCAAGCAAAGGTCTGTCACACCTTTCTTGAGCTTCACCAACCCATCGGGAATGCCGAATATCCTACGTCGCGTACGCTCGTTCCTGGACGAATATACAGGTTTCCCTTCATCTTCGTTGTCCCGGAGCGACTTCCTTCTGTTACGTGTAATCACACCAAATGCAATATCCACGTCGGACGTGCTCACACTTTGCTACCCCCGAGCCTAGGAGATCCCATGCTTGCCAGTGACGGCCGCTCTTTGCTTGAAGATATGTCATCCGAACTATGCCGGATCTCTTATAGGATTCGAACCTCCCTAACGAGAAGGCCATTAGGCAACAAAAATGCCAGGGAAACATTGAGGGTGGTGGCGAAAAAAGTGCGAATCATTCCGGCCGTAGAAGAAGAGCCACCTTTGGTGGTCAACAGCTTCAGGGATGATTATTGCATGCAAAACGTGAACGACATTAAAACAGGTATTACAAGAACAAAGCGAGGCTCCATTATGGCTACAGCATCCCAGCCAAGTCCCCTTCAACTTTGTCCACCTGGTTCTCAACCCTCGTCAAATATCTGTACTACGGCTACTGTTCATCTGCGATTTGACCCGATTGGAGATGAGCCACCCCCAAAGCTGGTTTCCTTGTGCAGTAAGCTCAATGTCTCTACGTTTTATACGATCACTCCGTGGGCCGACTTTCCAAGTCCCTCTTACGTCGACTCCCTCGGAAGACATCACTACACAACGACAGTCTCCCTATCGTCACTATGCGTTTCATCAACGAAGTGGACGAAGCATTCCGCTGTCCGAATGTCGGGCCAGAGCGCTCCGGTGGACTTGACTCCGACCGAACCATTTGCTAGTACCTCTGCCACAGAGGATAGGGGCACATACTTCACAGCTGCGATCATTGTCCCAGTCACCCTCCCCTCAACGAAAGCATTTGTGCCCACCTTCCACTCCTGCCTGATATCGCGGACATATGCGCTGGATCTGAGCATATCCTATCACACACCACATATTAGTCTGTTGAGTCCATACATATCTCTCCGGCTGCCAGTTCAGGTTACTTCATTACCAAGATCGCAGCCTCTCACACCTCCTCCGCTCTATAGCGAGCTGCGTACGACCCAAGTAGTGATGAAGCAAGGCGAATATTAGCGCATAATATGCCACCAGTCATTCAAATTATCTTGTTTTCAAGACCTTGCATGGGACATTAATGAGAATTTTATGGAGTTTTTCAGCACGAATGTGAGTTTGCGGATGAATGTAGAGCATGTATAACATCATGTTCGCCAATAGGGGGTCAAAATACACACGAATCAAACCAGAAAAAAGGAAGGAAAAATGAAGGAGAGAAGAAGAGGAGAAGAAAAGACGGAGGAGGAAAAGAGAGCATTGGAGAATTCGGTATCTTAGCGAGCGACTTGAGGGATAATACCATCGGCGTCGATGTTCCTGCACCCATGAATCTTTACTCATGACGTGGATGTTGCTCTACACCGCTTTTGCATGGCGCTCGAAAGTCCCTTTAGGATTTATTATTATTATTATTATTATTATTCTTCTTCTTCTTCTTCTTCTTCGTTTTATTATTTGTTAACATGAGTCCACGCACAGCATATGAACTGTCATCTCTTGGATGACATATGAGGAGTTTTGCCAACCCTTGTGAAGGGCGCATGATCTCGAGTTAGAAAAGTATATTTGGACGGTTTCGTGTTTGAGTCTCTTTGATCTGAGCGCCATAGTGGATCCTTCGTCCTGTCCTGACCTCCGACTTGACTTTCCACTACGCAGTAACCAAGGTAGCCCCAGCCCGCCTGAGGCACGCAATGGCTTGAGCCATAACGATTGATTGGGTCCCGGTTCATGAAGGGAAGTGATTGGACGAGAAAGCCCCCGCCTCCCGCTCCGACGATTTTTCCCCGAAAACGGTTTGGGGTCCAGACTCATGACATGCCCGTCGTCTTGTCTCGTCGTCTGTGCTTTACTGTTGGCTGCTGATGAGGTGTTTCTTTCTCTCGTTCATCCTTCGGGTGTCAATCAATCGTGTAGTTGGATGATTGCAGGCGGGATTATTTTGGACAGGTAATTCGTAGTAAGTCAGTATTGACCATCATCTGACTAGTACATAGAAATTCCCCCCGGATTTCGAAGACCCACGTGGGTGATATTCTTGGCATCGCTTTTACCTTATCAGTAATCAGTCACGCTTATTATTTCCCGGCCTCTTTTCTTTGTTTGTCGCGACGCTTCTTCCCTCCCATTTCTTCCAGTCTTTTCATAAACAACCTTGACTCGATTGTCCCTAACTGTCTCCTGCAAATTGATTGTTGTTGTCGTCGTCAAGCCGGTCGCGAGAGGGATCAACTGCTGGCAGTCCTGTGCCATCACACTCCACCATGGCCGATAATACGACTCGCATAGCCCCTCAAGGCGGCATCTTGGAAGGTGGGAATCCGTCTCAATATGACAAAAAGAACCCCATTGTCATATTCATCATCCAGGTGAGGCGACTCTAAAAGCCTTAATCCTGTACTGCGATTCCAACCCATCATTAGGCCAGCATTATCATCATCTTGTGCCGGGCGCTGCACTGGCCGCTGTCCAAAATTCGCCAGCCTCGTGTCATTGCTGAGGTTATTGGCGGTGTCATCTTGGGTCCCTCAGTCATGGGTCGCATCCCGGGCTTTACAGAAGCCATTTTTCCGGATGCTTCGATTCCCAATTTGAACCTTGTGGCAAACCTCGGTCTCATCTTGTTTTTGTTCCTTGTCGGCCTAGAAACCGACCTCCGCTTTCTGTTCAGCAACTGGCGTGTGGCGGCCAGCGTGTCGGCGGCCGGAATGATCCTGCCGTTCGGCTTTGGATGCGCCATCTCGTATGGTCTGTACAATACCTTCAGCGATGAGCCCGGTACCGTCAAGATCAATTTCGGTACCTTTCTGCTCTTTATTGGTATCGCCATGGCGATCACCGTAAGTTACAGCTGTCCTTCCCGAGGTCGCGTTCACTAATCATCCCAGGCATTCCCGGTTCTATGTCGAATCCTAACGGAGTTAAAACTGCTGGGCACAAATGTTGGTGTGATCGTGCTGTCGGCGGGTGTCGGCAACGACGTGGTTGGCTGGATTCTTCTGGCCCTCTGTGTCGCCCTGGTGAATGCAGGATCCGGTCTCACTGCTCTTTGGGTTCTGCTGGTTTGTGTCGGATATGTTCTGTTTTTGTTTCTTCTCTTCCGACCGTTATTCTTACATTTCCTCAAGAAGACGGGGAGCCTCCAGAAAGGCCCTAGTCAATCGGTGGTAGCGGTCACCCTTCTAATCGCTTTAGCCTCCTCTTTCTTCACTCAGGTGATTGGAGTCCACGCGATCTTTGGTGGATTCCTCATTGGTCTTCTCTGTCCTCACGAGGGTGGGTTCGCCATCAAACTAACGGAGAAGATCGAAGACCTGGTCGCTGCCCTTTTCCTGCCTCTGTATTTCACCCTGTCTGGTCTCCAAACCAACCTGGGACTGCTTGATACCGGGATTGTATGGGGATACGTGGTCGCCGTGATCGCGATCGCACTGATTGCCAAGATCGTGGGTGGCGCACTCGCAGCCAGACTTTGCGGCCTCCTCTGGCGAGAAAGCTTATCCATCGGCGTGCTGATGAGTTGTAAGGGTCTCGTCGAACTAATTGTTTTGGTATTCACTGCTCCTTGGGACTTCCTTCGCCTACCGTCTGCTAACGCGATTTAGAATATCGGTCTACAAGCCAATATCCTGAGCACTCGTACCTTCACCATGTTCGTGGTCATGGCGCTAGTGACGACTTTTGTCACAACCCCGTTGACCACGGTCTTGTATCCGAAGTGGTACCAGATCAAGGTGGACCGCTGGCGGCGCGGTGAGATCGACTGGAACGGAAACCCCATACAATCCGATGCGCGTGTCGACAGCGTGACGCTGGCTAAGCAACAGGCTCAGGGGACGACCGTTCGAAGGCTGCTGGTTTATTTGCGACTCGACGGTCTATCAAGCATTTGCACACTGGCTGCTCTCCTCGGTCCCAGCCGTCTTGCTCAGCCTCCTCTCCCCCAGATGCATCCCGACAAGAGAAGGTCCCAAACAGTATCGCCGGAACCAGCGGCCGAAGAGGCTGCACCGACGGAAGTCGAAGACGCTCCTGCGCTCCAGGTGCATGGGGTTCGGTTGATGGAACTAACGGATCGTGATTCTAGCGTCATGAAAGTATCCGAGATCGAGGAATATACGCTGTGGGATCCGGTGGTCAACACCTTCCGCGCATTCGGCCAGTGGCATGATATGTCGATTATGGCTGGCGTGTCCGTGGTGCCAGAGCATTCTTATGCAGATACAGTCGTGGGCATGGCGCGTGAAGAGTCCAGTGACCTTCTTCTCATTCCGTGGAGTGAGACGGGTGCCATGAGCGAGCATCAAAGCGGGCTCGGTATCGATGAAGCGAGCCGTTTTTCTAATGGCCCATACACAGAGTTTGTATCCAACGTGATGCGCCAATCGCCATCCAGCGTCGGGATTCTCATCGAACGGAGCATCTATAGTCGTCGTACTCGTAAAGGCCTTTTTGCGAAACGATCGTTCAGCGCCATGAGTATTCGCAGCTCCGTCTGGAACAGCGCGCCTCCAGCAGCCGCGCGGTCTCACCATATTGTGTTGCCTTTCTTTGGGGGAGACGATGATCGATTTGCGCTGCGCTTTGTGATGCAACTTGCCCAGAATGACCAGGTCACCGCCACGATTATCCACATCGATGTAGCGCCGTCTCCGCCGCCAGCCCCAGAGGTGCAGCAGGGTTCGCCAAGTAGCACCAAGAAAGACAAGTCTTCCAGTCAGGTCTCAACAGCCGTTCAGGGATCCGAATCAGATTCTATCTTTTTCAGCGCCATGAAGGACTCACTTTCCGAAGAGCTGACTACCCGGATCGTCTTCACCCGAATCAGCCCGCAAAAAGACAACACCGACGCTGTGGGTGTCGCAGTTACCGCTATCAAAGAAGAGATGGGTAAGGTCCCGCAGAAAGCCGGCAACATTGTCGTGGTTGGACGACGCAACAACCGCGTGGATCTCAGCGAATCCCCTGCATCCTCGCAGGAAGCGGTCGGCACCGAAGCCAGTCGGGTTCTTGGAGCGGTCGCACAAGCAATGGTTCGCACAGAGAACCGCATCGTTGGTGATGTTCTGGTTCTGCAAGCTGGCATGGGTGCCATGGGTGCCCGGTAGAGACTTTGTGGCTTAAGCAGTTATATACCCTATACCCTCGTTTTGTACATGCCTCGTAGTGTTCGGTATTATCTGGTTTTGCTTTTTGATGAGCGGGTGACTGTTGGATAACTTCTATCCTTGTCTTACATGATCAGCCTCTGAACTTCCATTTTGATACATAAACCCTCTCTCTCTCTCTCTCTATACCGTAAATGCTCACCGGTTCTCCGTTGAATGATCCGTATAATGCCGCAAGCATCGTAGCATACATACGGGGTAAGCCCAAGAAGTACAAGTCAGACTACAATTTAGACAAATTCTACAAAGAAATAAACACCCAATCATCCAGAATTTATACTTGTTCCCAAGTAAGATGACTATTATTGTACAATCATAATCATATCCAATGATGTATCTACAATCACATCAACATATCTACATAAATCATCCACAACAAGCTAACACCCCCAATCCTCAATAGCGAGCACAGCTCACCATTTTTTTTTTTTTTTTTCTTAAAACCCAGTATTGGTCGAAGCCAACCTCGACCTCTTCCTCAGGGCAGGCCCCCACCAAAACAAAATATAGGGAATAAACGTCAAAAATGTAGCAACCAAAGCCAGAATCAGGCCCGCATACTGACTGCCCACGTTATGGAAAAACTGGGACGCGAAAAGCGGCGACACAGCACCCAAGGTATTTCTCATGAAACCCTGACCGGCAATGGCAGACGAAGAGGACTCGCCATAGCAATCGGAGGTAAAAGAGTAACAGGACTCAAAGATAAAGAAGATACCGATTGTAATAAGCACAAGGGCAATGAAGGGACCAATCCAATGTAAGAAAGCGTATTGGGTGAAACTGTAGATAAAGAGACCGACGGGGAGCCAGACAGCACCGAAAAGCGCACCGTAGAGTCGGGCTTCCGGGGCGGCGACACCATTCTGGGCGACGATGGAGTTATACTTCCTAATTTGGAGGAAGTTTAGGGCGAACCCGATGGTGGTCCCCAGACAGAGGGAGATGTAGGGGAGGCCGGAGACACCTTCGCCCCAGCCCTTTTTCTCCTGGAAGGTGATGGGGATGACGGAGAGGAAGAGGAAGGTGAGGAACCAGGCGAAGGCGATCCAGAGACCGAAGGCGAAGACGACGGGTTCGGTGATGAGCATTTTGCCGGCCTTGATGGAGGAGTTGTACAGCATGGTTTTGATATCCGGGGCTTCGAGGTCGGTGGCAGCGACGTAGCGGTCGTCGCCGGTTTGCTTGCGGATGAGGTCCGCGCGTTTGCCGAGTGCGACGCTGCCGCGGGTTTCGCGGAGGCAGAAGAAACAGACGATAGCGAGGGGGATGTTGGCTAGGCCCTGGATGCCTTCGACCCAGCGCCAGCCGAGGGCTTGGTCGATGAAGCCGGCGTAGATGGGAGCGCCGACGGTGCCAAGGATGGCGATGTAGGAGAAGCTGGCCATCGGGATGGCGCGTTCTTCAGGGCGGTACATGTCGCCGAAGGTGCCGCCGACGAGGATGGTGCCGACGCAGCCGAAGAGGCCGAGCAGGGCGCGGCAGACAAGGATGGTGGCGATGTTCTTGCCCAGGGCGAGGCCGATGAACATTAGGCCGAAGCAGATGTAGGCGCCGACGTAGATGACGCGGCGGCCGGCGAGCTCACAGAAGGGAGCGAGGAAGAGGGGAGCCAGGGCACAGGTGAAGTTGAAGGTGAAGAGACCCAGTTGGCCTAGGATGGTGGACACGCCGAGGTCTTTTGTCATGCGGTCGATACCGGAGCTGTAGGCGGTTGTTGCGAGACCGATGAAGAGGGTCATGAGACAGAGGAGCAGTGAGATGAAGGCTTTGTAACGAGGGTCCCAGTTGAAGGGGTTCTCCTTGTCGCCGTCGACGAAGTCGATGAGGATACGCTCCTTTCCATCGTGGACGGTGGCTTGTGTGGCGGTCAGGGGGAGGTCGAAGTCAAAGGTTGTGATGTTTTGTTCATTTGATGATAGGGAGGAGCTGTCTGATAAGGATTGGGCGTGCTTGCCGCCGACCACAAGGCCTGTCTTGCCTGTGGTCCGGATGTGTTGTGAACTTGAGGCGGCATCCTCTGTGTGGGACGAGAGGCCCGGTTGGGGCTTCTCGGTGTAGGTCTTCTCGTTCTCCATATTAGTGGTTTAAAGGTGGAAAGAGGAGTGGATTGGAGTAGTGAGAAGAGGGAGGAGAAGGGGATCGGGGTGAGAGGAACAGGCAAGTATTATAGTAGATTGACCATGGATGAATCCAACTTACGACTCCGGTGCATCCTGCGTCATAACACTACGAGAAAGGCAGAAAATCACGCGGTGGCCAGCGAAGCAGTCCACAAACCGCATCACTTGAGCAGTCAAAGTTTGTCGTTCTCCGTTCTCCACGGGGGCCGCTGTCTCCGTTCAGTGTTGGGGGAAGACGAAGTCAGGAACTTCTCCCAGTGGGTCGAAGAGGATTCCCTTTTGGGAAAGTGTATAAACTTCGGGGAAAAAACCCTCATTACTCATCCAAGATATCTTTGGCCTATGGAAGAGTCAAGCAATACATAACCAGAGATCTACTTGAATTCCGTTGAACTCTTCCACGGCTCGAGGTGAATATTTTCTTCGCAAATCATCATATTGTCCCCTATGATGGCCAGGAACAGGAACAGAGGCAAATACCAGATCCAGTTTCAGTGATCGGAATCCGGCCGAGATCACCGGAATGAATGAGGTCAACCCCCACGCCGTCTCCAGTTCGGCATCCCGAGACAGGGCAAACGCTGCCCTAACTCCATACTGAGCTGCATTTCCCCCGGCCCGACTCGGTCAGTTGCCACCCCATGGGCCTCACAATCCCACGCTATTCGATCGGGGTCGCGATGGATCTTCGGGTGTTCTTCGGGGAAATCAAACCGAAAATTCTCACCGCTGCGAACACAATTTCGGCGCTTCCGATCACTCAATGCAGAGTGAAGTGACGCTACAGTATGATATATCGTCTACCTCCTCGTCCATATCTATTCAAGACAGGCACCATTGAGGTCCAATGTATCTTCGAAGTCTTCCCTCTCTAAGGATGCCCACGGGCGGTCTACAGAGTTATCATATTGAGAGTTACCCACACTTTAAAAAATCCTCCAAGGCTTGGTACGGACCCACATCTCAAACTTTAGAAGCTCGCACTTTCCTATACGGTTTAGGTAAGAGCCTCGGCATTGGCCAACTATACCGACCGAACATTCAACAGCACTTTTTCCGGTCCCGAAGAAAATCCATAAGGCTTGTACATCCCGTGAAGCCCATTGGCTAGTTAAGGCTTTTCAGATCTCCTTTTCCAAGTTCCTACTGGCATTGAGCGGCCTACTCATGAGATCTGGAAAACCAGTAGGACAACTGGATGCATGTCACACAACCCCGGTGCGACGTCATCACAAAAAGATTTTTTGAAGGCGCTCTCTGATGACTCTTTTGTGCGTTCAAAATCTGTTTCACTTTACTGTGGATCGTTGGAGAGGTCGATCATAACGTCCAGAATCGGGATGTTTCGGGCGTTAAAACGCAACTGGAACCCTGTGACTAAACATTTTCTTGCTCGAGAGAGCTTAGGAGGAGAGTCCTCCGTATATTTATGCCTCGTATAAAATTCTTATTCTACTCCAAATCACCCTATCAACGGCATGGGGGTCAATACCGTGCCCCAACGATCGGCTCAGTTGCCGTTTCATCGAAAGTTCCATGAAGAATCTCTTACCTTGAACATTATAATGGGCCTTTCTCCCGTCCTTCACGACGAAGCGACCTCCCTCGATATCCTTTAGAAATCCATTAGGCGACCGTATCAATCGGGCTTCTACGAGGTTCAACTATCACTCGTAACCCTCCTAGGCCCCGTAAGAAGCAATCACTCCGTAGGTGCATTAATCTAGTTACGTACAACCCTGTCCAGCGTCCTACATCAGGCACTCAAGCATAGTAATGCATAAACCAAGTCAGCTATGCATCAATAGACAAACGCCACCGGCTTCCATATCATCTAACATCATCGCCGGGCCGGTCCAGGAAACTCTCATATCGGGACTTGACCGTGGTTTGCATTTGTTCTATATATCATATGACCCTGATCCGTATTCTGGAATGTGCTCCTGGGCCTGTTCGCTTAGTCTACTTGGTCTCACCTCATCGGTCGGGTCGGTGTGTTCTAGACTTTGCTGTTTATCAGCGTGCATCCGACCTTTCCATCATTATACGAGAGGTGGATCATGTCCGTAGATTGCCTTTCAGGCGGAGTCCGGCAAACTTGCCCTCGCGAAAGAGTTTGTGTGGTGTAAGTGAAGTTTTCAGGCCGATCGTGGGCATGGGGTATGTCTTCTTGGCGATTTGCTGTTGTGGCTACAGGGTTTTTGACATGGTTGAGTGGACGTTGATTGATGGAGGACGGCAGACATAGTATCCGAGTTCCGGTGGTTTATCATTTCCAAGAAGATCGAAGTCTGCTGGGAAAATGAATGGGACCTTAGCAATGTCGGTTGTTTAGCTAGTCTCGTTGATTCGTACTATGATGAACTGCTCAAATATATATCGATTATTCCTGATGTATATTCGACCGGCCGTGTGATGAAATGCCTTCAATAGTCCACAGGTAGACCTGAAACTTTAGATTATATATAAGTGATGCATAGATGCTTGTGTATCTACTGTAGATAGCCCAAGTACTCACTTGCAACGATCCAGTTACTTCCAAACGAGCCAAGACCCCTAAATGACCACTGCCCTAGAACAGCGTCCCATCGCCCAAAATCAAGATAGGACTAGACTTAGTCTCCGGTCGATTCTCTGCCGCCAACTCCCTCCCAGCCTTCCACGATCCCGACTCCAACACCTGAGCAAGACTCAACTTCTCCTTCCCCAGCTCGGTGCCCCTCAGCGCAACATGCAGCTTATCCAGCAGCGCCACGGTAAGAGCGCGCCATTCAACAATCTCATCGCTCGTCGCCTCAAACGCAGGCAAACTGCTACCTGAATTCGCCAATCCACGCTGCAGACTCTCGTTTTTCAGGGTCAGAACACCTAAATCAACGAACAACCCTCCGTTTCGGTACTCGGGAAGTCCTGTGGCGATCTCGGCGTTTTTCCACTCCACCCCGAGAAGGCGCTCGAATGGGACCATGAGCGAATATGCTAGCCATTGCGTAAGTTTGTGGAAGGGCTGGATGTGTGAGCACTTTGACTGGCGACCGGCTTTCTGGGCGTCGTCTGCCAAGACCTTTAGAGGCCAGGCGTCGCCGACGGGGTGGCCGTCTATCTGCGTTCGGGAGGGTGGCCAGATGGGAAGGAGGACGCTCTGCAGGGTTTCCCATAAAACTTCGAAATCGAGACGGTTGGACTCGTCGGCGCGAGATTTGAGATAGTCTTTCGATCAGTGTAAGTGGCTGGTGATCGTGGAGTGGAAAGGGATGAATTGCTTACCAACAAGGTTACCAGGTCGACCGGTGTCGCCGAAGATATTGGGCAGGTTGAGCAATGAGCGACCGAGAGATTTGATCAGTTCGACTCTTGCAGGAACACCGACAAACGGGTTATTGTCGTTGATTTGGAAGCCCCGAGACAAGGTTGCCTCAGAGAAGTCCTTGAGGGAGGCGCCTGTTTTTCTTAGCTAGAAAGATTACAGAAGGAGGTTAACAAGGGTAGAGCGACAGACCTAGAACAACATCCTTTCGATCACTGCCTGAAAGAGCAAACTCGCCATCGTTGAACATATGCAATGTCGCAACCGCGATGCCCTCGCTCCGGCCAATCGCTGCGTTACTACCCGGCTCGGTGAAACACCATTTATCCCCTGCGCCAGCGTCGAGCAGAACCGAGACGAAGAACAAATCGACTAGGCTCCGAGCTTGTTCTTCCTTGTCGTATCCCGCCGCTTCCCATCGTGCAAGGAGGTCCTTTATACGGGCTGTCCCACCGACTTCGAAGTGCTGCCAGCGGCCGTGAGGGGGGATTAGATGATATTTGTCCGGACCAAAGTCTCGCTAGAGGATGTTAGACTGAGAAAACATGGTTCCCATGGAAGGCATCCGAGGTAGCATACCTTGATGATGTTCGCTACGTATTGAACTGCGGTGTCGAAGCGGTCCCCATGATATTCGAAATGGTTGATTTGGTTGGCCTCGGCAAGTTGGAACACACGGTGAGCACGTTCACGGACAGCCTGGAGACTGAGTATGTACTTGATTTCTGTATCTATGGTCATGGTGAGGTGAAGTGATTCAGCCAAGTTCTGAAGGATGGTGGTGTATCTTGATATCTCCAGATTCCAGAGTGAGGGGAAGAGATAAGATAGGGCATTATTTATCTCTCTGGTGAAATGCGGGGTTGATGCCTCATTATGTCATCTTGGATCAGTCATACAGGGTTTCAATGACTAAAAGTTACATTTCAAACAGGTTCATACGTGGCATTCTGCATGATCGCTGAGGTCTATGATTTGTCTAATGTTGACGGTTGGGCGTTGTTTTGCATTGATGCCTGAGGCTTGATGACCAGGTGCCAAGTTCCAACCCTGACTGGAATAATTATCCAGGTCGATTTATTCCCAGTTGCGAGACATCAAAGATTTCCATTACTGTGAATTCTGGGTCATACTTTCTTTGTTTACTCGGCTGCTATTATAGGTCGATATATTTAGAGCCGTTCAAAGACCCAGAGTATTCCCGTTTAGTCGAGCGATATTGCAGACTAAGCCCTACGCCCAACTCCGGGTTAAAAAGTTTGAGACACTGAGTTCTTAGGCTCGTCAACAATAGAAATCCTCTCAATCCTTGGTTCGTGGACAGGGCACTTCAGCTAGAACACAACACGAGTCACATATGAAGAATCGACCTGTGCATTTTTTCTCCCAGAACAGGACGGTTGAGCTCGGTTCTCGCCAAGCCGCGTAGACGCAAGGGGGATTTTCCAACACATGGTCGCACGTAAAGGCCAGCTGATGAGCTGAAATCGTCGATATTTTGTTCGGTGAGACTGATCGAGGACGCCACGAGCAATCTTTATCGAATGGGAAGCTAGTTCTACACTGGCGCATGGGCGTTGGGGAATGAAGCTTGCTAGGAGAATATTCACGTAGGGGTGAGTGAGCTCTTTTTAATAATGTGGCTTGACTATCGACAGGGATTCTACTCCCATACAAAGGAAGGCTTCTTGGAAACGAATGAATTGAGCTCAATGTACGGAGTGCAGGTTTTGTTTGTCCAGCTATCGAGTACACATATATTTCCTGTTGGAACCACCTAAGCCTGCAGGGTTATCTATTCATGTTCATTGGCACCTTGGCGCTTTCTCTTCTTCGAAGCTGACTGCACCCCATGTTATGTGCATGAAGCTAAGCATCTTCTCCAGCCCTGATCGACAGAACCCCACAAGGAAAGAATTTGATTCACCGCCAGGTTATTCTGTTTGAGTCTTCTGATCCTTGCCCAAATTCGACTTGCTCACTGCTCGATCTAACGAAAGAATATCCGGTGTAAATCACACGCTGCTACGACTTCGAGTAAAATGGGAGATCCTTCGACCCCGATGGTAGGGAGCATCTCTCTGCGAACAAATTCTATCCGCCATGGCAAGAAGCATTCATACACTGCATCTGTTTTATCCTCCTGTCGTCAGCTACGTGGGTTGACAGATGAGGGCAAGGGGGTGGTTCTCGATGGACAATCTTTGGATCTTAGCTCTGTTTTTGCCGTTGCTCAGTAAGATACGTCCGCTTCCCTCGACACCAATGCTGCTAATCACCCACTCATTAGCAATGGACTTTCTGCGTCGATCACGGACAACAAGGATGTATTGAGTCGAATGCACCACAGTGTAAATCTGCTTAGTCAAAAATTGGCGAAGGGTGAAGTCATCTACGGTGTCAACACAGGATTCGGAGGAAGCGCAGATACACGAACCCAGGACTATGCGACACTACAAAAGGCGTTGATTCAGCATCACAATGCAGCCGTACTACTCCCAAGCGATCGCGGCCTTGGAAGTTCTGTATCTAGCTTACAGCACTTGAGAAGTCATTGCATGCCAGCTCCGATAGTTCGAGCAGCCATGCTCACGCGTTGTAATTCGCTCCTACGAGGCCATTCAGCCGTTCGAGTCCAGGTTGTCGAGCATATCCTCACTTTACTTGCTCATGGGCTGACCCCGGTGGTACCACTGCGCGGCAGCATATCGGCCTCCGGAGACCTCACTCCGCTTGCCTACATCGCAGGTGCTTTGGAGGGCAATCCAGATATCTCAATGCATAATGCTACTGACGATCAGGTTATACCTGCCGATGAAGCATTGAAAGAGGCAGGACTCGTGCCATTGGACTTCGGTCCCAAGGAGGGCCTTGGTCTCTTGAACGGCACTGCTTTTAGCTGTGGAGCAGCTAGTCTAGTCCTCTTCGAAGCGAATCAGCTTGTTCTACTTTCCCAGGTACTCACAGCCATGGGTACCGAAGCTTTACTTGGCACCAGATACAACTACCATCCATTCATAGCAGACGCGCGACCACATGATGGCCAACGGGAAGCGGCAGCCAATATCTTCAACATGCTGGCCGATTCTAAGTTGGCGAGGAGCCCCACTGAAGGAAGTGAGACCGCCAACCATGGCGGACTGGCACAGGATCGGTACGCCCTGCGAACATCAACCCAATGGATCGGACCCCAGATTGAGAATATGGCATTATCCTTGAGGCAGGTTGTTTGTGAACTCAATTCCACAACGGACAACCCGCTTCTGGATCCAGATATGGCCCAGATCCATCACGGAGGCAACTTCCAGGCAGCATCGGTCACGTCCGCCATGGAAAAGACCATGGGTGCGATGCAGATGTTGGGCAAGATGATCTTCTCCCAGTGCTCCGAAATTATCAATCCAACTTTGAGCCGGGGTCTTCCTCCCAACCTCAGTGTCGATGACCCCAGTTCATCCTTTGCGTTCAAGGGCGTGGACATCAATATGGCGTCGTACATGTCTGAGCTAGCCTATCTGAATCATCCCGTCAGTAACCATGTTCAATCAGCGGAGATGCACAATCAGGGTCTCAACTCCTTAGCCTTCATTGCTTGTCGCTATGCTGCGGATACGGTGGAAGTTCTGTCGCTAATGGCCGCCACATATTTGTATGTGCTTTGCCAGGCACTAGATCTGCGGTCGCTTCACTTGGAGTTTGTGAAAGACGCACGACTCCAAGTGGACGACATCACAGCTGAGCTTTACTCGTCAGCGTTTGGTGCTCGCTTACTGGCAGTGCAAAACAAACTTTGGGAAGAATTAATGCACCACTGGGTACGGGCGAGCACAAGTGATCTCACGGAGCGAGGCCACTTAGCCGCGAGCTACTCCGTTGGAGTCCTCCTGAGCTCCTTGGCAGCAGACGGTAATTCTGCAAATTCTTCGATGGCCGACGTCCAAACAGCCCAGCATTGGCAGACTCGAGTATGCGATGTATTAAACCAGAGCTATGCGACAACGCGTGAGACCTTTCTCACAAATCATACAACGAAGTCATATCTTTGCAGTGCGTCACGAAGTTTCTACGTCTTTGTCCGGGAAGAACTTGCCGTGCCAATGCACCGAGGAATCGCCGACCATCCTACTTATGATTCGGCGGAGCGTCGCAAAAAGGAGTGTATTGGTACGCAAATTAGCAAAGTGTATACCGCTCTTCGAAAGAGTGAATTCCAAGATGTTCTGCTCAGTTGCTGGTAAGATCGTCGTTGATATCTTCAGGGGCCGGTTGGATGGAAATTGTCCCAGCAATAAACACAAAGTGAACTAGTAGATCTTGGAATATTCTATGCACGCTAGAACCACACGATATGGGGGGTCTAATATTTATTGCTGCTATTTGGTCTCCGTCAAGTTCCACTGGGCCTGCCTGTTATTACACAGTAGTCCCGGTTAACGCAGATTCCGTTCTAACTGGTCCGGCCCACGTCGGTAATATTTTTCGGCGCACTAAATAGATCGATTGTGTCTAGAATGGCTTCATTTGGTAGGCAGCTAATGGATTATTGGTTTGCAGCTGCTTTCTAAGCACTTAGATGAGATGCTGTGGCATGATTCCGGTCGTAGCCTACTTGACCTTCACGCTAAAAATAACGTATATTCACGACGATTCTCAATAGTCTACGGGGTAGGTATAGTTCGCTCGTATCCAGTTTCTATTCTTAATGTAGTCTGGGACTCTGGTAGGTCGCATCTCATTCCATACCTCGGCCCAGGACTAGGATCTATTCTTACTCCAGACTATTGATACTCACATGGAGCAGGACTCAAGGAGCTATTCCCCTTAATCAAGAAGCACTTTTCACAATTAGTTGGTTACCGTGCGCTCGGGGATTCAGCTACAAGTTCTCTCAGCCCCCAAGCCTGGTGTGCAGCCTACCTCGTAAATAATTTCCGGCTAAACTATTGTCTATATTAACTGCATGACGAGGAACGTTGCCACACCGCCAAAGACAAGTCTAGATGCTGGTCGGAGCGTCCTAGGCCGAGTAAAAATGTCAACCCGACTAGGATATGATTGGGTGGCCGTTAGTGGTGCTTTACTACTCATTTTACACGCCTAGGGACCCTAGTAAAGAGATAACTCGCTCTGGGGTTCCGTAACTTTGGTAGAGTGTTTAGACGAGGGAAAGGGTAGCTCGCATACTCTGACGCCATGTGGCTTCTGGACCATGACTTGAAACCCGATGGATCATACTGCAGGGTCAAAGAAGGGACTCCCAGGCACCCGTTTGGCCACGGGGTAGATCAGGACCGAATGCTCCGTATATTCTGTAGCCTATGTGCGTGCCTCTGATTGGTGGGGTAAATGCAGCGGACAATTGCTTGATATTATCCGGCCCTTTGTATGAGACTATGAGTAGTACTTTGAAACGCAAGCTAAGAGTGGCGTCGGAGCATATCTCGTTTAGGGAATGGCCGATGCGCCGCCGAAGTGGAGAATTAAAATGGACCCTGATATCGGCCGGAACGGATCCGAAGCAGTTTGAACCTCTTGGGAATTCCAGAGCTCCCGATGATAATCTATCAAGCGCAACGCAATCATGGTTCCTGGCGGCTAACGTGCACATCACTCCCCTTCGTGTCCACTCTATTTTATCATCCCGTCTCTTTGCCTTTTTTCCTGCATTAACTTGTCACAGGAGGCGGATTCGCCATGCCGATCTTTGACGCAATTATCTTTGTGGCATTCCTACCGGTGTAGGTTTTGGGCATCAGATGCCATAGCCTTCTAGCAGGCAGCTAGGGCCTCTCCTCAAGACTCTCGATTACTTCGTGTAGACTTTACAACAGTGTGTATATTAGTGCCAGGAATGTATTTTCCAAAGGGGGCATAACCGGCAATCGGGAGATTAGTTCATTAAGCTACCAAAGTGAACCATAGGAACTATCAATATCGAGTGAAACAATGCAATATGTAAAACCTCTGCCAAGGCCACCGCTGCAGCACTAGAAGCCAAAAGCACAATCGCGCTCCATTCGCAGGGGAGGTGGTCAGTGCGTTTCGACTGCCCATGATTCGTGCCGGGAATTTGAATCAGGTTAGGGCATCTCACGGTCCCTACCGGAGTTGATCCCTCCAACTGTAATTCAGTTCAGAAGCCAATAAGCCATGATTGCCAAGTCGGATAAATGAAGTAGAGCCCTAGGCTAGTGATGATATGAAATTAAGCTGAAACGTCTCGTTCTTGGCAGCAGCGGGTTAACGCTTCTTGGCAGGGCTTCGCTCATCTCACGCTGCCCCATCCCGAACCGTTTAATCTACGAGAACCATGAAGGTAGCTGACTGGAAGCCGTCATCGATATGTGTATAAAAGGCCTCTCATCCGGACCCTCGATAGGTCTCTTTTCGTTCCTCAAGCCTGGATAGCTAAACATTCCTTTCTGCTTTTTGTTTTCCTACTTACATTCACTTTTTACATTCTTTTTTTTTTACCGTCCAAGTCGACGCCTTACACTCTTTATCAAAATGAAGTCCTCTACCTTTGGTATGCTCGCTCTGGCAGCGGCTGCTAAGCTCGTCAGCGCCCACACCACCGTCCACGCCGTCTGGATCAACGATGTCGACCAGGGTGAAGGTAACAGCGAGAGCGGCTACATCCGTTCTCCCCCCAGCAACAGCCCTATCACCGATGTCACCTCCAAGGACATGACCTGCAACGTTAACAACAAGGCTACCGCCAAGACCCTCGAGGTCAAGGCCGGTGACAAGATCACCTTCGAGTGGCACCACGACTCTCGCAGCGAGTCTGACGACATCATCGCTTCCTCCCACAATGGCCCCATCCTGGTCTACATGGCCCCCACTGAGAAGGGCACTGCTGGCAACGGCTGGGTCAAGATTGCCGAGGATGGCTACACCGATGGCACCTGGGCCGTTGAGACTCTGATCAAGAACAGGGGCAAGCACTCCGTCACCGTTCCCGACGTTGCTGCCGGCGAGTACCTCTTCCGCCCTGAGATCATCGCTCTCCACGAGGGTAACCGCGAGGGCGGTGCTCAGTTCTACATGGAGTGTGTCCAGGTCAAGGTCACTTCTTCCGGCTCCAAGACCCTCCCCGAGGGTGTCTCCATCCCTGGCGCCTACACCGCCACTGACAAGGGCATCTTGTTCAACATCTACGATTCTTTCGACAGCTACCCCATCCCCGGCCCTGCCGTCTGGGATGGCGCTTCTGGTTCGTCTTCTTCTCCATCAAGCTCCGCCTCTGCATCTGCTCCTGCTCCTACCAGCGCTGCTCCTGCTCCCTCTAGCTTCACTACTATCGCCAAACAGCCAGCCACCACATCTTCCACTGAAGCCCCTTCCACTGAGAACACTCCCTCTGAGACCACTTCCACCACCTCCGCCATTGTCTCCACCACTGCTATCGCCTCTACCACTGCTCCTGCTACTCCCTCTAGCACCTCCGCCATTGCCTCTTCTGCTGCGCCCACTAACTCTGTTCCTCAGCCTAGTTCCAACGCCGGTGGCGCTGTCAAGGAGTGGTACCAGTGTGGTGGTCTGAACTACAAGGGTAGCAACCAGTGTGAGGAGGGTCTCATTTGCCAGAAGTGGAACCCCTACTACCACCAGTGTATTTCCGCTTAAGCGATTCTGACTTGAGGATTTGACTTTTGAGGGAGAGAGAAGTTATTATAATCAGATTAGAAAATAGACGGTTGGTATTCGCGTTGTCTAGAGCATTGTCTTTTGTAAATGATATAGTAGTCAGTATCTTTTCGGGCTCAGAATAGTCGGCTCTTTCACTGGCTTTTTCCTTCTCCAGTTGAGGCCTAGTATTGTAATCGAGATATAGGTCGATGCGCTACCTGATATGCCATGATTCATTGTCGGAAGTGTCGACATGTAGTTCCTCGGAGTATACATAGATTTTAGCCCAAGAGTGAGAACGTTTACATTCGCCATGTTATACACTTCTTAATGACTACCTTTTGGAGTTACATGGACGCCTCCTCTTGAGGAGATGACTCAATCCCAAGCAACTGTACTTCTCTTTCCCTATATTATTTGAGTGATTTCAATATTGCAATCGCATAATGAGCATTGCCTGTGCACGTAAATATATATAGAATATTCAACTGCAGATCAAAGTATCACAACACTCTACCTAATATATATTTCACCAAGCCTGAGCCAACAACCATCCCATCAGCTTCACCGAGTCTATAAAATAAAAGCTAAAAATGCACACCAGCAAAACATAGTGTACCCTCGTAACGAAATTCACTCGCTCGAAGATATCTTCAACTATCGAATCAAAAAAACATAACTTCATCCGATTTCTGGAAGCCTCAGGCTCCAACGGGCTCTCAAAGTGGATACCCGCGATATGCCCTTGTTTTTCCCCTTATGGAACTCTCGCTCACCCTATAACGGAAAAACTGTGGGTACGGCCCCACATCCGCAGGACGAGTCTGAAACTGCTGGATTACTGATCATCTTGGGGTAGAGTTTGTGGTGATTGGTTTTGTGAATCTTGGGAGATTTCGATGTGAATCGAGCTAGTGGAGAACTTTTGTAGGTTTCCTGTAGGTTTAGGTTGAGAGAAGTAGGGCTAGATAGGTTCTCCCACCTGCTATGCAGGATCCAATCTAGAGCTGTTGCTGTTGCTGCTATCAGCGCTATCACTACTCTCATGTAGCCCTGTCGGAACAACAGCGCCCGTTGAAGCAGCCGTGACAGTAAAAAGCTCATGTACTATTGTGGATACGACGACAACGCTTACAGGGGTCATAATGTTTTAGAGCAGCATATATTCTGTAATCAATTCCTCTGACTATCGTATTGCGTTCAAGTCTGAATTGTGGACTTGGGCTTCAGGACCTGTTTCGCATTCGCATCTACATATCCCTCCAAAGCGGGCTTGAATTCATAGCCCTATAACGCCCCTTGCCTTGATAATTTTCATACTAGGAAAGATATCCCTCCGGCAGAAGCACGTAGTCCCGCAATTTCCGCAGAAGAAACTCCTGGTAGGATGCCCGTTTTCGTCTGCTTTCTTTTCAAAAAATTCTCGGACTCCCTCGGACAACGCTGAAGTTCGCGTCGGGGATAAAAAACATTCATGCTGAAGGCGCTTCTGCTGATCTTACGACAATCGTCGCAGTGACATAAGGCCTATTCCCGATATTTGGGAAGAAATGTAAGTTTCTTACGAAGCGACATTGGAAAACCAATATCTGCAGAACAGGGTCGGCGGAAAACGAAATCTAGATCTCCCCACAGAAGCATCGACCTTCTTACATCTCTGATTGCATTTATGTAAGGACTGCGGATGAGGAGATATCTCTTGTTAAAGGAGGATGGACTTCACTTATAGTTTGTTTCGGTTTAGCAAAGTATATCTATCTCTCTCTCGATCTCCCCGCCGATTTAAACCCACCTAAGCCTTTATGCCATTATTTCCACATCAATTACCTCGGGAAAATCGTCCTTGGTCCGGGTTTATCGGTCTTTACGTAGGACGCGTGTCTATGAACTGTAAATCTGTCGTCTACTCCTCCCGCCGATTAACTTCGCCTCGGGAGAACTATGCGGGGTAAGAGCCTAATTTCTCCTCATTGTATTGATAACATAAAGGAAATAAAAGGCTTCATGAAAAGCGACAGGCTAGTACTTCATTACTATTAGGCGATTCGATCATTAGGGTTCCGAACACTTTACATCGTTTCGAACCACAACCCTATATCCGACACGATGAGTCTCCGAGGGAAGATAGCCATTGTCACCGGTTCTTCTGGCGGTATCGGCCGCGCCATTTCACTTAAGCTTGCCGGCGCAGGTGCTGTGGTTATCTGCGGTGACATCCAAGAAAAGGTTCCCGGTGATATAGTGTCAACCCATGAAACTATCAGTCAGAGCGGAGGGACAGCTGAATTCGTGCTGTTGGACGTGACCAAGGCGGAGCAAGTGGAAAGCGCAGTAAAACATGCCGCTCAGAAGTTTGGGAGATTAGACATGTGAATCTCCCTGCTTTGCCTTCTCCATGCTGGTCGTGACTGACAGTGCCGCAACCCTAGAATGATAAACAACGCCGGCGTCTGCCTCGAAGCATCCTCACCAAAGCCCATCTGGGACTTCAGCCAGGAGATCTGGACCAGAGACATCGCCATAAACTCGACAGGCGTCTTCCTGGGCTGCAAGTACGCCTCTGCGCAGATGATCAAACAGGACCCCCTGCCTTGCGGAGATAGGGGCTGGATCCTTAATCTCGCCAGCGTCTTCGGCCTACAAGGCTCACCTGGAGTAACGGGGTATGTCTCCTCAAAACACGCGGTTATGGGCATTACGAAGGCTGCGGCGATGGATTGTGCGCCGTATCGGATTCACGTTAATGTGTTGTGTCCTGGGTGTTAGTGTACCCCTTCGCATTCAAACCTGGGCATGTTTTTCTGTCGGAAATGCTAATACGAGCAGACACCGATACCCCGTTTATCAAGGATTTAAGCCCAGAGAAACGAGTGGTGGTACAGCAAATGCACCCGTTCCGTGGGCTGGGGATGCCAGAGGACATTGCGAATGCTGCTCTCTTTCTAGTCTCGGAGGAGAACTCGTGGATTCATGGTGTTGGGCTTCCGGTTGATGGTGGGTACACAGTTATGTAGGTGAACAAGACAGAAAGTGAGACAATGTCAGTAACTTCAATAATCGGAGATATAATAATGTCGCACACTATATCCTACTGCTCAATCCTATTATTCATTTGGGGGGGGGGGGGAGGCATTAAGATTGACGAAAGACCGAGTGTCATATTGATATTGACGCTGGATTGTGACTGTGTATCATAATATATAGAAAGACTATAGTTTATCTATAACTTAGAGACGTCTTAGATTGAGTAACAAACCTAGTTATTCTAGAGTCAAAAAAAGCTAGGCAGCCAGGAAGACGGTCGTACTAATCCAATTAGTATTGTCAATAGTTTTTTTAAGTATGTATTTTTAAATCTGTCGTTACTTGTATCACCTGTCCCGACTTGTCTACAGAAATAGTTTTTTAAAAAAAGAAAGTAAAAGAGTCCCTGGCTTATGGGCGCCTATAGTTCCTCTGTATATAGCTTTTCATTTAAATTATTGGCGTGGTGGTTTTACTTTTATAAGCTATAGGTGGTTATCTATTGACCCTATTACTTTCAAACTCTGAACAGCGGTTTGGTAAATGCAAGGAGAATAAATTCGAGCAATTCTACAGAGATATAAGATGGATGTATTAGTTACTAAGAAAGTTACAGCAGTCAAGACCAGATAAACCCCGAAAGCACCGAGCAGCAGGGAAACATAAAAATGCCTCAACCACTAGGCCTAACAACTTTGACTATGCCCCTCTTAAACCCCACATGGTGTAGATCCTCAGTGGCATGAAGAGGTGCAGAAAAGAAAACGCCGCATGGCATGATCGGCCAGTCGGAAAATAATATGCGCGCACCTTAATCAAAACCCCGCTTTCCCTTTCTAAACCGACCGTAACATAGACTGATACCCTAATAACCGCGAGCATCATGGGTCGCGTCGACGATTTTGCCGCCCATGCATTTGATTATCTGATTGTCGGCGGAGGGACCGCAGGCTTAGTGTTAGCGGCGCGTCTGAGCGAACGTCCTGACATCGTGGTCGGGGTAGTCGAAGCTGGTCCCGCAGCGTTGGATGAGGAAGCGATCAACATCCCAGGTCTTTACGGTTCTACGATTGGATCTCAGTATGACTGGCAATTTGAAACGACGCCTCAGCCTGGACTAGCAGGTCGGAAACTACCTTGGCCTCGCGGCAAAGTACTTGGTGGTACCAGTGCCCTGAACTTTATGGCTTGGAATCGTGGGAACCGAGAGGATTATGATGCTTGGAAGGAGTTGGGGAATCCAGGATGGGGCTGGGATGATCTTTTGTATGTGTACCATCTCCGACGATTTTGCCGTGTTCTGGTAACTCCATGATAGATCATGTTTGATTAATAACTGACAAGGCCTTACTTCCAACGCTCTGAGACTTTCCACCCTCCCGATGTCACTCATCAAAAGCAGTATCATTCCTACTACCAGGAGGAGACACATGGGAACGCTGGTCCCCTTCACACAACGCATATTCAAAACTATGGTCCAGCTCATCAATTCTGGCACGCGACCCTCAACGCGGTCGGCGTGGATACCAGCCCAGACAGTCTTGCCGGGTCGAATAGAGGAGCATGGAACATGATTTGCACCGTGGATCCCATCAGCCAAACCCGGAGCTACTCGGCAAATGCCTACTATCGGCCCATAGCAGAGCGACCAAATCTAATACTGCTTACTGAGGCAATGGTGACAAAAGTACTAATCGAGAAGGATGGCAACGTTGACCAGTGGGTTGCGACTGGCGTCAATATCCTCTGCGATAACGAACAAAGGGAAATCTATGCAGCAAGAGAGGTTATCCTCTCGGCGGGAAGTGTTCAGTCTCCACAACTTTTGGAACTGTCTGGCGTTGGCAATGCCGAGGTCCTGAAGCCTGCTGGAATCCCTGTCAAGGTTGAAAATCCGAATGTTGGAGAGAACCTTCAGGAGCATATGAGTAGATATTGATCCTTCGAAACTCAAAGGAAACAGTCGCTAACGGGCGATGCAGTGACAGCCACAATCTTTGAAATTTCGTCCCAGATACCCACCAGGGATGAGGTACTGCAGGACTCAGAACTTCGGGAGGCGGCCAGTCGTGAGTATGAAGGTTCCAAGTACGGGCCTTGGACGATACTTCCCTGTTCGATCGCATATTGTTCATTGTCACAGATCATCCCGCAAGAGGAACTGGAAGATCTCCGATCGAGAGCGGAGTCATTAGCCAAACAGACTGGCAAACAACGAGACGAGATCCTAGCTCGCCAATTCCGAGAGCATGCTAATTTGGGTCAGCTGGAATACCTCTTCGATGTCGGGAACTGGAGTCCATACTTCCCATCCGAGAAGGGCAAGAAATATGGGACGATGCTTATGATGCTGCAATATCCCTGGTCCCGAGGGTCAATCCACCTATCACCCAAGGACCCTGGCCTCGATGCGACTGTCCATGACAAGCCAATCATTGACCCACGGTATTATCTCGGTCATGGGGAGATAGACCTGGAGATTATGAAGATCGGTCAACGTTTAACGGAGCGAATCTGCGCAACGAAGCCACTTTCAGACATTATTTGCTCCCGGGTATTCCCTCCGATGCCTGATTCTGACGCATCAGACGAGGTGGAAGAATATGACGAGTTTGTCCGGAACTATACCATCACTGACTGGCACCGTAAGTTTGCTTCCCATTGTCTTTGCCACAGTTGTGGGCTAACATAACGACTAGCAATCGGAACGTGCGCGATGGGAGGGTTTGAAGGCGAGAAGTTCGGTGTGGTTGATGGTCGTCTACGAGTGTACGGTATAACTAATCTGCGTGTTGTCGATGCTAGCATCATGCCTCTCCAAATCAGCGCACACATTCAGGCGACGGTATATGCCATTGCGGAGAAAGCTGCTGATATGATAATCGAGGATATGGACCCGACGGAGGTGGATGCAAAGCTAACCCACAAGTAAGTTTACATAGATCTTATCGGGTAATATTGGATTCAAGGCCAGTGCGGTGTACAACAGAGACAGTTTTACTGTTATTAGTCTCTCCCATAGGTAGTATTTATTCTACCATGACATTTAAATTGTCACACTAATTACTTTGCTACAAAACCTTGCACCCAGTCAATTCACTGCAAGTTTCCAAGCGTCTGGGACTTCCACCTGCGTTTCGATGAAGGGCAACTGCCTCGCGGATAATGCTGCGAACCATGCCTGATAATTCGTTGCAGATCATGCAACCAGTACGGTGATAAATGGGAGATCTGAAAACATGAACGTCTACCTTATACAAAGGATGGGGCCCACTTACCCGGCCCTTCTTGTTGATATACATGAAATTCCACCGGCAGCTATCGGTACAGATCCCATAGATTTCAGCTTTGCAACCAGCAAGTCTATGAGCGCGGTGGATGATTACTGGATTCATATAATATTCAGTCGTCGGTCTTCTCCCAGGACGTGTATTCAGAAAAGTAGAGACTTACCCATGGGCGGCAGTGGTGAGCAATCTCGTCGGCTCGTAAAGCGTGCTGCTACAATGGCCACATAATGGCTAAAGACTCTGCTCCAGCCAATCTCTCCTTCACTTGTACCTACATCCTGATCCGTGCCAGGATGGAATAGACCCTTCATCCGATGCTCCAAACTGGTAGTAGATTTGTGCCATGGGGCAGTGAAATAAAAGATGAGAGATGAATGGTTGACAGAAGACGTCTGCCGACCTCCAGGGCCCTTTCACGATTAGGTAACACACCATGTCATAATTATATACTTAGAAGAGAGTAATAAATTTGTGAATGCGTCAATGAATAGTACTTGGTCTTAGTGAATCGAGTACAGACAGTGTCGTATTCACACACATCGTCTTGGCAAAGCCTATCCACCATGATCCCCCCCCTTCAGTACTGCTTTGTATCCACCTACATGATACCATCCGCTATGAAGTGGTTTACAGAGCTAGAAAACGGATTCTGAAAGTAAGCTGCGAGGAAGAGCCATCGCGAGATGGAAAAGGACTCCGATGCAGCCTTCAAACGGACAAAGTCGCAGACGCAGAAGAGTGAACAGAAGCAATCGATGCGAACGATCGCGGGGACAGCGATCCGGCCCCAAGACAGAGACAGCATGTTCAAGCTGAAGCAGGACAGAAATCCTGGATCCCCTTTGGGGTTCTACAACCTGAGCAGGGACGCGCTGTGCCGCACTGCCTTCGTGAGCTCATAGCTATGATAGATACTCATATCCAGCTAATTTGTGAAGGATCTATTCGTACACTGTCAGACTATGACCTAGTTGTCGCAGGCGCTGATCAGAACAAGAAAAAATATTGTCTTAGTCACAATTTTAGCGACGAAGGAAAAAGAAGAGTTCAGTCAAGGATCACAGAGACTTTTAACTTCATCAACCGCTTCTTAAAACAGCCCCACTTCCAGGCGGAACAAAATGTCAAGCTCATTTGGCAGATTAAGAACGAGAAAGTCATGATATGTGGTCGGCAAGACTACAGTTTATCCAGGGTATGGAGAGGGTTCAGATCGAGCAACGAACCTGGCCGTTCTAGAATCGAAAAATCCAGGAAGCGAGAAAGGAAGTTGCGCCCAAGTACTAATTAATTCAGCACTCCCGATGCTTTTTGAGTGGGCCACTCATTCAATGGAAGTTGTTTCCATGCTGCACCGCATTTTCGAATCTGCCGCTGCATTATCACCGGTCCCCAATCGTTCGCAAGAACAGTCGAAAAGAAAAGGGAAAGGGCCCCTAGCTTATGGAACCCTGTAGTTTTTCTGTGTACGGCTTTTCGTTCAAGTTGTTAGCTAGTGGTTTTACTCCTGTGGCCTGTAGGTGGTCACCCCTTGACTCTTTTACTTTCAAACTCGGAACAGTGGTTAGGTAAATGAGAGAAGAAGAATGAATCTGAGCAATTCTACGGGTTGGATTACTAATTAAATTACCTTGACAACTTACTAGTTAGCTATAATATAAAGGTGCTATTTCCAGATTACATCGCGAGATTAAGGTCCAGTATCCTCAGGATACAACTCCGAATACCACGCTGACAGAAACGCACCATTGTGTTCCCTGCATCAATACATGCACGAACGCCAGAGAGTTCAGGTGCGAAGGACTACCTTCAGCGTTCACATTCGACCTATTCACCGTCTCGAGGGAGTCGTTAGCCCTATTACAGTCACTTCTTACCGAGACGCTGATCCCAATCTAAGCTCATAGGCATACACGGAGCTTAAGTTGCTGTCACAGCAAAGTCTTCCATGGTATTTATTTTCATTTATTTCTGCTGGTATGTCCTGGCATAGAGCTACAGGCTTGATTAGTAGCTTAGATGGCCCGTGATGTCTAATAAATGGAGTTACTACTCCAATGAATTCTCCAAGCTCTGACAATACCGGTTATACTGGTCCCAAATGGGACTGAGTACGACCACGCCATGAATCTCCTCATTAGAACTCCACTACTGCCATATAAAAAGTCAAAGGCTTTCCAAACCTAATATAAGAAGGTGGAAATCCCGCACGGAAAATCCGCCAACGTAGGGTGGGCATCTAGCCCAATCTTTAGCGGATCCCACAAAGTTCCCGATTCATTCCGTTACGACCTTCCAGAATATTTAATACGTATGAGACAATAGTCGTTTCATTATCAAGCCGTCGAACTTACGTATGGAGACAAATCTGTCCTGGATGCTCAATTTCGCTCGGCCATTCTATGAAGTTCATACTCAAATGAATGGTTAACTCGTCAAGAGGTAGCCGCAATGCTTCTGCTGACTCCTCCTTCGGTGGATTGCCGAGAAGCTCCTTTTGAGGTGCCCATGAACCACTTCGGAAGTCATCTGGCCATGACAGCCTTCAGCTCTGTTTTCTATAGGCCAGGGCGCCATCCGCACTCAGAACATGCAACCTATAATGCTTGAATACCAGATTAATGACCTTGATCCCGCTCTAAGTGAGTATCTTGATCATATTCAAATGCCAAGAGAGTGATACAGATAGAGACGTAACACACCCCACCTCCAGCATACAAATGGATGCACGGTGGCCACGATACAAATCAACATATATCTATTGGCTCAGCTACTTGAGGGCTATTGATCATGATAAGAAGGGGTTTATCTGGGCGATCTATAAATAAAATACTTCAAGTGAAACTATTCACCGGGCACACTGTAAAAATCAGGTTATGGACCTCGGACACTGCCATATCCAGGCTAAGCGGGCGATGATCATCACAACTTTGTCGGCACTTACTACTTAGCATAAGGCGACGTGGGCCGCTAAGCTTCAAAGAGATGCAGGAACCCCAGACCAACGTAATTCTTCCGCCGAGTGGTCCCCAATGAGAGAGGCCGAGACCATAAAAATTGGGTTATCATTCGTTTGCCGGAGCCCTAATGCGGGTCCAACATACGCGGCGCCAAGACGACCATATCTTTCCAGGCTCAACAAGAAACCCAGACGAAGCGCCGAAGAAACCGTCGTATTGCATCTATTACGCATCTCCTTGCGGATGACAGACACTAGAACAACGTTTCCTGCATGAATGTCCCACACAGGAGCCGGCAGGGCGACTGCCGTCTTGCTCCGATGACGTGGATTTCCCGAAGCCGTTGACATGCCTGGACTATAAATGTAAGACCTTCAAAGGTCAAGCAGCAGAATTTAATTATCAATCTAAGAGAACAAAATCTCTCAGAGCTCTTAACTTATCCTCTTTGAGTGGTAAACCGCCCCTAGCGAGATGCACTTTTCAAAGCTCCTCCTTCTCTCCGCGGCTACGCTCGCAGTTGCGCATCCCGGTGAGAAGCACGATCCGCATGTACTGAAGCGCGAGATCCACGCTCGTGATGCTCTTGCTGCTCGGTCGAAGCGCGGCCTCGATGCATGTGCCACTAGTGAGCATGCCAAGCGACTGCAGCAACGCAACGTCGCCCGTCGCGCCCGTACCGTCCGTGAGCTGCGCAGCGCCCGTGGCGTGACTACCAGTAAGTCTTGAGACAGCAGAATCAACAACTGCTATCCGAGTACTGACAATTTCATTAGGTCCAAAGAAGTGGCGCCGTTCTTCCGATGATCTGGAAAAGTGGGAGGCCGTCAACCACAACATGACCGGCTTGGTCGACTTTACTTCCGAAACGCCCGAAAGCTCGGTCTTCGGCGGCAACACCAGTGCCATCTTGTCTCCCACGATCACTGACGGACCCTACTATGTATGGGGTGAAGTGCAGAGGAGCAACGTCAAGGAGGATGAGTACTGTGACGGTGTTGATGTGTACTTGGAGGTCCAATACATCGATGTCAACACTTGCAAGCCAATTCCAGGTGCCTTCGTCGATATCTGGAATGCCAACGCCACTGGCGTGTACAGGTCAGTGCTCACATGTTACCATACATGAACACACAACGCTAACATCAGCCATAGTGGTATCTCCACCTCGGGCAACTACGCTGCTGACGGCTGGGATAGCACGTACCTGCGTGGTATTCAGGAATCTGATCAGGACGGTGTTGTGGCCTTCCAGACCATTTTCCCGGGTCACTATGACGGCCGTGCCACTCACACTCACTTGTTGACTCACCTTAATGCCTCCGTCCATGATAGCAATGGTACACTCGTTGTGGGAACCGGCAGCGTTGCACACATCGGTCAGCTCTTCTGGAACGAGGTCCTGCGCTCCGCCGTCGAGGACACCTATCCCTACACCACCAATACCCAGGACATCACTAGCAATGCTGATGACATGTGGTCCATTGAACAAGCCTCCAGCTCCTATGACCCATTCCCTGACTATGTGTACCTCGGAAACGACCTGAAGGATGGCCTCTTTGCCTGGAAGCAGATTGGTATCAACGCCAGTGCTGACTACACCGATAACTCATACTACAGCATTGCTGCTTACTATGACGAGAACGGTGGCCACCAGAACACCGACAGTGCTGCTTTCGGTGGCGGTTCTGGTAGCGAGGGTGGTATGCCTTCTGGCTCTCCCTCCGGTGCCATGCCGTCAGGCACTGCTATCTAGAGAATCCTTGCCGGGACACGGCATGAAGGTGTGTTATAGTGGCTCTTTCTCCGGCTAGATGAAGGCATACTCCACTATGAACCGAATGCACCCTAGCCTTAGTGCCAGAGCTCACATACCCGGCTGAATGCGATTTAAGCCTAGCAGGTCAATTCTCACTATTCTCATACCGTGTATATATATCCATCAATTACCTCTACTTCTAGCATGTACCTTCGCCTACTTATTATATTATCAGCTGTTTTCTAATGAACCAATTGGTTTGTGCATTACCTTTCAACTTTTTGTTTTTCCTCCCTTGTTTGTATTCCCTGCAGATTTGCCAGATCATCCATAACACCAATGAATGTCCCCTCCGCGAAATAAATCGGGCATACCTGGCCGGCTTTCTGTATTTCCACTGGTTGTAGCTTTTTGACCTGACTGTCGAAACCATGAGCAAATTGTTGTTTTGTACCAGCTTCGTGTCTACCTCGTATTGGCCAGCACGTGATTTGCCCAGTGTGGCGATGCTCTCATCTGACAGATTAACTTCAATCATCGAGCCTTTTGCCAGATAGCAGGCCAGTTGCCCTTCTTTCAAGTCCAGGGCAGGAAGACGACAGAGTCGAGCATTTACTTGCCGGCAACTCTCAGACAGAGCAGCAAATCATGTCTGTCGAACAACGTCTCATAACGCCGGGCGCACTGGATAAAATTCCCGCCCGAAAAAGCAATCTAGGGCAGGCTGTGTTCCAAGTGCCACTCTATCTAAATCAAGAAAAGATATATCATGCCCGGCGTCCTCATAAAAAGTCACGAGCGGGCTGCTTAACCTGTAAGAAACGCAGAGTCAAAGTGCGGATATCGATTCCGACAGCGGTTCTGAAACTAATATTGAGCATGAGTGCAGTGCGACGAGGGTAAACCAGTCTGTGTCAAATGCCAGAAATACGGTGCATTGTGCAGCTATGCCACGGTGTCGTATGAAAATGGCTCTATCGCCGGTGTCGCATCAAGCATGCAAAAGCCAGAGAGCATTACATTTTCGTTTTCTTTAGACGATCTGGCGACCCGGATAGAGGAGATATTAAAACTGGATACAGGCACCAATGCTTCTCTGGTAGAACGAAACGCATCTCATCCCGTCAGCATGATTGCCTTCCAACAGTTTCTTAAGGGTGCCACCGACACGGTCGCCAACCCTTCCCTCCGAGCCGTCATGAGGAGCGACATGATTCGGGTTTCATTTACGGTGAGCCTAGGTCCACTTCTTGACTCGATACGTACAGATCCGATTGACTGAATGTCTTTTCAGAGTCCATATTTGATGTACACAATACTTGCAGTTGGAATTCTCCACCTGAATCGCATTTCCCCTGGAAACAAAACGTGGCAGCTTGCAGAGACATATTACTGGCAGCGCGCGATTAAGCTATACCAAGCGGCACTTACCTCCAACGTCACTCCCCAGAATGTTGATTCCCTCCTGTCAACCTGCATGTTCATGGGAGTCACCGCTCTCTGCCCGGAGAATATCAAGCCAACGGATTCATGGGTTTTATCCGATAAACCGGATGCAATGAACTGGCTTTGCTTACAGAGCGGCCTCCGGTGTATAATAACCCTCGCTCAGTCGTACCTTGATTCCAGCATCTGGGGCTCCACATTCCAGCAAGCCCACAAGGACGAACAGCAATTCTTGAAGCGCGTAGTTCCAGAGGGACGGGAGGGTCTCGACCCCGATCTGGCTGACCTCTGTGGGATTGACGACTCTACCACGGCCAAGACAAATCCATATTACGAGCCTCTCCGATTATATACAGCCTTATGCCAACTAGAACGCAATTGGGAAAATTCGGCCAAATGTGCCGAATTCATGGGGAAGTTGACGAACGAGTTTCTTGCGCTCTTAAGACGGAGAGATCCACCAGCCCTTTTGATCATGGCGCAGTGGATGGGTCTTATGTGTACCCTATCCCACTGGCAGCCGTGGGTTTTTGGTCGACTTGTCACTGAATGTACCGCTATTTGTATGTACCTCAAGAATGATCCGGATCCCCGGATATCGCGTCTTTTGAAGTTTCCAGCTAGCGCGTGTGGATATTCGTCTCAGAATATTTCTCAGAACACCCGAGTATGGATATCCTGAACCATTCCTTCTTTACATTTTATAGTCCAAGGGACTTTATAGATATCTTTTTTTTTTTTCTTTCTTTTTTTGTTAAGCTTTAACATGACCTCTATAAGTTGTTCATCGATACCTCCTTACCAACATATCACCAGAATACCAAGTTAGTCGAATAACGTCTACTCTCAGTTGTGGAGTACTTGAAGATATATATAATTTAGACCCGAAGAGTTAGTAAGTGAGACGATGATCAACATTTGTACAATTTAGACAATAACAACAATTGTAAATGATAAGAAATATGCCAGGTGTAGGAATGTATAGCTCTACCAGGGATATATCTAAGTCTTTTCCCCAGAACTGTGTTTGGCTGTAATCTGTGTATATACTGAACTGACGGGCGGCAAATGAGTCTCCACATTAATTCACCGCCCGGCTTAGTCCATTTTCTGCCATCTTAACACCGTCACCGCTTCCTGAAGAAGCCAATACAAACAACATCCATTCGCAGCAACAAACCATTCGTACTAAGTATGCACCTCTGCGACTACTAATGTTAGGCCATGTTCTTAGTGCCCCCCAACAATAACACTTTGCATCGTTCGACTGATGAACACCTGCTGGTTCGCTGAGTCACGCCCAACCCTCAACGCTATGACTCGCCAGCCATGAACCCTCAAGACACTGCCGTTTGGCGCTGGCTTCGCGATGTGCCTTGCGAAACGGTGGCTACCCCACCAGATACAACGCCATCTTCCCCGTCGAGTAATTTGAAACGGAAAAGAATTGTGACCGCCAGATCCACGAGTCCAGCGAAACGCCAGAGGATCCTTGATGATGCCAATAATGTGCACCCTGACCAAAGTGCGTCGGCGATTGCGGTTACAGAGCTTACCGAAAGAACAAGGCTCTCCCATCGGTCGCCTTCTAGCCCGTCGAAACGTGCAGTGAGTCCGATTCGAGACTTGCTGAATGATTTGCGAGCATCGAAGCCCGCTATTTTCTGTGAATTACCCTTTACGATCGCCTTACCAGAGAATGCCGCCGCTTTATGCACCACCCTTACCCAAGGTCTACACGAACGGGTGATCCCTATTGGCCTGAAGGTAGAACTCAAGCTATGCCACTGGGAAAACCTATAGTTGATCCGAAGCTCTGATTTCTTCACCTGCAGGACCGAGTATCTGCATCTTTCCCCCTCATGGCGAACGAAATACCGAACTCTGCATACGATGATACAGATAATTCATCGGATCGTGAACTGGACATACTTTGGGAAACAATCACGGAAATCTTGACTGAGGCTCGGGCGTCTAGCCGATATCAAAAGGATGAGAGTGCATGGTGCACCAAGGTGGTCTATCCCATGCTCCACCTTGCATGTAAGGGCAGTATGCTAAAAGCGGAGAGCGTGTAAGTTCTTCCTCGCTGACCCTTTACTGTCTCTCCTCCTGGCATTTCCGGCTGACAGAAGATGGACACACAAGACAAACCTAGACGATCAACCCTGAGCTGCTCCCAATAATGCCGAAAAATTACCGCGTCCAGAAGAAGTGCGATTACGCGTTTTGCTTTCATGAAGATACCCAGCAGGTCTCTGACTTATATGATGCCCTCACCTGTGCGGGCACGGGCGATGTCTTGAGCCAAACGACAGACTCGAATACGAAGCGGCGGTTACTCTTTTCCGGGCTTAGAGTCAAACATGAGAATGGTGGGAAGGATGAAACACTTGCCCAACTTGCTACTTGGATTGCGGCAGGGATGGAAAACACCAGAAAACTTTTGAGACGATCCTCCAAAGAGGTATATTCGTATCGTGACCTGCCTCCAATGGTTGGGTGGACTGTTGTTGGCCATGACTGGTATACTTGGGTCACTTTTGGTGCCACCAAGAATGGCAGAGACAGGCTTGTTCGTAACTCCTCTCACATACCGTCTGAGCTTTGCTGATACTTTCGTTATATTACGCCGTAGAACCTTGGAGGGCGGCTGCTGCAGACACGAGAGATGTGTATGGGGCGTTTGAGTTGCTGAAGCTTTTGCGCAGGGCGTCGGCTTATGCGAGCACTGCGTATTGGTCTTGGTTGCGGCAAAACGTTCTAGAGCCACTGTGTAGTGACAATTAGTAGATACTTGTACATACTTGTAGTCCTTGAACTGATTTGCTGGTAATGTCGCATACCGGATTATCCCTGATGCCGGTACATAGGTCCTAACATACTAAAGATACTGCCTACTCCCACCCATGGCCCTCACTATGGATGACGAGAATCGCGACCTGCTGCTCCCTGACTTTCACCTCTCAAACGAGGTCTTGACTCGCTCACGGTCAACATGGTCTGCATTAGCCTCAGCGGCTCAGTCTGCGACCAATTTGCCCTACCCCTGCTGTAATATCAAAGCCCTTCTCCATAAAACACCATCTATTCCTGAATCCAGCAGTGCTACAGACTGTTTGGGGAGAAATTCTCTATACATAGAAGGGTATGTGGCTTGGTCAGTCTTACCTGCTGAGCGCCCTTCAACTTGCGATTTACCTACTAGGAAAATGACTGGATTGCGAAATGTCTACATCGGGGTGTTCAGCCCAAGCACTAGCTATCTATCTAGTGAATATATCTTAGATTGGAGCGGATTTCATCCTCTGCCAGAACCTGTGCCTAACTATCTTGGCGTATTTGTCCTCGCTTGGTCATACATTCTGTCGGCCCGATTGATAAAGCTACGTCGATCAGCAACGAAAAGACAACGTGGTCTATACTGACTGCAAAAGCTCAGTGGAACTGCTATGGCCAAGAGCAACCCGATAATCCAATAAAGGATGGTTATGTCATAGACATTGGAACCGATGATTTCGCTGAGGTTCGATGGTGGGCTGCGATTCACGCAGAGGGACGAGGCTGGCAGGCAACTCTCACACGACACGGTAAAGAGTACTATCCACCATGAGAATCTCATTTGAACAGCAGTCCATTCAGACTGCATCACCGCGCTCAGGTCCCGTCCTCAACCTCTACTGTTAACACTGAGCCACCGTCCTCAGCACAAGCACAAGAGTACCTTTTCAACCTGGCCCGATATTATGACGCTTTTGACCAATCAATCAGTGCATTGGCTGCCACCATGACAATATCACTGCATAACCGGTTTGGCGCCAGTATTACCTTGCCTTTGCCTAAGCCGGAAAACCGTCCCATCTCGCATCGGAATACTGAGCTAAAATATTGAAACCAAATACTGACACCCGCTGAGATCCCGCATTACATGACTGTATCATGTACTTCTGGAGTGATCACATCTTGTTTATTTGGTTGCTTCTGGGAACCAGGTATACCATGCAACGTAGTCAGCCAATGGTTGAACTTACCAATGAGAGAGATCTTCCCAGCTCTAAGTCGATCAGAGAAATACCATGCTATTGTCTGCGCAATGGCACAGCGCAGGCCAAATACAGCGCCATTATGGCTAGGCGCCCTAATTACAGGCCTCGTACCCCGGATATTTCAAGTTTGTCATTCATATCTACCAACAGTCTACCTCGAAGCAGTTACTTGGACTGCTTCTCCGCAGTCATTCATGGACCCTCAGTGCTACCGTCTCACACCGGTTCACAAGACCAACAATGTGGAATTGATTCCCCGGGAAGATGAATTCCGCTTGTTATTTATCACAGATGTGGACTCGGAAACGTATAGAACTCCACTCTCACCATATCCTCCATTTGGGTCGGCAGAACTCCAAAATACTTCTATCGAGGTCAGACTGCACTATTCCTGTAACCACCAACTAAGCTACCATTGCTGGAATTGGAAATGTGATGGAGGACAAGTACTGAGCGATTTCGGCCTGCCATAGCGGATCGAAAGCCGTAGAATCGAGCATTGACCCTAACCTTCTTACGATTAAAGCCTTAAAGCTGGCTTGGATGGCGGTTGGGTTCCCATACGCATCTTCATATAAACCACCACTGTTGATCCTCGCTTGGGCTCCCATATACAGAAAGCTTGTTTCTATCTGTTTCTGGCATAGGGATCTTGATCCAACAAGCCCTCTTTGTGAAGAGCTAGATAAGGAAGAGGAGGTCTTTGAAGATACACTCTCCGAGCTCGCGACACGGAACATAGTCTCTTGGACCTTCTTCACTCTAGGTACTAGACCAGAAGAAAGGGAGCTTTGGAAGTATGAGTGGCTGGAACTGTTAACAGACAGAGACGATGGCGTGGAGTCTAGTGAATCTAGTTCATCTGAGGTAGGAGATGAGGCAAACAAAGAAAAGTTGCAGCATGTCCAGACGTGGCGTGATACTATTGCGGCACAATCGGATGATATGGCGAAGGACTGACGGAAGTCAAGAATATTGATGTTTCTCGTACTGATATACTCTCCAGACTCCTATACATACCAAGGGGTCTGCCCAGATAGGCACACCACAATAAGCAATTAGCGTGCTTACTCGTCTATTTGAGCTACATCTTTTGCTATTTGTGGCAAGAACTGGAATGTGTACGAATAGTAATTCCAGAAGCAGGCTAGAAAATGTATGACAGGACAATCGTCCCGTACTTCAAGGCCATGAAATTAGACAATTTAGTAAGTTAACCCGAAACCCCAAAATATAGATAAAAATAAAAAACCCGAATGAGATAGAGGGTTTGAACAATCTGTCGAGTATTCGCATAAAACACCAATTCCCGACTGTTAAAAGTTCTAAGTGAGCTGCTCAACCCTCGTTATTTACTTCAGATCCATCATTTTCACGAAGTATATCTCTTCTACCCCATGGGGGAATCACCGCGAAAATGGCAGCGCACGAGTATCTCGTTCCGAGTCCCGCTTCATTTCCGTAGGTGACCTGACTGAACGCCATCTCCTCGTGCTTTGGCTCCGTGAGCCATGTAATCCCGGGGAGATAGTATGCGGGCCACACATATGGCAGCACCTGTGGCGTCCGTGAGTGCCTGATATCAATTGCTGTGGGCTTGAGCGAAACTTACATCGTCCATCTGCATGTCATTCCCCCATTCTGTCGTTTCATAGGGTCGCAGGCATGATCCAATCTGCGCCCCATCTTCCACAAAGCTGCTATCCTCTTTGTATGGAAGACCTTTCCTTCGTGCGAAAGAAATTGCCTCCTTCATACCCCTCACATGTCGTGTCATCTTCAAGAGCTTCCATCGTCGGTCGATATCAGCAATGTCCTCTCGACTGGTCACTTGTGGTAGTACTTCGGAAAAATTCACGAGAAGGCGTTTGTTCCTGGCCAAGTATGGCTGGAGATCATTGACAAAGTCGTAGTAGCCCCATTCGCCGAGATAGCCAGATCGGCCTTCGATGTGCCCTTTGAGTCCTAACTCTGGATTTTCGGGGATGTAATTCCCGTCATTTTCCAAAACTGGTAGAACCTGCACGTGTAATCCCAGGGACTGGAAAATGGAATACAATACCACGTCTGACCCTTTAAGCCCTCTTGGAAGGTCATAGGTGGTGAAATTGGAGGTATGGGGATAGGCGTGCGAGCAGAATATACCAAGAACGCCACCTGTACTGGTTAGTTAGACTGTAGTTGTCACTGGTTGACTATGGGAAGCTCAGTTTGATAAGGGGGGCTTACCACCGTCCAGAAATCCCGGTTTCATGAGAAGATCCTTGACCCAGCCGTACAATGGTAGTGATTTGGGCTCCATTATCGATAGGAGAGCGCTGTCTGCCCGGTTTGAGACGTACAGATTGTAGGTCAACGTGATCCGGTCTCCTTCTGTTATTGTTTTGATCTCATGTTCACAGTCACTATAGAAAGCAGCCCACTGGATTGTGGTTTTGCTTTCTGCAGCCCAATCGAAGTTTACCTCTCTGCCTCGGTGCCTTACGAGGAGATTTCCGCCTTTGAAACGCGCTGGGAGACAAACGACCAAGGAACCAATCTGGCTCTGAGAACGGGGAGTGTCAACATGGCTACGGAAGAGCCCAGATGGCCCTGAATAAATCTGTGGATATAGTCAGCTAGGCCATCGCGGACGGAAACCTTGACCAACATTCAGCTTGTAGAGTTCGGCATAGATTTTGCGCGACCCTAATCTGTTCGCTGCTTCGCCGACTATTCCAGGAAGAAGCACCTTCTCAATTGTTTCAATAATTCCAAAATCGGCGGGATGGAAGCTTGTGGCGAAGTTTTCAGGTTCTAACTTTCCAGCTTTTCGGTACGATAGATCTATCACAGTCTCCTCTCCGCGACCAAAACTGGCTGGACCACAGCTGCCTATCAAATGTTGTAGCATTTCAGGGTTCGCGTCTTCGGCGTCTGCCCTAAGAGGCAGTGATAAATGCCTCGCTGAGCCATTCCCAATCGACCAGAAGATGTTGATGGGACCAGAACCTCGTGGGTGCGTATCAGGGGGGCCAGTGGTTTGGACAATAGGGATGCTACCCCCACATGCATAGGAAGCAGTAGTTCGCTCCCCTTCAATGAACGTTTTCAATTGAAGACATGAGTCAAGAAATCTGTCCTGTACTTCTGGCAATGCAGGTGTTGAAGAGGCTTCGGTATGTTTACTCCGTTGGTGACAATGCTTCTCCATTAGAGTATCCAAAAGTGCACTGGAAACATTCTCCCGCTTCGGGATATTACTACCCACTTGGACTTTATGCCATCGACTCTCCAACCGTTTGCGCAATTTCTCAACCTCCAAAATGTCTGTTTCATCATCAAGATAGTCGGGAGTTAAGCGGTTCAAATTTTCTCGCAGTTCCTTCTTGATCTCCTCGAACCTGGACCCCGCAAATGATTCGAAATTGTCGGGGCTATACATGCGCTGACTATGATCTGGATTGATCTCTTTCAGGCAACAGATGAACCAATCCAGACAGGCGTCCACCTTACAGCCCTGTGCGACTAATCAGTATAACTCCTTAGCTACAGGAGGTGATTTGTATTGACCTCAGTCATGACCCGATTCACCTCATCTTCTAGCTCAATCACTGTATGGGCATACTCTTCGATCGGGACATCGTAACATGACTCCCTCCTCCAAATGCGCTCGTCAAAAACATGGCCGCCTTCATCGTCATTCATGACGAAACAGAAAAAGGAAGGCGTTTAAGCTAAATGTACGAAATAGTGGTCGTGTGAATATCAATAGAGACCAGCATATGACTCGGTGGGAGATGCTGTTCAGACAATAAACGGAATACTAGAGGCTTTTATCTTGTTTATTTGTTGCTGACGCGGATGGTAAGGACGTGAAGATGAATGCCAGGTCACGGCCTAAACCAGGGGCGGTGTTGCCTGAAGGGATAGGCCACACTCTAGGCAGCGGCGGCATGCCCTAAGCCTTACTTCTTTATTCGCCCATATTCTCTCTTACCTCCTTTACGGTACTCAATTGGAACCTGGATCTTTCCTATTCTGTGTCTAACAAGACCGCTATAGGAGCGAGGAATTGATTCTTCTCCAGGTTTGACTGGAATTGCTGCACGACTACCATATGTTGTGTAACTATGACAATCATTCCTTCTGTCCATATCAGCAACACTAACGTAATGAAAGTGACATCAGGGTCACCGCTTAGATAGACTCTTTCGATGAAAAATAGAAGAGGTTCCTCCTTCTACCCCCACTGATCAACTCAGGCACAACATAACCCTCTTTACCTATCTGTTCCTCTGTCAGCGATGCCAGTTTCCTCAACGTTGTCTCGTTTCCGTGGTTAGCGACAAATCGGGAACCATCTGCTTTCAGCCGACCGATAATGTATCCTCGTGCTGGGTGCCCCTTTCGGTGAAACTCTACCGTGTACGTCTGTCATTATATTTCTTTTGGTTAGTACCAGGGTGATTGATCGAGTGGTTGATTATCATTAAGTGAACTGTTGAGAAAGAGACAGTCCATTCCCATTGAACCACTCACCTCAATAACAGCATCCCCTTCCGCCACATAAGTGACGCGTGGAATGGAAGCCTCCACGGCGACTTGATGAGAGGGTTGAACATTAGGATACACCATGCCGTTGGACGGTGGGCGAGAGGAAAGGCATATGGCATGCTGATAGGTCAAAATACCCCCATTTGCCAGGATCAGGCCGTTCTGGCTCTGCCCTCCACGAAGTCGACGCACCATTTCCGTGATTGCCTGGCTCATGTCAATGCGGCGTATATCAGAAATGGATAGTCAGAGGGTTTCCTACATGCATGGAATAGTTGTTACCAGCGCCACCGAAAAAGGTCAAGCCGCCGAGCAGGGTGATAGGCTTAGATGGGCTTGAAATCGAGAGACCTAAATGTTCACTTGCTAGCTTCGGCACAATTGGAAAGCACCTGGTAAGTCTATTAGCTCCTACTCATTAGTGACGAAAGATTAACCATACGAATAGAAGTCAAAAAGATCAATATCGTCTGCCGTGAGGCCAGATGTTGCCAAACATCCGTCTAATGACTTGGAAATAGCGGGACTGGAAAAATAATTGGGTCGATTCCAAACTACAGTAGGTTAGAGAGAAAAGGTACTTTTGGACATTGTTGCGGCCTAGGTTCCCAGCAAAAAGATATAAAGAAGAACATTCACCTACCTTCGCCAGAGTCAGTGGCACCAGCACCTCCTAATGGATATATCCATTTGCTAGCTGGGACCCCTAATTCCGCGGCATATTCTGCCGTGGTAACAATACAAGCAGCAGCAAGATTGACTGAGTTGAAAGCGTTCATCAAGAGTGGGTCTACAGCATGTATTAGCCCTGCCTGTGTCTCGGGCTTTAGAGGAGCATGAATGAATGAAGTACACACATGGTAGACAAATCATCCGGTTCTTGGCGGTCACTTGAGCGATTGACTCGGGTGTTTCAACATTGTTCTGGAAGTTCCAGGAATATGGGTTTGTAACGGCAACTTCGCTAAACTGTGAGTAAAGAGAGGCTGATTCCATGTTGTTTTCTGCGAGCGACTGGCCGCGACGGGCACGGAATCCGTTTTCGTATAATGGATAGACTTGAATTGGCAGGCCGATAGAATGAATGCCGTCTAGACCATCTAGACATTGGGAGGTATCAGAGGCAGGCATTCAAGGACAAAAATTATTAAAGCAAGGACCCCACACTCAACACTTACCTTTGGTAAAACGGTCTGCAGATGGAGTGAAAACTCCCTTTACTTCCGTCTCTGGGGGCGTCCAACCAGGAGGGGGCATTGCTCCCTGCTTCGCATACATTCCTACTATTTAACTAGTCAGCAAGGCTTGACAGGACGTTTCAAGAACGATGCACATACACGACGCCAGGGCCTCTCCACCCGTAATCACCGAGACGCGACTCTCTCCTCTGGCGACCCGTAGCGCCTCTTCATCTAAGATCTTCGCGGGCTGGTTACCACCATGATTGGTATAATGCGTAAGCCGTGGGTTTATTGCCAGCTTCTGGGAGATGAGATGGGGCAGGTCTGCGTATGTCCAGGTCCAGGTTCTAACAACACTCAAGCTATCAATGCTTGACTTGAGCTTCAGAATGCCGGTATTGGAAAGTTGAGTGTCCTGTACGGCAGCCTCAATAGCCTGTACCATTAACTGCAATGGTTCCTTCGCATCTTCGGTCTTTGTTGTTTTGTTCTTGATGTCTGCTACTCCTATAATAACAGGAATCATCCTGATTGTTTGATTTGGTTCAATCCGGTGGAATGCAAGGATATGTTATTTTGTATTGACTGACTCGAATTCTAAAAGACATTACAAAGTACTATGTATTAAATCTTAGATCCCTCCCCACTGTACAGAACAGAGACCATCCTCCACACCTCGGAAACAAACAGGGTAAACACCGCGGCTCAAATTTCAAAAGCCAAAGAAATGCGACTGACCACCTGATTGGACATAGCGCTAACTGAATAGTAGGTTATACTGAGCAATACACTAATAGTGGAGGTAATTGAGGGGGGACCGTACTCCAACGGATACTTGGGTCGAGTCAGTCAAATGGCCGATCCCGAGGCTCTCGGCTATCGATCATGATTCACCACCAACACCGTAACTGAGGGTAACATGGAAATAGACTAGAGACATAGAATTGATAGTCATTTACGAGGTTTCTTCCATAATAAAACAGGTGCTCTTCCCCGTGTACCTCGACTTTTGCACATATGTCTAAGCCTCCATTAAACCCAAAGTATGCCTCCAGATCCAAAGCTCAACCTTGACAACAACACGCCATGGGCCGAGCCCGCTTGGTACAAAACATTAGACTCGCCCTACTATAACCAGTCTCATCGGGAACTTCGAGACAATATCCGAAGATACTGTGATACGCATATCTTACCCCACGCTCTTGAATGGGAAGAGAGAGGCAGTGTACCTCGAGAAGAAGCGCTGCGGTATGCCCAGTCGGGGATCCCTTTCGATGACGTACCTGCACAGTATCGCCCCTCTCACATTCCCAATCTAGCCGGTCTGCCCCACCATGAGAGGGATGTGTTTCATCTCCTCGTTTCCGTGGACGAGCTGGCCAGAGTGGAGGGGGGTGTGGGCATTGCGCTTGGCGGTGCATCAACGATCGGCATTCCTCCAATCGTCCACCATGGCACAGAAGAACAAAAAGCCAAGTGGCTTCCCGGCCTCTTTTCATGGGACACTAGCTTCTGTTTGGGGGTGACCGAACCCGGCGGCGGCTCAGACGTCGCACGGATCAGGACGAGCGCTGTTAAGTCCGCCGACGGAAGATTTTACGTTGTCAACGGTGTTAAGAAATGGATCACTGGTGCTCCCTGGGCTACACATATGACAACAGCTGTTCGGACGGGGGGCGAAGGATCAGGTCTACATGGTATTTCTGTACTGGTAATCCCACTGGATTCCGAGGGAGTCACACGTCAGAAGATCTATAACAGTGGGCAGAATGCTGGTGGATCATCATTTGTGGATCTGGAAGATGTCCGGGTCCCTGTGGAGAATCTGATCGGAGAGGAGAATAAAGGGTTCCCTATCATTATGAAAAACTTCAACAAAGAAAGATACATTATGGCCATCCAGTGTAATAGGAAAAGTCGGACCTGCCTCGCCATGGCTCTGTCGTACGCCATGACGCGCCAGACCTTTGGGAAACCACTGATCCACAACCAAATCATCCGCCGGAAGCTGGCTGAACTGGCCCACCGCGTGGAGGCGCACTGGGCCTGGTTAGAACAGCTAGCGTTCTATATCACCAACGCACCCTTAGGTTGGCAGAGCCCTCAGATCGCTAGTCGCATTGCCTTGCTTAAGGTCCAGGGAGGGCAGATGCTTGAGTTAGCCGCGCGGGAGGCCCAGCAGATCTTTGGCGGCGCAGGATATCAGAAAGGAGGGGCCGGAGCGACCGTGGAGCAGATTAGTAGAGACCTACGAATGATGGTGAGATTGCTTCTATTCCACTGAACCGTTGATTGTGTTTTCGGTGTGCTGATTGTTTGCTCGTCAAATCTTAGGTTGTGGGTGGAGGGAGTGAAGAGATCATCGCGGATCTCGCCGTACGCCAGGAGATATCATTGCTGAAAGGAAAGGGGAAGCTATAGGGAGTGATATAAATATCTATCAAAGTGTAGCAAGAGTGATTACAAGTAGTAAAGATCAATCATGACATCCTCCAATGATATGTACTATTGTCGTTTCAATTTAGATTGGTTTAAGCATGTTTAAAACTTGATCAGATGGTGTTAGAAGACGCAAGCCAGGCCATTTAGGTTTCACGCGAGCAAGGATACACAAACATAAAATAATATAGAATAGAAAACACATCACAAATATCTCATCACTCTCTGCGAGCTTTGGCTAATATTGGGACATCTCCGTTCTTGTTCTCTCCCCACTTTTGCAATGCTGGACTGACCTTCGGCATTAACTTGCGGGGACCAACCGAGGCCCCGAGGAACTAAAGTCCATTTCATAAAGCCATTTCAGTATTTTACCGCCGATAGGGGGATATTAAGGAGGTCATTATCTTCCAAAAATAAGGAAAAACAAGAGCAATCTTAAATAAATGAATATTGTTGAGTCCATTACCTTTTAGAAAATACTTGATACTTCAGTCTTAACAATCATGTCTCCAGCATCGTTTCAATCCGAGCCACCTTCAACCACACACTATCGTGTCTCATTTCCCGAACCCCATATCATGTTAGTCACCATAGATCGAGAGAAACAACGAAACTCTTTACCCTCCTACGCACATTGGGAAGCACATGAGCTCTTTACGTGGTTCGACAATGAGCCATCGCTACTTGTCGCTGTCGTGACCGGGGCCGGGAACAAGGCCTTTTGTGCAGGACAGGACCTCCAAGAACAGAGCACGAAACGGACAAATGAGAAAACGGCATCTGAGAAAGCTCTTCTTACCCATCCTCCGACAGGGTTCATGGGACTGAGTCAGAGGAAAGGGGTCAAGCCGGTCCTGGCAGCTGTGAATGGGTTTGCTCTCGGCGGAGGGTTTGAAATTTGTCTCAATTGGTCAGTTATGTTCTTTTTGCCTTTGTGAGTATTGAGATTAAGGCTTCCCAGTGACATAGTCGTTGCATCCCCGACGGCTGAGTTTGGGCTTCCAGAGGCTCAGGTCGGCTTGTATGCTGCAGCGGGTGGTCTGCCCCGGCTGGTTCGAACATGTGGTATGCAAGTTGCCACGGAGCTCGCTTTGACATGCAGAAGGATCCCTGCAGAAGAGGCTCTGAGTCTCCACTTGATTAACAAGGTCTCCAAGACGCCTGAATCTGTTGTGGAGGAGTGCCTGGCTATTGCATCACGGATTGTGCAGTTGTCCCCGGATGCGGTCCTGGCGACGCGACAGGGGCTCAGGGCAGCCTGGGAGAATCCAAGCGTGCAGCACGCAACGTCGCATACCCGTGAAATGTACGCGGATCGAGTGGTTAAAGGGGAAAATTTTAAAATTGGCATAGAGGCCTTTGTAAAGAAAACCAAGCCACAATGGGTGATGCCTAAGATTTAATCATTGGTTCGGTAGTGCTAGTGGGAATAGCGTGTGGCAACTGTACGTGATGTACTACTGGAAATGCCAATTAACTAGTACTCGCACGTATTCTTGAACACATAAACGGATAATGGTTTTCTGCGTGCTTGTATGGATTGCAAAGGTTGCCAGAACGAGGCTTTTAGCAACTCTGCCTGGTAAAGCCCAAAGACGGCCTTTGTCGGCGAGGTTGCAGGAACGAATAGGTAATCACCTATCACTGTACTATCTAGGTGCTCCACTCGAATATCTGTTTATATATTCAAGTTTCCTGTCACTCGAGGTAACGAGCATAGTATCTTAATCTATAACCTCTGAGTATGTTTTGTACACCTGTAGCTCTTAGATCAGGTGCACGATTGAATCGAGGTTTAACATAACTGATATACCCACAATGAACAGAGAGAGAGAGCATATAATTCACACATATTGTAACAGGGAACCCATTATAAGAGTTAAGAGTCATCGGAAACGATGGAACCACTCATTGTCATTATTTGCAACCACCCCCAGCGGTCCACAACCAGGAGACCTGCAAACAGATCATATTTGGGAATTACACCACAGACACAGAAAGAGCCTTATTGCAAGAAACACACCACGTCCTGCATTCGGTATAGCTACTGCTACACCACTATTAGGAATTTGCCTTGATATAGTTCATCATGCTCTCAACCTGTGCGATACCGGCGGGGTCGCTCACATCGAAGGTGCCCTTGTGAAGTTGAACCAGTTGTTGATCAGGTAGTACCTCGCCATTGAATTGATAGAACCTTGCTCTCCTGCCAATCGCGACAACCCGAAAGAGCTTTCCAGATTCGTTGTTAGTCTGGGACAGATCATTCTGGCACTGAGCACTGATGGTGTTGTCCCAGGCCACTGGAATACCACTGGATGGGCGCTTGCATTCGACGAGCAAGATTAGGCGCTCGGACCACCCGCCTGAAGCTTCAGGATCTTGGGCTAATTCCTTGACTTGAATTACGGTGATATTGGGTATATCATCCTGGGTGAGCGCGGAGCCTTTGATGCTCCACATGTAGCCTTCATTACTGGGGAACCAACTGCTTACTATTGCCTGCCAGAGCTGTTGGACGGTATCTTCTAGGCTGTGTGGCTCCACCAGCTGTAATGTACGGCGGAAACCTATGTTATTTTGCAGTGATGGGATAAAGGCGGCCATGGTGGAGAAAAATCACCGGTCAGCAAACGTGAGAAAATTGGCCGTTCAATAAGGCTGTAACAGGTTGGTCGAAACTTCATCAAGTGATAAAGGAAGTCAAGCATGCTCCATAAGTAACTGGAGGGCTAGGGGTATGGCCTAGGCCGCCGTCCCTCTTAGTGGCCTTGCTGCCTAGAAAATCTGGTGCCAACCACGCCGGATTTCTATAGCACATCCTTAGTCTTGCAAAATACATGTACCACTAGTTCACGTTGGAGGCAGTTGCGCACTCTTGTCCGCTCAAAGGGGAAAATAAAATAAATAAATAAAAGAAGAGGAAAAGAAAACAAAAGTAACTAGGTAGTGTTTAAACTAAGGATAAAGCCATGGCACTTCAACTTCATGGCTGAATTGGACTTATGTTAGCCAGCCAATAATCCCAATGAAGACTAAATCATGATTAACATTACAATAACACCAGGCATAAGGGAGAAATTCAGTAACTATGTCTAATCTAGCATTTCAGTCTCCAGAGTATCAGCCTGTATTAGCACAACACCTTAGCATAAGGGCTCATTGTCTTCACTACGCTATATAGAATGCTCTACAGCTCCTCACTTCTCGACCCTAGATACCACATAATTCTTTTTTGCCACACAGATTTATTCTTCAATGGAAACTTTCGGACAGGCTATACACAAGGGCAAGTACCTTCACCTGCCAACATCCCCACGGCCCCTTAAACAGGCCCAGATAGTGCTACAGTCATCTTGTTACATGCGGCAGACAATGAGACATTCTCGAACCGGTCGCGTATCCACGGTAAGTATTGCGCCTGCCCAGCAATGAAAGCAAAATCATGGTTAAGGTCGGGATAAATATAAAGCTGCATCGCACTGCTAGGGAATGTGGTGCATGTATGATCGTAATCCCATTCCGTCAGGTTTGCATAGACCAACTCGTCTGCCGTTCCCTGAAGGACCAGCATAGGAGCTGCCAATTCGTGAGTGCCGGCGCCATTATAGCTCTTTTGCCATTCAATGACATCCGGATGGTGAATCCAACTTATATTCTTGTACAGTTGCGGCAATGTGAGATTCCCATAAATCGTTGAACCAGTTGCCAAGCATCCTTGCTGAGCGATTGGGATCCGGCTTGCGACGATATCGCTGACGTAGTTTTCGACCTTGACGGAAGGGAAGAGCCGCGAAATAGACTGCAGAACAAAGATTGAAACAACATCATGAACAGGGCCATTCCCCGCGAGGCGCCATGACTGTGGGATAAGGGAGAGCGGCCGGAGCGCCGGGGCCCCTGAAACGGCGCCCAGGAAACCCCCTGTCGCGTTTCGCTTTTCTCGTTCATTAACACGCCATGCAGTCATGCCGCCCTCGCTGTGGCCCACCACGACCCATTCATGGGTGATCCGATCTCGAAGCTTTGATCTCACGGCCTGGAGTGCAAAGCTCACGTCTAGGGCGTGTAATGCACCGGACTCGTACATGAAACCCATGGGAACATCGCTACCCTGGCCAGCATAATCGGGGGCAATGACGGCATAACCTTGCTGAACTAACGCAAATGGGCCTTCCCATTCGTAGTAGAGTTGCTTATTATTCGAGGGTGCACATTGTCGGGTAATGCCTGCCGTTCCATGCGTCCAAACAATCGTTCGGAGTGGTTTTCCGCTACCGTCGTGATTGGTAAAAGGAAGTAACAAAAACGCACTGGCTGGTATAGGGTTACCATCAATGTCTTCACTCATATAGAGGAATCTGGACAATGTAGTTGCCGGAGGAGTATCATAACCAACTGTCGTGTACTGCTGACTCGGTACATCTTCCCATTTGACGATGTCACCGGCGGCATAATCAGAAATATTTGCTGGATTTGCGTAAAAAGGATCAGTTGATATATTAAGATTGACCCAACCCGCCTGTTCCCGTGCTAAGGCTTGCGCGATACGTGCTTGACAACTAGCATTGCAATTATCGGGAAAGCTGTCGATCGGAGTCACAGTGGACGAAGCGACAACGGAAATTATTGAGGCCACTAAGACCGAGAAGGACATGGAGGGCATATTCTGGCTCTTAGGACAGTACCCTATCCTTACAATGATGCTCGATATTCCGACGCCAGCTCAAAGATTCCTGTGTAAATGGTGAGCGTTCATATTTATCATACTAGAGTAGCGTAAAGACGGCCAGTTATATATCAAGGTGGTTCCCTGTATAACCATCTCAAATACAGACTTATTCCCGACTTTACATGCCGTCGTGAGTATATGTGTGTCATTCAATGGCCGAATCGGAGACTGATATAAATGCAGGGAGTGACAATTGGGAATCAACGGGGACGATCGTCGAGCTAGTTTAGGCTGCGGCGTCGACCTTCCTCTTGTGGAAGGGAACCGGACCATGTGGATTTGCTACAAGTGGCACCTCGACACTCTCACTTAATCTCACTGATTGAGCTCGGGTAGACCAAGCGGCGTATTGCAAGCAACTCAGCGTCAAATATTAATAGCTGAGCCGTTTGTTTTGCCAACTCTACTCATTCTGCCGCGGCATCCCAATTTACACAGCACTTTACCGAGGCTCTCGCTCTCGAAGGTATGAACAATCTGAGTGCCTTGCTTAATCACAATTCCCTCCATGTCAATATCAACTTTCCTCTCAGACACAGTAGAGAATCTCTAGAATTTAAAAAAAAAAAAAAAAAAAAGGAAAAAAAGAAAGAAGAAAGAAAAAAGAAAGGCCGTGATAGAGATGGCAGGTATAATAAGATTAATTTCGGTACGATCGACTCACCATTTGCCAGAAGAAAAGGACATATATGAAATAGTTACCCATCTGTAACTACTAGCTGACTGAGTAGAAAGTAATTCTTAATAGCCAGCCCGTGTGCAAGATAGTTCATTGTCCCCCAGCACAGTTATCAAACTTTCGTACAAACACACTGACGGTTAGCCTATTAAATATATTCGAGCACATAGTCCATGCATCCTGTGATGTTTATCGTTAGCTGTTCATCCCTGCTAAACTGATCGGGATCTTGTAACCCCCTATTGATATGTCTTCGTTACAACAGTATTAATGCATCTTCGGGCTCTGATGTTATGTCTCAAGAAATACAAGTTCTTTACTTCCTCATTTGCTTGAAAAGGCTTAGTGCTGATCTTACCAATTATAACCCCTGCACTCATACTTTTATCCAATATCAAATACATTCCCAAGCAGATAAGAACCCGCAATGCTCGTACATCGGCTTCCTCTATTGCGTCATATACTAGAAGCAAGGACTGCTGCCAGAATTGGTCGATATATTCATTGGGGATCTCAGCACTGTCATATCGACATCCAACAGCGGCAATAGCACTGAGTTCGCAGACTTCACATCGCTCACTATCAATTTCCTCCTGATATATTCTATGTATAAGACGATCACAATCGTCCGGCAGTATAACATAGAAAAGGGAGGCAATTGCAGAAAAGAACGCTGTTATTGCATTGCGAGTGAAGCCTTCGCTTGGAATCATTCCACAACCTGTATCATATAAAGAATCAATCGGTGCTTTGCCATGCTGGGCAACAGGATGACTGCTGATTTCTTAGGGCGTCTCTGTTTCTTCCATCAAGACCGTATTGACAAACACTTGAATGCTGAATGCAGGAAGAGCATGACGGCCTCATCCCATCGCACTATTAGATCATTCAGTAGAGATTATGTAAGAGTGGGGAATAAGAGACCTCCTATGAAACTTCAGCTTGGTTACGTTCTTGCCATCCGGCACTCATTGCACGCCATCCCATCTCTTTTTTGGGTATAGTGTGAGGAGCCATTCCCTGGTGGCTCCCTTACGGGTCCTTTAGGGAAAAGCATATGTTGTTTCGAAGGCATGGCAAATGGTAGTTCAGCGGTATGATCGGATATTATAACCAGCGGGGTAACCGAGATCAAAGTTGAAAAGGGAAGGAGGAAGGCCAGAGTAAAGGATAGCCTTTACCTTCCAGCCAAGTGTCATTCTTAGCATACGTGTCTCCCGATGCATACTATTCATGTTTAGATCATTACTCATGCTTCGTGCTCGCGAATAAGTGATAGCTCTGGAGGGCTGCATGAATTATAGATTATATATCTTCCCATAATGTCAAACCAAGCTCAAGAAAGAGGAAGGAGCAACCAGGATACGGAGCCCCATTGAACAAACGAACACTTGAGCTCGCGCTTAGCATCACCTCCGTGGGACAAAGCTTTCCTAATTAAAGTGACAAAGATCCAGCCACCGTGATACCAGGTTGTCCCACTGGGTGGGGCTTGACGCTAATGAGACTGCTGAAGCCCATCTTCGGCGTTGGTCCAGACCGCATGACTAGGTCTAGTATAAGCTTCTTAATGTCCAATCATCTTATATAAGGTGTATAGGACGATACCCCTCATTCCTGGTGCTAAACTTGATGAGACTCAAAGTTGCACCTAGTATTATTTCACATAATTGTCTCATTGGTATTACGTATTGTTCCACAGGAGTGGATCAACGTAGAGGCCTTTTCACATCTCTGGGAGTCTGGGTGGGGTAGTCTTTGGATTAGACCATCCCCTGGCGGCTGTTACCCATTGTATACTACTCTCCCAATAATGGTTTTATCTCTCGCTTTGCTTTTATAGCTGACATTTTGAGTTTGCACAGTCCGGTCCCTCGACAGGATTGCGCACATCTTCAGAGGTGGGCTGAATATATCTATTAATGAAGTATTGAGTGGGAGATACTGGAGGACCTTGTATGCTTGATCCCTCTGTGGATGGAAGCTCTAGGCACTGACATCCTGCGTAATAGCAAGACCCAAGACCAACCGACAACAACACAAGTTCATACATCCACTGGACGTCCAACATTAGGATCAACTAGGGACCAGCTATGTAATGACCGTACATCGTCTAACTGAGAACGATAAAAAAGAATAATTGCGTTATTATAGGCAAGCCTTGACTGTTGAACCTGAAAACTTCCGACGTTTCTC